TGTTACAAAACTCATCATCATCATCATTTTCATTTAACCTGCTTTGAATGTCATTTAAATCATCCCCGCAGACCGCATATTGACTCATTTGTTCAGCTATTTCATCAACTCTGGCTAAATAATGATCTTCATAGGAAGAGTAGTTTCTCATTAAATCTGTATCTTCATTTCGCCAGTGGGTGAAAAGCATAATTAATTCACGATAATGTTTCTCTGGGTGAGCTTCTTTGTTAAACCATGCACTTCTGATGATTCGAGCTGTTTGTCTTTTCTTAGGTTTATTGCTGCCTTTCAATACTTCTATGTTAATATCATCACATAACTCATCATCATTATTCTCATCATCTAATGTTTCTTCTGGTAGACAATCAATATCAAGTTTAGATGATTTTTTTGGTTTATATGGTTTTGAGCCACAAGAATCATACCAAGCTGCCCAGTCAGCTAGAGTAACATTTTCAACTGAGTGTGGTCGTTCAACATATCGTTTTAAAAGACCCCCTGCATGAATTTCTTCTGAGTCATCCTCCATATGCTCAATTTCACTCAATGGTTTCAACAGGTGAACTCTTTCTTCTGGAGGTGAAGTGGGAATAAATATCACACTACGAGAAGCTTTTCTCATTGGTAATTGTAAGGTGACATAAACTGCTTCTTGAGCACTGATCTCAACACTGTTAAGGAATTTGTTACCAATGTCTCGTACTTGTTGCTTTATACTAGCATTGCCTTCTCTTGCTTCTTCACATGCTTTGCGCAATAACTCACTCATACCTTTCTGTGCTTTAGAAATGTAGGACACAATATACATGGCACAAGCATATACATCAAGGACAAACTGGATGTCCATATTGGCTCTCCATGCTTTAAGGCATGCTGGGTAATTATTTAACCCTTAGTTCATTTGGTTCTCTTTTTAAAAATATTGTGGGACAATTCAGCGATGAACGTAAAGCCAAAAGGTAATTTTCTTCTGTGATACTCAATTCTTGGAGAAACTCCTCAAATGTCACATCTTGTCCATCTTTCAAATCATTGAGTTTTGTCGTAATATCCTTCCATTGTTGCTTAAGAGATTTTTTGTGATTTTCAGAAAATGTGTCTTCAAGTGGGTGTAATATTGAAGTTGACCTCATAGGTGGCTGAGGATAATTAAATCTACAAACATTTTTGTTATTCTTCTTACATGTATGGGAGTGTCTATGCATCTGTCGATTAACTAAATCAAGCAGTCCTGGGTCATAATCAGGTTTCCGGCATGTGATAATTTGGTCGATAAATGCAGCTACATCCTTATCCTCACTGACTCCAAACACTGGTGCATTTTCAAGCCATATCAACATATGTATGAGGTGACCCCCGTTGTTGATATTCAACTCTATAAAACCAATCTTTGATTTTTCCTAAAGGTGCAGTGCTGCTAATCAGAAATTGTCTTAAGAATGTATTAAATTGGAAGTCAAAGTGTCTAGCACATGTTACAGGGTCACTTTGAATTAACCTGCATTTATCATTCCACTCTAAATTGTCAAGTTCATCATCACTGTAGTTTTTGTGGTCAACCAGTTTGCCAAGTATTCTTAATAAATGGTTCCACTTAGTTTCAGCAGACGAGAAGCTACAAAACAATGTTGCGGGACCCAGTTGGCGAATCATTGCAAATAAATCTTTTTTTGCTTTTTCAAAATAGGGTGGTGAACCTCGTAATCCTCTCAAAAATTTGTAACCTTCATCATGGTGGATAAGGTTCTCTAGGCTTCCTCTTTGCTTCAATTGACCTGCTGTTATGGCTTGATTGCCAGATTTACATTTTCTCAATGCAATTTGGGATTTTCCTAACAGAATTTTCATTTGGAGCTTTTTGGTTTTAAAGAATATATTTTCTACACACATAGCAGCCCTGCGGTCTGACCGTCTTAATTCAGATTTACATATTTCACTGTAATATGCACTGACTAATCTGTCTTTATCGCTTGGTCGTTTTTGGCCTAGGAAAATACCAGGATATGCCAGTTCTTCACAATATTGGTCTCTAAATATGCTCATTGGTCTGTTGCCTTCCCCAGGTGCAATACTATAAATACCTTCCCTTTCATGGTCACTAAGAAAATCTGTGGCAGTAAGCATACTATCAGTTACTCCAGCAGGTATTTCTGCTTCTCCCTCAGTCCAATTATCATTGTTTGTTTTATTAGTGTCACTATCTTGTGTATTGTGGCTGCCATCACTTGGACAAGTATTTTGTAGACTATCTGCATAGTGCTTTGCCCAATTAGAATCTAAAGTTATGCCTTGTTCCTTATACAGGGTGCTGTTGTTTGCAAGCCACGCAGCTGCCTGTAAAACTTTTTGCGGTCTCACATTTAAAGATAATGCTGAACTTTTGTATTGTAAACGCCTTTTCAAATTAATTTTAATTGTACCTGTGTCATGAGGTAACCTAGGCAACATATTGACAGTATTTGTCACATCAGCTGGCACATTCACCACATTACCATTAATCTTGAATTGTTTACCTCTTGGTGCTTGCATAATTTTTTGAAATGCCAACCTTGGAGCCACAAGTCTACATTCTAATTCATTTAGATCAAAAAACTCAGGTATGGCAGGAAATTTCATCCCATTTGACACTGCGCATGGAGGTACTTTATTTCTACGTAGATAGTCATTACATGATCTACAAATCCATTCTTCACCATTAACACTTAACTTTCCTTGTAAATGATTAGACATGTTGATATTGTTCAGTCGCAGGTTATTTGCACGTTGAACACTGTGCTTGTACCATGATTGATCACAACATGTACAAATATATAATGGCCCTTCTGACACAGTTTTGTGGAATTGTGTTATCAAATCACTAATGTCAACATGATGACATTTTTTATTATTTCGCCTATTTTTCTGCTTCTGTTTCCTTCGTTGTTCTCTCTGTGCTGCAAGCCTAGTCTCTCTTTGTTCAACAGTTTCATTGTTCTTTTTACATTTTTGATACTGTCTTCTTGCTCCAAGCCTGTTCTCTCTTTCTTCTACAGTTTCATTCTTCTGTTTATATTCCCTGTACATTTTTTTTGCCGCTAATCTTTTCTCTCTCTGTTCATTTGTTTCATTTTCTCTTTTACGTTTATTATATGCCCTTTGGCTTGATAACCTTTTTTCTCTTGCCTCACTACTTTCACCTACTTGTTTATGTTTAGCATACTTTTGTTTTTTTGACATTTCATCATTTGTTGCAGGGTTGTTTAACCCGGGGTTTCCCCTTCTTACATGTTCACTATGAAGTGAGCACATTGAAGTAAACTGAACACCTTTGACCTCAAATGGTGTAACACCTCCAGGTGAAAGAGTCTGAAAATATACAACTAGATCTTGAATATTGTTAATTGTGATTAAAATACATTTTCCAAATTCATTAGGAACACCAAACAAATTTCTAGCATGAGAATCAAAGATTCTAAAAGACCCATCTGCAACTTTCAATATTGCCACAGTATTGCAACCAATAGTAAGCAGGGCAAAACTGTATGTTAGCTCAGAAAATAGGAATATGTTATTTAATGCACTTAGAAGTGTGAAATATGGTCGACTATTGCATGCCATGAATACATCACCAGCATATGACTCACTGTATTGTAAATTATAGATTATGTCATTAACAGAAACCATTTCAGGCACATCAGTCAATAGCAACAAGTCTTTATTCACTGAATTGGATATACATGTATAAAGGTCATTGCCATTAATTAAAATTGTGTTTAATAATTCTGTATCCCAGGTTGTAACATCTTGTATTTGGCTGAAGATTATTGCAGTCAAGGACATAGCAACACATTGCTTTCCTGCATTTTGTCCAAATCTGACTTCACAACCTTGGCTAAAATCAGCACACACAGTTTTTGTTGCATCAACAATGTCATATACTGTAGGTCCTGGGTTTGTTTCCACATCATTTGACAATCTTAGTAAACCAGGCACATACACTTGGTGATAACAGACCATTTTGATAAACCAAATTACTGGTTCATTTGATCTACTGTATTGTTCATTTATTTGCTTTAATGTTGGGAAGTAAAATACATTTAAATAAAACATCATCAACATTGTGTTCCAGAAAGTACCTGTCAGACGTCTGGACACTTCTCTTTGTCTCACAAAGTTTGCATGAGAACCAACTCTTGCTCGATATTGTTCAATTGACACTCCCATGTCTAGTATGATGTCACGTGACTGTCAGTAGTTTTGTGCAGACTGTCTTTTGTTTGATTTGTTATCCAGTTTCAGATGAATATTTTTGTATACTTTTTGGCAATTTTGTAGCAAGTTTTTAGCAAGTTTTTAGCAAGTTTTTAGCAAGTTTTTAGCAATTTTTTTGCGGACACAAGGTCCCAGTTTATGGCTTTTTCGATTGCGATACAACACGCAATTGCCTGACAAACGAGTCAGTGCAGACACAAGGCCCCGTTTAGTTTATAGATTTTTCGATTGCGATACAACACGCAATTGCCTGACAAACGAGTCAGTGCAGACACAAGGCCCCAGTGAGTTTGTTGCTGCGATGACTCGACGAGAATCGCACTAAAAGACAAAACAAAAAGCGTGCTTAACAAACTGCATGTCACCTCGTCGACTTTGAGACAAGCCTCGGCCCTCAAGGTCAACACATTTATAGATAAATACAGCTAAGCCTAAGGTGAAACTGGTTAGCGTACCTTGAATGAGATGAAGTAGGGCGACGTTTACCAGCAAAAAACGGCCAAATCAAATCGAATTTTGCGAACTTGTCTTTGGCAGTTTGCTCAGAACTTGTCGACAAAATTAGCAGATCAGATCGTACCGGAAATTGCGGTCATCACGTGAGCATATGACGTTTTTAGGGCGCCTGCGGTTCCCCCATCCGTTTCGCGCATGCTCAGATATTTTGCATTTATAATTTGCCATAAACCCCGTCTAGCCTCTGCGTGATGACTAAGCGTTCCGCAGTCCTTATGGACAGCGGACGCAAAAACTGACTATGAATATTATGAAGTAGCTGAATTGTGAAACCCGAGGTGCAACACTTCATCATATAGGTAGGTATCTACATATATCAGAACGATATATCAACATAGAAAAGTAATTATTAACGTGTTCTACTGGGATTTTGAGGTATTCTTGGAACGAGGTAGTTTGCTTCTTTTAATGACCGCTGACGAGCTGTTATGAACACGCAATGTCAGCGGAGAACGTTCATTTCCAATCATTCCTTCGGTTGCCAGCTTGCTTCCCTTTAAAAAAAGCAGAAAATATTTTTTGTTTGGATTCTTTCTGAACAAAATAACTGAAAAGGATTGTCAAACAATGAACTGTCGACATTCCACAACGAGACAGTCACCTCTAAATCACCTTTGGTGTGAAAATTTTCGTCAAGAAAGTGGAACTAATGATTGGAATAGGAGACCTCTGTATTATTCAAAATATATACCTGAACAATTGTAACGTTTTCTTTGGTTTCATCACCATTATAGGAGGAGATACATGATGAATTTGCTACCATATCTTTTTCCTCTACGAACACTTCATCAATTGGCAGTTTTTCTAACGTTGCTTTTCTGTCCATCTTAAAAAGTGCGAAAAAGTTTAAAATACAATCGAAAGCTCTAACCATAAAAATACACAAATGACCCCGAAAGACCCATTTCTGGACTTTGATAAGTGTGATGTATTCATTCTTTGCAATTGGCTATTGGATGTCAGGAGGTTCATTAATTCTGGTTTCATTTTTCAAGAGCAATATCCAGTGTATGCTGTCAGATCAGTGCATCATTATAACTACTACAATGAATACAGAGATTTACGCGATTGCAAATAATGCGTAGGACAGAACTGGATTCGAGTACCTGGCTCCTTTCATCATGAACGTTTGCCAAGTTACGTAACTTGCAAATATTTTTTTCGCAATTATTCAATGTACTCGGTGTTGATTAAAATAAGCTAGCAATATTAATGTTTGATTTGACATAGACATATTCGCATGAGGAGGCGTTTCTTTCACATATCACTTGATCCCCGTCGACTGACGGACAAAAGCGTTGATATTTTGATTATTTTCGCAACGGATTAGGGCTGCTTTCCACTGTCTGGTTTTTAAAAACACGCCAAATCATCATCAGAATCCAACCTTATGCATCTATTCAATCGTTAATATCATTGAAATGATTCGTTGGAGTATCGTTGAAATTATTTTAAACTTTTAAGTGTGTACACCTACGTAAAAGAAACACGACAGTGAAAAACGGCCCTTCAGGTTGGACTACATTCATGTATGCATGATGTGGGTGGAAACTCGAAAGAGCTTTCGTTTCATCGTATCTTATTTCCTTTTATCTTGCAGTAAAGCTCCTTATCTCTGGGGCGGGCGATATTGCTCGCGTGAACACAAAATTCGGCAATTCGATTGGCTAACGAAGATGCTCTTTGCAACGACTTTCTTCAACGCCCAACACACTTCGTCGAATTTCGGTTTTCGCGCGAAAATATATTCGCGTTGTTGGCTAAACTATGAATTTAAACACGGCAGAATGGTCAATCATGCAGGAAGAGCAGGAAGCCTTTCTCACAATGACGAACATATCGAATATTATCACATACGTTAGAAAGAGAAAATCGTCGACAAAATCACGGCTTAACACGATACCTTCCGGGTCCGGGAATCGAGCTGTGGGGTGGTTGGTACTTCGTAAGTCTCCTTAAAGATTTCCAACAGTTTCGTCTGATTCTCTGTTCTCGGTAAATGGGTTGGATATCTGTACTGACGTCGCACGGGTGTCGTTCCTAGATTAAGATTAAGGATAAGATTAAGATTAGAAAAAGATAAGATTAAGATTCAGGATTATGATTAGACACAATTCCTGGGCGAGGTTGAGGCATGGTATCAAATTCTGACATTAAGGATAACATAAAGTACCTGATGGAACATCTTCGTGTAAATTAACGTTAACAAACGTCTCCATTCCTTCGTCAATGTTGCTGCTTTTGGTTGAATGCGCCGACGTTAACGCGTCGAGACCCTTCATTGTAGCGTTTGTCGACTCCTGACAGCATGCAACCATACTGCTGAGGTGTTCCTTGTGGTTGTCCAAGCTACTGCAAAGAATCTCGCAATCAGACCTGAACTCCCTCGTGTATTTCTAAGATAAAGGAAAATGATGAAATTTGCATGTTAGTTAGTATAAAGACGCATAAAATTTTTGCTTCGTACACATGTACGAAGGTCACCGAACCTAAGCTTACTTGCGCGTGTTCTTCCTGAGCAGTTAGATTTTGTGAGATGGAAGTTATTCCGTTGTTCAACGAGTTTTCAACCGATTGTTGCCATTCTATCGCGGTCTGAGAATGAATAAATGGTAAGATTAAGAAGGGAAACGATTACACAATCACACAATGAGAGTTAATTCATCGTATATTCAATAAGAGTGACTGCTGGTCGACAAGATCTCGACCTTAATCGCCCACCTGGACGCCTTTTGTTTCGGCAAATGCAGACGTTTTTTCGATATGCGGGAAAAGTGCTTCACTTTTTTCTAATCTTTGTGATATCTGCAGAAAAAAATTATTAAAACCACATCATGGCAATTGGGTACACGAACCAGTAACAAGTTTTTCGATTAGAAAATATAGAACCAGTAGGGATTCATTTAACGGCTTTATGCATTGTTTTTTCATAATGAAACATTCCAATGAAAACTTGCTTTGACCAGCAATTGAACGTAAGATATACATAACGGCTATGTTGTGATTTGTATTTTCTCAATTCTTACATTCTGGACTCTTTCATGAATGCCATTTGATGTTCTCTGACAGTGTAAAGACGTATTTTCCGTGAACGTTTCATCCAGGTCTGTTCGGGATTGTAACAGTCTGAAAACGTGTAAAAAACGTTGTGAAGAAAAGTGCAAAATATGAGAAAGAAATGAAGAGATTTTATACCTTTTGCATTCCATTGTCGCATTAGACGTAGCGGTGTTTATCTCTGTGAAGGTTTCCTCCTCCTGAAATCACATTAATAATAGTCTGTGTAGTAGTTTTATACAATATCGAGGTATTAAAAAGTAAAAAAACTCGTACAAATGTAAATTAACAAGAAGAGTAAACAAAACAACAAAGAATGTAAACAAACAAGGAAGCGAAGTGAAAAAGTTTTAAGAAATGCACAACAGTAAAACACACCTCTTTCCAATAAGATTGAAATGCTTCACTTTGCTGTTTAATTGTCAACGACAATTGCGCCAATTTTTCTTGAATTTTCTACAAAATCAGAACTGTCAGGGGGGGGGGATACCAGGGAAAAGAGGAGGGGGGTGGGAGTTGGGGTAAACCATGCATAAATGACTTAAACATTTGCAAAATCACACGCACCAAAGTACGCTGCTCCATTTCACATCTAGCTTTTCCTTCTTTCTCGGACATTTTCTCCTTAACTTGAGCCTTAAATAAATTAAATCAAATTAAGCAATGGACAAACTACGCCAGCTAAGCTATGATCCTGGAAAAATTACCTGTTGACTGACGAGCTTATCCAGTTTCTCTTCAATTGCTTTGGTTATAGCTCGACTTTGCTCCAATAATTCAGCGGTTTTCTTTTCACGTTCAGCGTTCTGCGAGGCGAGATGTTAAACTGTTTTAAACGACACATATTTTACACAATTCACAACGGCCTATAAACACATCGAAGAACCGTCGGAAAGAGATTTGACAACGAATAGATCATCAGCTAGTTGATGATAAATTTCGTATAATGGCGTAGGTACCTGTTGGGCTGTGAAAGCCTTGATATCATCCAATATCTGCTTGGTATTAAACGTATCCTTGACACAATTGACTGCCTCGTTCCACTCGTCCGAAATGAGAAGCTGGAACAACTCCACGACCTCGTCCTGGAGAGGACAAAACAAAAACAAAATTTGAAAAGGATTCCATGTTAATGATATCCATGGAAAGTGAAAGAATGTAAGATTGCAAAATGGTCAATTGCATGGTCATGAATATAAGCTGCCATATTAGTTAATTCGCATTCCACATTCCTACCCATAATATGAAATGAAGTTTGGAAGAAACAAAATGCAGTATAAACTAAGCGAAACACACTACTTGCCTTTTTTGATACGACTGCCTGTGATAAGCTTTCTTTCCATTCCATTAAATTTTGAACGTGTGCCTAAAGCATAAACACAGAATTAAAGAAGGTTTTTTACCAAGTAAGCAGTGCACATAAACTACCGACTTGTTTGCCAAAGGAGCTGTATCACACGTAGCTACAAGCTGGTGGGGGTTGAGTCAAAGTGAACTACCAGAGCTGTGTCGGCTCGACACGTCTTACACGTGTATCAGTCTACGAGGTTGAAATTTGGCGCAGATTATTCTTACATTTTCTGTATCAATAATCCTTGAAATAAGTCGCTGTTTGCGCAATAGCATGTCGTCAAGAAATGCACGCTGTCGCAACACCAATTCATTTTTCTTCGTCGTTTCCTCGTCCAACCACTTCAGGGTCTCCCTCGATTTGCCCATTTCATTCTCGCAGTAATTCGACACAATTTTTTGCAAATCTCTCAAAGAATCCGAAAATTGCACGCGATAAGCTTCTTTCTGATGGACGTTGTTCTTTTCCACTTCAACTTTTCTTTCCAAAGTATTGTGCAATCTAAAAAGTATTGAAAAAAAAAGTTGATTTCGACAGTTTTGTTAACGATACAGTCCAACAGACCTTTCTTTCTTACAATGACGTCAAACGCAGAAAACCTGATGTTACATGAAGTTTGACTGGCTTCGCAAAACCAACGAGTAAATCAAATTTCGTGTAACATCAGGCTTTCCGCGCCTGACGTCATTATTCGTTTAAAGATATAGACTCACTTGTGGATATCCCCGGAAATATTCGTGACGACACCGAGTAACTCCGACGATCTGGCGAACAATCGTTCTTCCGTTTGACCGTACTCGTGAAGAACAAAACTAAGTCCATCTCGATCCTCGATCGCTTTCTTCAGATTCGTTCTCGTGCTTAGCAATTCTTCGCCCGTCTTTTCGAGCACGTCCTTCGTGCCGGAAAGTTCCTCGCTCGCGCCTCGGAACAGCTCGGAGATCTTCGCAAACTCCGTTTCCAAATGAGTCAGCTTGTCATGAGTGTCGCCCAGCGACTCAGCTTGCGATTTCAATTTGTTTTGCATATCGCTACACAAGTTGACAATTCCACATCAATGCAGTGTTGCGAAATCAAGATTTTTGTGTGATTGTATAAACGTTTAGCCATTGGCAGCCCAAATTTGCGTGATAATTTTGCTGAAAAAATTCTCGCGTTAAAATTCTCACGCAAATTTGGGCTGCCAATGGTTTATAGCTTGTCTTTGAATTTGCCCAACTCAACTTACTTGTAGTTTTCTACTGCTAAATAGATGCCGTTCTTTTCTCTGGCTGCCAACAAGTCCTTTTTCAATTTGTCAATCTCCTCGGTGTATTCCTGATGGAGAAAATTATTCGTAGACGTGGTGTATAGTGTCGTAAGTTTAAGACAAATATAGACGTTACTCTTCTGAAGACGGGGAGCTTCCTGACTATTTTTAAAGAAGTTTTTTAAACCGTTCTACCATTAAACTGTTCACAGTTTCATTATCTCAGTAATTTTATCATTTTTGAAAGTTCTGCCTAATTGATAAAAAAATCAAGCATTTGGATACTTGCCCTATCGGAAATTGAAAATAACTTGACCAATGGCAATTACGCAAATACGATTACAATATGTGAAGTTGCATTATATTATCGCTACTCGGGATGGTTATATATACCATGGACGCAGCAACATTAATATTTCTTAATACCTTTATAAGAGCCTTCTTCGTAAGCTTCTGGTTGATTTCTGGCCGGTTGAGGATGTTTTTCGCCCGATGAGCATAGTCCAGCGTACTAAGAGTTTCCTTTGAAAAAAAAACAATGAAAACGATAAGAAGTTGACCAGCGATTTCCCAAACTACGGATATATAAAAACTATTGCTAGGCCTATGGCTTCAAGTCAGTAACTGAAGGCGCAGCAGCGATGCAGAGTGCATTCGAAAAAAATATGATATGATAGGGCATATAGTGAGATGGCATTTTATGGATATGGTGCATATAGCAATGTACTGAAGGAATTAAGTTAGTCAAGAAAATCCCGCACGAACCTCGACGTTGCACGAGGCTGGAGATATTGTTGCAATGATCGATGTTTTTGTGCGGCCGCCAAGGGAGTCTTGTAACAATCTCGTGAGCTTGCTCTCTCTAAAACCATGGGGAAAATAAAACAATTAGCCAAGATTTAGGGTGAATTCCGGGTCACCGAGTTGCAGACAAGCAGTGGCAAGTGATTTACCTGTAGGGTACATGCGGAGCTCGTTCAACAAGGGCTGTGATTACTCTGCCCAAAGTCAATAAGCTTTGGTTTATGGTTCCAGCTTCTCTAAGGCGTTTATCGACCGCACCAGACCTGCCAACGTTCTCACTACCAGCTAGATCGACCAAGTTTAATTTTCCAGTTTTCAACATCTCCTCGCCCGTCACAGAACTCTCTTTGATGTGTACCGTGACAGAGAACAGCGAATGAGAGCGACTATATGGAGAGTAAGATGCAGGGGTAAGATGTTACAATGTACTTAAGGCAATGGCAAACAATTACGGCGTGTGACCCCCCCCCCCCCTCTCCAAAACGTGCCGCCAAACTAGCAAAAATTCGATGACAACGGACTTTTTGGATCAGGACTGATGTGATAAATGGAATTGGTAAGGACATTTAGGCAGAATTCATACTAATTATTAATATTATATAAATTATTACTGATATTTTAAATAAAGAACTGCGAGTTTCGAGGTGTACAGATCGACCACTGAGCGTATATATAGCTGACGTGTACCTGCTATGGTACCTGTCATGAACGCTGACACTGTACTGTTAATTCTAATGTACCTGGAATGCGCGTTCATCAGAGTAGCCGCAGTCTGCCTTTTTGCTCGTCCCCTCTCCAAAATATCATACACTTCGTCTTTATCACGCACTATAGTCTCTTCCAAGCCTTGCACGAAAACTGAGCCCTAGAATGTCAAAGATTTGGATTGTATTAAAAGTAGGGAGAACCTGGCCTGGATTACGATCGATGCATATATAGTAAACGATTAGATCGAAGTCTAGATATTTAATTGGAAAACATTAAGTCTTAATTAATCCAAACTTGATATTGCTATTTTACTCAGTACAACAAACCTTTCTTGCTGAGTCTTCAAAAATTCGGAGCTTTTGACTATCCAGAGTAGAACCCAAAAGATCAAAAAGATCTTCATTGTAGATTTCCAAGAATGAGACTCTTACAGAATATTCACAATCCTAGAATTGAATGTAAATAAACAAATTTAACTGGAATAACATATTGGACAAGATGAGGAAGCTGTGGCTTTATACAGAGCAAAATTATCATAGATAAAATTCATATATAGCAAAACTGAGCACTTGAACTTGATGAACTTACTGGCATGGCCTCCAATCTCTCAAACAGCTGTTGCATTGCACGAGGAATGATACCAGCTTGTGGTTCCTAGAAAAAATAGGAAAGAATAAGTTGCTACGTAATTGCATTTATGCAAAAAATCAAAATTAAAGTGGAGTAATTTTCCATACTGTATCCCATGATCCACCTTCGGAACTTTTTTCTCCCTCCATTGTGAATGTTTTTCCTGTTCCCGTTTGACCATAACTACAGTAAAGATGCAAATTAATTGCTACAATAATATTGATTTTGATATATTAATATGAATATAATATACCATGCAAAGCATTTGGATCTCGAGAGCTACTATATCAATGAATCAAATTGGATTTTGAAATATACTATCATTTTAAATATATTATATTATGGTCATAAAATCCTTTTTTTGCATGAAATCATTCTCTTTTCAAGCAATAACTGAAAAATCTGGACTCTGGCTTATATGAGACAGGTCAAAACCACGTCCACAAATGTACTTACGCAAAAACAGTACAATTGTATCCCAAGAGAACTTCCTCCAAAAGGGGACATACAACATATCGATAAACATCCAGCTGGGTGGAATTTGGATCAAACACTCTGTCAAATCCAAATGTTTTGGTAATGCATGATTTGTCTGCTACATCATGCTTCACAGATACTTCTTTCTTGTTAGGTAAATACTGTATAACTGATGGTGAGCCATCTTTGATCTCCTGAGCATTCCTTGGTCTAAGAAAATGGAAGTTGAAGTCGGTAATCGGTAGATAAAAGTGAAAGACTCTTGAACTTAAATTCCATGCTTTGTTGATGATGAGTGTATAAAAATTAACCTATATATTCAGCTTACACACAAATGATTGTTATTTACAGGATTCAAACAATTGACCCTGAATTTTATATTATAATTTATAAACAACACGTTTTAAAAAGGAATCTTCGAATTAAAACAATTCAGCATTCGCAATTCGATAGATCTACAAGACTGTAACTATTGTACAATTAAGTATATCAATACCCAAGCTAAATTGTAAAATGACATTATAAACAATGATAGACACTGATCATTGTATAGTAACGTGCAATAGGAAAAAATTCAAAATTCCTACAACATGTATACATTATTCGAAGATATGTATTGGCGATCAGTTTGAACAAATCTTTACCGGCATCTCAACACCACTTGGATATTCTTTTCTTGAGAATCTTTTTTACGCATCTTGATCACCAATTGAGAAACGAAGTAAAAAAATCACAATATTTTCATATATTGAAATTATACTTTAGTTATGATTGTTTGCCTCTTCGATTTGAGTTGTAAAATTTAAACTGCCGCACCCAGGATAGCAATACGATTGGTGGAAAATTAACCAATCACATCGAGCGACGAGCGATCTATTCTGATTACATTCTATTCTAGAGGATATTTGGGGATGCATGCGGGATAGGATTAGGGTAGTTAATGGGTAAATAATGTCGCAATTCGAAAACCAATATTTGTTTACAAACAAACAAGTGTCCGAAGTATTATGTGAACATCCAAATATTCATATGTAGTATGTCACTTTACATTCCCGATATTGAATCTGAAAAACCAGATGCAAGATGTGGACATATATGTTTTGAGTTTAGAGGAAACGTTTACGTTTGGGGTGGATATACTGTAAGTCGTATAACTTCTAGTTGTTTATATTTGCTATAAGATCGGGTATTTAGTTTTTACTTGTTGTTCCATGTTGTTTCATTCGAAATGTTTATAGAACTGAGGGTGACATAGCACTGTCATGAAGCGTAACACTTTCCTCTTACACTAGGATGATGATGGTTGCAGATACCTTCCAAGTCGTTCTTTGTGGATATATCATGTGAACTCTTCTTCCTGGTTGGAACACCACTCATATCTCACACCACGATAGCCTATTAGATTAGTTGCATTATGGCTGCCAATGCTATAGTCATAAATAGGGTAGAATACATCTGGGTACATTAAAAATACATTATACAATATTAAACAGACCCTACAGAGTTCATATAACCAGTGTATATTATAACCTGGTTGTTTCAACTACAAGGACATTAATCAACAAAATCACTTCTTCAGGAAACATGTTCATTGTACTGGTGAAATTCCTGTAAATTTGAGTGGAGCATGTGCATCAAGGGTTGGACAGACTTTGTTTATTTTCGGCGGACATTGTCTAGATTTTGGACACTCTGAAAAAGTAAGGGTTATAGTCTCACAGGTACTAGACAAGAGAATGACATATGTTTCACGATTTTGGACATTGTACAAGGCCCAATTACTATTCATTTTTACTCTACAGTAGGATTCTACACCTGCTCTTTCACTCAAAATTATCTTTGAAATAATATGACTATTTTAATCCTATTTTAAGCTGTATTCCTTGGATCTGGTCACATACAAATGGAAAAATCAGTCGGACTCTGTTTTAGGCAATGCACCACTTCCCCGAGACAAGTTTGGCTCATGGGTTATAGACGACAGGTATTTATACAAAACAATTCCTACGGGGAATGAACTTAATTTGGTTGACTCAAAATGTAATGTCACATAGGATCAAATTTTTCATCTAGGATAATCTATTTCGGAGGATATGGTCGGTCGCCAGACAAAGCATATTATGGCCCCTTTACCTACCACGAGGTAATAGCATGCTATACTCACTATTAAGGGTGCATATATTTGCATCTGAGACTGCAGTGTTCCATTATTTGAATGCAATATTGATGTCATCATTCGCTGTTTTTTAATTCTCAAAAGCATATGAGAGGATGGAATGGGCAAGTGGCTGTTCTTCATTTACAAGCAGATGACGTGTTAGAATGGAAATACCCAAAAGTTAAAGTGAGATTTGTTCAATATATGTATATCATTGATATGAAAAGAATAAAAACCTCATTTTACAAACGAACCGCTTGAGTCACGAGAATTAGAAGTAAATAATGCAGAAACAACGCCTGGGGCCGGTTGTATACGAAAGATGGATATAGTTATCCACAAAAAACCACAATCACGGTGCATTATATAGCGCTTCGGACAACTGAACCCTATAGAAAATTACTTGGAATGAATTTGTTTTACGGTTCTACCTTGTCCTTGAGATTACGTGCAATAAACTAAAACGCCTTTACTCTAAAAACTCACACGCACGTGCACTTTTTGAAATCTTTCAATCACTTCATAGGCTAGCCATAGCAGCTTCATGGGTCTGGCGAAGTTTCCACTCGATTGACTCGAATATAGAGTTTGATTTTCAGTGTTTTACCTTAAATTTTTTTAATCATTAAAAACGAACTTTCTACTTGATTAGTACAAAAAGGATTTCTATAAGTAGGGGTGTAAATGATCTTTTTGAGTACCAGATGAAATGAACAGATTTTAACAACTTTCCACTGACAGAACTTTCTTATCACAAACTTTACTCCCGCGCTTCAGGGCGACCCACCTCAGCCAAGAGCCGCTCACGGCATGACAAGAATTGGAAAAAAAGGTTATCTGTTTGGTGGACGACATTCGGTGAGTACTCCAGTTACCTCTTAGCGTCCAGCTGATCTGTGATGATGACGTCATGAGGCTCGTTTTCAGTTCTGTCTAAAATTTTGCTTTAGGTTAATTTTTGTCCTCAGATCAGCTTTGTACTGTACTGTACATTATTACCAGGTCTGATGGATATCCTACCGTAACTGGAATTCTAAGGGTTCTGGTCTGTGTGTGATGTAATGTCATTGAGGGGGGGTGTACCCCCACCTTATGAACGAGGGCGACCCTTACGTCCTATCATTTTCTCAAGGTATGCCGTGATAACGACCTGTATTGCTTAGATTTGGACAACCTAACCTGGTCAGGACGGTATGGGAATAAAAGCATAATATTACCAACACAAGTTCTTCAACTATTTCTTCAAATTTACTTTCTTGTATAAACATTGATTATTTATTTATTTATTTATTTATTTATTAGGCTTTGCCAATTATTCAAATACAATTACACTTAACAAATATATACAATTAATGATATACTGACATGGCCGGGTATCGCTACAGCTTTTACAGCCAGTTACAGCGACCCTTAGAAAAAAAAATTAACAAACATCTGTACAATACGACTAACTACAGCACGATGGCGGACAAGACAGGTTACGAGACACATTACCACATAAACATATTGTCTTCCAAGTTCTGGGATCTTCTGCATCAAACTGTTGAACAGCGTGTTCATTAGTTTTCATAGTATTTCAGAAGTCAACTGTTACCTACAGTATGATCCCGTCTAGTTACTAAATGGAGTTGAAATATGCATAGCTAATAAGTTGATTCTGGCCTAAGTTTGATGAATTAAGATTTTCGCATCTGCAAATGTTTACAATAAATCATGTTCACATTTTCAACTATATTATTCCTCATTCGTTAGTCTGCAGGTCAGCGGTCCTCAACCATGTGGTCGGTCATGGCACGTGTTTGTCACATGCGGTCCAGAACATATTCTGCTTCACGGAGGTTTTGATGCATTTAACAGAGAATTAGGTACATAAAACGCCGAAAAATTTCTCGCGTTCAAATTATCACGCAAATTTGGGCGGCCTATCGCGATATTCATATCCTAACAATTATCCGGAATTTCTCCCGGATGACACGAAGTGCCATCATACTTTTTTTATGTTTTCTGATACTGACTTGTTTAAAATATCGAACTTATTTCTTTATAGAGGATGCGTGGTTGCTAGATGTCAACCGTTTGGAATGGATTGAGATTGACGCGTTTACAAAAATAAGGTAGGCTACATACTATTGGTTGATGTAGTTGATTTGCATTACGGCAAATATTTGAAGGGTTAAGAAAAGTTTGCTATCATCGAAAGAAGTTCAAATAGAATATTAATTACACATTTGCAAAGTCTGGCGTCAAAGTCAGTTAGAAAACGAGATGAAGAACTTAGTCACTTGTGTGAGGAAAAAAATGCTTTTGTGCATATTACATAAAAGAAAGTTTTTAGACAGCGTCGATCATGAATATTCTATGAAATCGAGATTTGAGAGTGGTTCTTTCACACTATGAACCGGGGCTTGCAACCACTTATGATCACCTTCCAAATGCATCCGCAATGCCAATGGCAATGGGTTTTAAATATTATTGTTGCAAATATTGGACCAGTTGACATAGACAAAGGCAAAATTCCTAATCTAGATCATATCTGAATGACCATGTGGGGAAACTTCTGTCTGTTTTTTTATGTCTACGGAATCACAATAAAGCCAAAAGTGGTTTCTGATCATTCAATGCAAAGACGGGGTCATTGCAATTTTGGTCATAGGTCAATGTCACTTTTAAGGAGCTGTTTCATAAGTTTTAGCTTATGTTCCGAAGCGCGCCGGAAGACTTTGAAAAGTTGACTGAGGAAACATTAATAACATGATACTTGGTTACTCTGAGTTACCCACCGTGCAAGTTGATAGAATTAGCCTGACCCGGATGGGAAGCTAACTTTTCAGCTTGTCTGCTTCGTAACTTAGAATAGCACCATCAATTCACCAGAGCAAACGAAGATTGTACAGTTGAATATAATCCTAGCAGCAGTATGTAACATATACAAACTGCTTCGGTTCATTCATAAGAACTTGGTTTACAAAACCTCAAATACATTCAACAGCGTGTTTTCTCTCGGGTAAATTGTAACTCGAAACCACAAAAATCAGCTCGTTGTTTACTTGCGCGAAATATCTAAAATTACACATTCTAAATGGCTATGTGCACTGACTTGTTCTGACTGTAGTTCACGCGACAGCTCTAAATCCCTTTTGATGAAAACAATGACTTAGCCTCTCGCGTTGCATGACGCAGAAACAAAACGCACAATACAATATTGCAATAAATTTTTTATAAGCTTTTTTTACACGGTGGTATGACTTAATTACACAGGGAAAATACAACATTATGAAAGAAATGACCTGACGTTAAAAGTACCTTCTAAAAAACTGCTTCGATCAGCAGGATAATTTACATTATTTTATATTGCTTTCGAAATAACAGTGCACTATCTTATGATGTAATATAAATATTCATAATAATACATATTATGTTGTTGATTTGTCGTAATGAGCTTACATTTCGCAAAACGAATCTCACAATGTTACAAAATGTTCTCTACATGACTACAAGTTACCTGTACGTAATACAAGTGTTCTCTAAAACCCAACGCACACCCATTTTTACAACACAGTTTCCCAGGCGATTTCTAATAATATATGTACAATGAAACAACACAACAACGTGAGGATTATAATTCAAAACACTGCAGTTCATACTATAAGATGCTCAAAGTAATGTTTAAGTAAACCTCCCAAACATGTCACCAGAAAATAGTCCAATTCTCGACGCCATTTAGTATACCACAGGATAATACGCGTAAATAGAAGAGCGCCCAAACGTCGAAGACTCCTGAAGGTTTCCTCCGTTTTCCTCTTTCGACATTCTGAACATTGCAACGATGCTTGATATCGCTACTCCGATAACACCGGCAGCAAGAACACAGGTAACAGCAATTACAGCGACCGTGACGACCATTTTGAAGCCTTTATGATGCAAGTTTGATGATCAGGGTTTCCTAATCTGCTGATTTTGTTGTTTCGCTTGATGGCTGTTGCGACTGCTAGCTAATAAGCGTCGAATAAATTATCTCGGTGTTGGTAAATAGATCGAAAGACTGTCTTTGTGCGATGCGCGATGAACCGCAAAATGATTAGCTATTCGGGATAATTATCATAATTTACATTTTTCTGAAAGCTATTAGTAGTTTTGATATTTATTATTTTTATACCTGATGTTTTTATATCACCAGTGAGGTGTATTTTGTTTAATACTTTAAGTGTGGTGCCAGGCAGGGCCAAGGTCGGTGGATTTAGTCCACATTTAAGTCCCTCTCATCTTCAGACTTCTTCGTACAATTTAATCCACACTCCGCTGAACACCGGCTCTCATGTTTGTTTGCAGTCCATTAATTTAAGTTAAAATCTGCCAAAATGGTTTAAGAGAAATATCTTGACATTCAGGTCTGCTAAACACTGCCAAGTGATTGTCAAACAATTGGACCTCGGTTGTTATGACTTATGTCATCCGAAAATGTAAGATTGGGATAAGTATATCTTTATCCTTAGGGTCACCCTCGAAACCAGATCAGGGCATCAGGCAAAGGTTATCATCAATCTTTAACCTTGTGTATTAACAAAAAGCGGCAAAGAAAAGGGTGTTATAAAATGATCAAAAACGATAAAATAATACCGAGAAAGGGGAAATTTGTTCGCTACTCCGATGTTATACGACACCTTTGTTTGAAGACTGATTTACATACAATGTCAATGAGGAAAATTCTGCAAAAGCTGCGTTTATTATTTTTACCTTATTGCCTATACGGATCTAGATATCGAAAGAAGATCCCTTCCTTAATAATCAGTTGCATGCTGTTTAAATAACAAACGGGCCATTGTCCGCCACGAAGCCGAATTGAAATTAAAAACTCAGCGAACGTTTTCATGCTGACATTGCTATGCGCATAAAGCCGACCTCGCGAGGCAGTTAGCTCAGCCTGAAAACCATCCACACACGTGAGGAACTTGCCTCTTGAGGCGAATTCCTCACGAAAAACTATCCGCACACGAGAGTAACTTGCTGAGCTAACACTAAACAGCCACGCGTGGTCTTTACCTCAGCTAGCTCACGTATGCGGCGGGCTTAACATCACAAACTCCTGCAGTGGTTGCAGTGAACGAAATTGTTTGCTCGCTTGTATATGATAAGTATGGTGCAATATGTGAATACGACATTCATTGTCTGACCGTGGTCTGACAGAGTCATTCCAAGAATATGATAGATAGCATATTTGGCAGCTGACAGAAAAGCTATTCTCACAATCTGCCAAAGTTTAACTGTGGTTTAAACCACCCGATGTGCTGGCATGAATTGAAGATAAAAATAATTGAAAGATTGATATAAAGCTGGGTCAAAGTCAAGTATGCTTTTTTATATACAGTTGTGTTGCGCAATTCGTGTGCATCACAAGTGCAAAGTGGGAACGGTTGTCAGCAATAATCAATCTAGCAAAAATAGACTTTTTGATTGCACTTTCCGAAATCTGGTTTTAATATAAGTTTTTAATTGATAGACGAGCTGAAATTCACCAGTCTATGCTTATAACTCCAGCATTTCATAACGACCGATTCCAGTAAATTATTATCATGCAGCACCGTTAAAAGACAGAACTCTGATGCCACGCTTAAACATTCTGAGAAAAAATGTATCAAATTAGCAAGCTTGAAACACATTCGCGCGTCCCTAAAACGTTCTAAGAAAGTAGACATGTTTCATTTTGCTGTTTTCATTACTCCAATGCCCAGGGCTTCGTGCACGTCGACTCCTTGCGGCGTTCGTACATCACAACTGAAATAATTTTTTACTGGGAAACGGCAGGTATTTTACATTCAACGCATACTTGTTGGGAAAATTCCCGCACGTGGACAAACTATTATGATAAAGAGCATGAGATCGTATGATTCATGCATACCTATGAAGTGAAGTGGCCTTCCTGTACGTACGACCAATCACGACGCGGTATTTAGCGAGATTATGTATTCATGCATAATCACCACGTTACGGAAATATATTATGCCATTATTACCGGTGTTCCTGTGTTTACAAAAGACCCAACGGATTCGCGTTGCATCATTTGCGGACACTGTTGTTGCAGAGTTAGGAGCTTTTGTAAGGATTTCTACAACAAGTGTGACGACGTGATTATTACAAAGGCAAATAATATTGTTATTGGAATTTTAAAAACGAAAGACGATAAAACAAGATGGTTTTTATTGCTGCCTTACTCGTTGGTGTGGTGTCTGTTGGAGCTGTAGTGTCAATGGCAGTTTCTAGCAGTCTACATATGTTGAAAACTGTGGAAAAGGACAACAAGCGGGCAAAGGATTTGATTAAATCGCGGACGATGCCACATAATCAATATGCAGCGGTATATTGATCCACGGAACTCGCTCGAGATAAACACTAATTTCAACATGCATTTGAAAGGCAGCTGTCAATGTTTTGAAAAGATTTTAACGTTTTATCTAGGGCATTTGTCCAGGGATTTTTAAAACACTTTAAATGTACAGACATAAAGTAACCTCTGTATGGAAACCGCCAAGCAGTCTTATTGGATCCTGAGAACTTAGATTCTAATTGGTTTTCGACAATTATGAACTTACAGCGGTTTCTAGGATTTTTAGACGGGTCTGAAACTTGCATGTCTAGGGTCTGTCTATCTGTATATTTTGAGGGTATTGTTAAATGCCGTTCATTAAGGACATACGAAGTTTTTTCGGAACATTGACAAGCTCTTGAGCACTAATTTAAGCAATGAAGCATCGCTAGGACACGAGAGCAGTTCTGTGATGGATCGTTGTCATTTTGGGCGCACCGCCATACAGATGGATGCAAGATTTATGATTTTGGGCGCACCGCCATACAGATGGATGCAAGATTTATGATTCATTCCTGTTGGTATTGAACATTTGAACCTTTCTTCGTTTGTTTTGGTCCGGCATTGTTCACGTGAAGCGTTTGTTGGGAAAATTCCGACGACGGGAAAAATCCGAGATCAAGTTGCGGAAGCGACAATACAATGGAGGCGGGTCGTGTCGAAGTGCTGGCCAATATAATAGCTTGATCTGATTGGATGATGTCTCGCTGTGCAACGCTCCCTGATTGACTGATGTGTGATTAAAAATACAAACTGTGTACACTTGCGTTAAATTATGGTTAAACTTATACTCCGGGTGGGTTGATTGTTGTGTATATTTATATTATCGTGTAAAAAGACAGTTCGATTGAATAGAATTGTAAATAGAATATTTATTGTGAAATAAGAAGCTTTTGTTGATCCGATATTGTAGAGAGAAAACTATTGGAATATTAAATAATGCAAAACTGAGTCGTCACGTCCGCTGTTTCCTATCCAATTCGATTCTCGTTGAGGATGCATGGTCCAATTGAGGATGACTGTGCATGTTGCATTGTGTGCGCATTTGCACACATTTTCGCATTTCCTACCCAGGTCTTACCGCGTACACCGTCCACGGAAACCTGGGTAAGAGGATAGTACGTATGATGAAAAAATCTTGAAACAAGGCCATGCACTAATGTATCATAAAATTCCCTGCACATACTTATTGGTTTTTCTGCGTTCCACTTGCACTGTGCAAGTTCATACATGCGGCCACATACACCATAGCATTTCACTACAAGCGAAACTTAGTCTTACATTTCGTCTTTGCATCTATTTTTCGTCTCCCAATCACCGTTCTCGATTCAGCTAAGGAACAGTTTCTACCATATGTTCTTTTACTGAATAACATCGCTCAAACAAAGCAATTTACACTTGTACTTCTTTCAAATGAAATATTTAGGTTTTCCTCTTTTCCAGACCGCCCAAAACAAGGCTATGGCATGCTGCATGTCGAACGGAAAACGAAGGAGAAATCGCGATATTTGGTGGAAGTGCCGGTCAGTTTTTTGGGCCAAATACTGTAAGTTCAACACTTCTCTTCAAAATAAATTCATGAAAGTGTATAGCAAGATCCTTCCGTGTGACAATTGATTAAAATTCCTTCGTACAAAAAGCTTTTTCTTTAACCAAAGATGGTAAACAGATTCCGTCGATTCAATGTAACTGACAATAAGAGTAGATTAGTGAAGTTTCGTGGATTGATAAAACACCAGAGTGTATCTTTTTCATTTAGCGTCACACGAATGAATTATTCTTTTTCAATTTTACTCCGAGAAGTCTTCAAAGGTAAGAAAAATATAATAACTCAAAAAAGCAACTTTAAATCCGTGGTAGGAATGCGGAATCAATTGTTCGAATAAATTATCAAAGCTATCATAGAAAAGAATGACTAAATTTTGTCATCCATGTTTTCAGGCTTTGCGAGGAAGTCGTAAAAACCAGGGGAAATGATGCATTTCAACTGGGTAAACTACCCAGGCACATTGGAAGGAACTTGAAACCGCGAAGTCGCTCACATGAGCGTTAAAAATCGTACGAATAAATGCTGTGCTTCTCTTAAATCATTCGTTAAGAGATGGATTGTTGTGTTTTACAAACGGGTTTGTCAATCATGTACAACAATATGGACAAAAAACAGTACAACTTCTTCGAGACGTTTGACCCTCTGAAAAATAATGCAACTCTTGCAAATAAGAAATCATTATTGGATGAGTTGCGCCGGGCGATGTTGAGAATTTTCAAGGCCCAGGTTGGTGTTATCTGCCGAAGCCGATACCACACACGAAAAAGTAGATTATTCAACATTTCAATATTGATAATAGTCACGGCAAAGTCCAAGCAAGGGTATTGCTTGAAAATTTTCCTCGACCGTTTAGCTGCCCCCAGAACGGAACGCTGCCAACGTTTGGCAACATCCCCATGCCCCCCATTCCCGAGACAAACATGATTTCACACGTTTTGACAAAACAATAACTGTAGTAACTTTATAACCACTAACTTCGTTTGATTGTCATAATGAATAATGTTCGCTAATCGCTGAATAACGCACCATAGTACCACACAGTAAATTTGCTATAGTACTACCATACAGTAATATGTACCATAGCAAGACTATAAGAACCATAGTACTATACCGTACTATGAAGTAATACCATAAGTACCATGTATAATACCAATTTTAGTAAAGTATGTACCATCGAATATAAACTATAGTACCATACAGTAATATGTTCGATCGTACCAAAGAGTAATATTTACCACAGTATATACCCTACTGTAATATGTACTAGTAACATCATATGTACCATGCATATAGTTCAAATGGTATTAATCGGAATAACAAAATCCCTGGTAGTGATTGACGTCTCTTTAACCGTCATGGTGAACAAGAATTGGTCGTGATTAAAAATACACGTCCAATAATATATTCATGAATATATATCTATGGCATAATACACATTAAAATATATTACATAGCGAACCAGGACGCCTTGCAAATCACTGCCATCACGCATGCGTGTTGTATATAAAAATATAACTTCTTTAATGGACTATATCCTTGGTTATTTTATGAAATTTGATGCTTCCTAAAAAGAATACATCTTTTTAGATTCAGTGTATATGTAATATATTTTAAGACCGGCAGGCAATCCCTATCGATCCTCATTAAACCCAAATAAACCCCTAATTCTCCAGTGGGACCAGGGACTACAGAGATACTCGCATAATTTTGGTATTTATTTACTTACCACAGTTGATTTCCCTTTGATCGATCTTATAACTTGTTTAAAAGCTCGTACCCATTCCAACATATCCTCCTCGCTTTCCGCTTGGATGTAGTACGTTCTCTGAGGAGTGACCACTTCGAAAACATGTGGTTTATTGCTGATTGCTGCCCTATAGTGGAAACGTAGTAGAAAGGCTGCCAGTTAAAAAGAAAGCAATATTCACCTCTGCTAAAATACAATTTACGACGCTACTACACCGTATCGTGTATGACTTCATAAACTAAATAAAGTCTGAGTAAAACACCTCAGTTTTTAGAAGCAAACAAGAGTTGATTTATTCTACTAATTAGTTAATTAGTATTGTATTCTACTAATTAGTTAATTAGTATAGTATTCTACTAATTAGTTAATTAGTATCGTGTTCTATTAATTAGTTAATTAGTATCGTATTCTATTAATTAGTATTATTTGTTTGATATTGAACTGACACTCCATTGGTTTGTAAAATCAACCAAGATAGCGGCAATTGTAAAGCGGGTCTGTTCACACGCCAAACTCAGTGTCAGATCCAATTCACTTCTGACGTATGGAATGTAGTTTGTTATTGATAAAGCAGTACTGCATTGGCTTTTGTTGATTTGCTGTCCATATACATTGCACGTCAACAGACTATAAAGCATTCATCAGAAGTGAATTGAATCCGACAAAATTGGAGACCTTAAAACTGCAATAGCTATTAGGCTCGTACCCGGTATATGGTTTAGCTCCTCTGAGATCCGTTGCGGACACCGAACCTCGCGGTTCTTTATCCTACACAGAAAAAAAACAATACAAGATTCAATAGAAAGGAAATATTCATAACATTCATTCATAGCAGACTTGAGCTTGGCCGGTTGTATAAAACTCTTGAACTACATTTTGCATTATAACCAGGGAGCAGCGTGGCAGCCTCTTCAAACAACTTAGCATCAAATGTGGTATAACAATTGCCTAAAATAGAAAAAACACTTCTCGACGTTTCGACCTGAGGGCCTTCGTCAGGAGAGTTAATAACGAAGGCCCTCAGGTCGAAACGTCGAGAAGTGTTTTGTCTATTTTAGGCAATTGTTATACCACATTTGATGCTACATTTTGCATCATTAAATCCTAGTTAACTCAGAAATACACAACTCTGAGTGGCCAATTCTGTCCTTAACTACAGTTAAAAGTTAACTAGTCTTTTATACAACTGGCCCCAGCAGTTTTTTCCGACGAAGGAAGTTTTATATTAATTATATCGGCTTTGGATGAGTCCACTTACACGACCGCTCTAAAACTAAAACTAAAGCAAAATGCCAAAAGTAGACCCGAGGTTTTTCATAGCCATGGGGCGGAAATTTTCGCACACCACGCACACTTCGCAGGTTTTCTTTTTAATTGTGATCCGTCAAGTGGATGTGAAGCGGTTGACCTCACAAAATCGAAAAGATGAAGCGTATGGTTTTGTTCCTTCGAAATATTCCGCCTTGTAAACCGCATTTAGGTTCGGAAAGAGAAAAACGAAAATAGCAAACAATGCAAGCAACTTTGAAACTTTCCCATATGCACGCTCTTACCGTTTCTTTTTCGTAATAACAAAATTTAAACATATCCAATCTTAAATATCGCCTTTTCCAACTCTTCACCTAAATCATGAAACAGAAAACATTTTCGTAAATATTACGATTATTATTATGTCTACAAACATGATTAACCTTAAAAAGCTATTAATTAATCATGTAGTTAATTAGTCATGGAATAGATGGAATAGAGTTGTGAGATAATTCTTCAATGAAGACGGTTATAAATAAGTTCGATTTGGATCAATTTGCACGTAAAAATCAACGAATTAGACAATCCACTTACCACTGCACCTTGCTTAATGCAGTAACCCCCTTTTATCGGCCTGATTGTGTCACTTGTTCCCGAGTTACAACGGCTGTTAGGAAGCGAATCAGGGTCACCAGTATTGGTCTACGAAAGATGAAAACATGGTCATGGTTAACTTTCGATAAATTTCTGGTTGGAAGAATTTAGCCCAGGGATGAATAGGAAACGCGTTCTTGAAGAAGCATCTGTGATTCGCGCGGATTTTCCGATGTTTCCAAGTTTGCATCACGTGAAAACATTCGGTCGCAAAAAGGGGAAAAGTTGATCTGATATTAATCCACCAACCTTAACGGTTCTGACAGGAATTCCGCCGATGATTTTTGTCTCATAGCTCACATTACTCTGTGTGTCCTCCAAGGAATCATTGCTACACGTAGATTTAACACTTCCACCTCTTTCCACACCTCCAATGCTTTCACGACTCGGATTTACCTGGTGAATTTGAGTGCAAAACAACAATTCTGAACATCACTTACTTATTTACCAACAAAACTAATACATTCTTGTAATTTTGCATGGTGACATCAAATTTTAAGTAAGGTAGCAAAAATTCACTTACTGCAGCTTTGTGCAGTGCTTTGAACCACTCTTCAATTTCAGATTCGCTGTCTGATTTCAAATACCATTTCTTGGATGCTGTGTGGATCTCTAAAGGAAACCCTTAATTCAATTAGCTGTAAATTCAAAGCCTCATTAATAACTTACCAAACTTACTTCTTCTTACCAAACTTACTCCTCATTAATAACTTACCAAAACAGTAATCAGCTGTTGGCTTATTGGTCGTTATAGCAACCTGGAAAAGTAACACAAAATGCTTGTGTGAAACCAAGAGAAATTGCATTTATTGTTTTTTCCTCAACACAGCTTTGTTGTTGCAGGTTACCATTGCCCATACCTTTGTTATGTAGGCCAAATCAATAGTTTGGTTTGGAGCATCTTTTATGGATTCCTAGTTAAAGAAATATGTAGTGCATTATACTGCCTAATAAAAAAATTATGTTCAATGTTCCAGGGATATCCATTAGTCCAATATACCAGTTCAAACTACTCAGTTCTATATAGCATTCACTTACAAATGTCCCTCGATTAGCCTGGTACTCTATAATTACTATCCAATTTTCAAATGCTAACCAACACTTATTTGAGGTTGTATTACAACAACAATATTAGATATAATAATTGAAAACACCTTATAATCATTCTGAAGCCTAAGCACTTGGCAACCTATATTGTTTGTTATGTAACACCCATCACAATATAGTTTGTGAAGTTTTTCCTGTATTTTAAATGGATAGATTTAATTGCTAAACGCTGTTAAATCCCAGACATGCATTCCTTGTTGTTTGTGATTTAGTTGTAGTTACAACGATCATAGTTCATCTTTGTTGGACGCAAAGGTAAATAGAAGAATTGGGGAAAAACGAATGGCTAAAAATATGCAACGCAAATAGTCTAATGAAACTTAAACAGTCGGCTTGCGAAGGTAAATAGATTTCTTCTGCAGTTTTGAAAGCAAAAAATATATAAACCAGAACGAATCGTTAGGTTTTGATCGTGGTATATCAATAACCGACCTTTGATCACACCTGCCCCGGCAGAACGCCATATAATGCGATGAACAGTGATAATAATTAGGCATAATTTGTAACATTATTAAATTCTGTTTAAAGCACACGATTCAGTCAATACACCCTGTGCTATGTTTCCTGTTTAAAAGCACGGCAAACATTTAGTACCTGCTATTACTATTTCTCATATTCGATGCTTTGTTGTCAAGGATGCTTCGCTTTATTGTAATTTTTAAACAAACCAAGCATGACAATGATGACATGAATCAATACGTCTCACATTATCTTGATCTAAACGCACACCAAAACATTCGCTGTTTCGACGCGTATGATGATAAATAATTAAAGCTTTTGCCATCGACTAAGAGCGTTTACCTGCATCGTTTCTTTACCGGGGTAAAATCTTAAAGTCGTGTCGTCAAGAAGGACGAAACGCTTTCTCCAAGCATCAGCGTAGTCGTGTTCCTCCACTTCTAAATAGCCTCCAAGACGACCATAACTATCTCGTTCGGGCATTTTTAAGATCAATCTTTTCTGTAAAACTTTAGACTTCTCGCTCGTACAGCTACCAATTTGTCAACCTCGATCGAGTATCACCGTGAATTAATATCCCACGAAAACAGCACAACAAGAAATGCTCAACTCATGTCACGAATACCTTGTATAGACTGAGCAATGAAAAGTATTTTATAAAAAGTGCTTCGACTTGTAATAGTACCCGCTTGATCCAGCTTCGTTCTGTCGACAAAATTAAACCTTTTCTCGCAGTAGTGTTGTTCAAACACTCGTATCAAACATGTACACAACGATCGATGTTTAGCCGTGCGGTTTATAAGTGTGAAAACCGAGCTAAAATTACAACAAGCTAAGCACGGCTAGCTAGAAGTATGAATATTCAAACACTTCCGCTTTACTCGCAGGTTTCCTGCTGATAAAAGAAATGTCGACCGCCGAAAGAATTCGAATATACGCCGCAAAATCAGAAGCTTATGCTATATGAAATACTCTGTCCTTTGAAATAATTTAGTGTTGTAGTTGTACCGTAAGCCTGGTCGATTGCGAAACCAAAAATTCGCTGTTGCGAAGGGTGAGGGCTTGTCAAAACAATGTTCACTTCTGTGTGTGTTTTGCGCAAGCTTTATCGGCGGAGATTTGCGGCTGAGCAAAAGAGCGAAGCATAAACTGGTGTCAAGCTGGCCATCAGGTAAGGAAACCTAAAACGAATTACTATTAAGGTTATTGCTAGCAAATGTTTGTAGGTAATAGACTAGTTCCTTTGTGTTGTTTAATACGAATCGAGGTTACACGTTGTTGCAATCGTGAATGCGAGTATTTCAGAGGTATCACATATGACAAACTGCCGAGCTGAAGAAGGGCGTTCAATGTTGATATTCCTGTCGGATTCTAAGCCAAAGGCAGTGAACAGCAAATTCTTTCCACTTGTAGAATATATTTTAGGAATTACCATCCACGTATACGAAAACAACAGGGGTGCTTTTAAAAAGGAATATTTTGACACGGAAGTTTATTGGTCAGATTTACCTGTGGTCAGATTTACCTGTAAATTTTACAGATTTGTCCCAAAATGCAACGGCGATTACCCTAGATCGTTTTGTGTCGCATATTGGATAAGTAAAGTGGACATAACAACAGCGCTAACTCCGAACTCTCCGAGCTATTACGAAGCTAATAGTCAAACATCTCATGACATGCATGTGGCTCATTCTGTAGTGTACATATGATAATCTACCTCAGACTTTAAAATTACGCGAGGCTGTCTGGTCGTGTGACAGATAATAGTTGATATCCGAAAGTATCAGCATCAGTCACAATGATAGAGAAAATGCTGTTTTTAAATACTTTCGAAATTCGAAACATAAAGAATCCTTAAATTCATTCTGCATGACTTAATCCTTCGTTCTCGTAGCAAACCATGCATACCAGTTGAGAAAACGAAAGTATAAAAACAGCTAAAATAGTCACGGGCGAAACGTTTTCAAGATTATCTTACTGACGTGTTAACCTGCGTTTTACTCATAGACTATTATAGTATCTTAGGATATTCTTGGCTTTCATGCATGTGCGGATGTCAAAGATTTCAGTAGGGGTCAACTCGAAATCGACACAGTGGTTGTCCGCTGTGCAGCATGTTCATTCCAGTGGTTCATTCAGCATGATCGCTTCGCCGCAAGCGTTGTCTTTGTTCTTCGGAGCAAATTCCTTCAATTTCGTAACATTTGCATGCTCACTTTTGTTTAACAAATAAGCGTGGACATTTTGAAAGCTGATCAATAAACCAATCAATAATCAACAGACCATTCTACGTGCAGTTTCGTAACGTTCGCCCACTTCTGTTCAACAAACAAGAGTCGTAAACCAATAATAAACCAATCAATAATTTAAAATTTTAGATGTTAGTTCGATTTATGCTAAAAACAGACATCCGTCAGGACGGGGAAGATAAGTCGCCGTTGACAAAGTCTTCCTCGCAGATAAGTTCGCCTTGATGGACGATCCGTCCTTCCGTGAGCGTTTATACATAGGCCTCATTTAGTTAAGCTTGTTCTCTTAAAACCTTAAACGTTGATCTTTGGAAACCAACTAAGCCTACTAAATGATCATTGGGATTCCTTATTAGCTCCCATGCATGCAGGCTCTCGGACCAGACATTTCACATTTGCCGTTGAAGGAAGTATGTTTCCTGATGCGAGGCTTCCATACTGTCACAAGTATCCTTGTAAGGCCAGATTTTCACTTTTATCAATTACCACCAGTACGAGTATAAATATATGCAGTTGAACCAATCAATTCTTGATATTGAGCGCTCTGTGTTCAAGGTGCTTTGAAAGGAAAACGCGCAGCTTGAATTAATCAGCTGCATGTATATATACTTTAGTGCAGAAGAAATGTCTGGGCGCTTTGCCAAGCAAGTTTGTCTGGGCAAATTCAACGTTTGAAAAACGTACAAAAAATTCGTAAATACAAGCGACAAATACGCCTCTTCTTCGAGATATTTGCATATCTTGCATCGTCAGCTCTCTTCTTCCAATGACGAACGTTTCGAAATTAAGTTGTACCTAGAACGATTGATTGTGTCTCGCACAAACCTGTATCTGGCCGATGGCAATTGTTAAATTAAATATGACTAAAATAATATTCCATCAAATAAGTGATCAAAAACATTTACACAGCTGATCGGCTTTAAATGAAAAATTATCAAATTTATTCGGGTCAACTGAAACAACGATAAATAATATAGTCCAATAAATGATTCTGCAAGCAACCAATTTTGAACTGTTCACTGTTTTCATATACGTGAAGTTTCGAGTATTTTTTAGTAGCTAAATCAAATAAATTTTTTTCGAGCAAATCAGCATGCTTGTGTCAATGTTTTTCAATCTATAATATTTGATTTGAATACCAGTTATTTAAACACTTCTACTAAATTTTATGCGAGTTTAAAATAGAAAGCTATCAATGTGTCGGTCAACCTCGTACCCAGGGAGCGTAGGTAAAAGACCTTGGGTACGAGGTTGTGTGTCGGTGGGCGAAATATATACAGTCATACTGTCAAATGTCCCTCGATCAAGATATAGAAATGTGACTTCAAAGGATCGTTTCTTAGAAACTATAGGTGGGTTTCACCCAAGACTAACTCTACATAACGAAGCACTTGGTGTTCAACTTCACACATATTGCCGAATTATGCCTTGTGGAAGTGAGCAAATTTCGTTAAATTGCACATAACATCTACTCAACATTAAGTCAAAACCTACAATGAATATTTTACTCGATTTCGACGACCAAGTGATAAATCTGTCACGTGACTGAAACCCAGCTATTCATAGTAAAGAGGGCCACCCTGTATGTAATATATATATGAATATATATAAAAACTGCCTGAATACTCATTTCCTCTCAACTCAATCAATTTCCGAGTATTTACTCATGATAAAAGCTAAATTAATAAGGTATATAGTTTGAATGAGAATTGCTTTTTACATGCAGTAGAAATGGATGAAATGGGTTGCAATTTTAGATTTAAAAGGCTGGCTTAGCACGAATCTAAGTAAGTTATTCATATATTGTACACAGGCTGCACATGAAATATGGACGATGATTAAATAGAGACACTCAACTCACGAGATTAAAAAAACCGTCAAAAATGACTTTGGAATATTGGCATAGTGATTAATAGACGCCTATGATTAGATAGAATCAATTTTATAGTCTCTTAACGGAAGAACAAAGTTGGATATGAATATCCTGCTTGCATGATCAAAGCCATGTCTTTCGGTAAAGTTCGTGTTTTCATTTATAACCGTGCCGACATTGACACAAAAATGCGGGAATTATGCACGAGAAGGCTATTATAAAATGTCTACAATATAGGTCACCCTTAGGCCTTCTTTCTCGTTTAATTAATTATTGAAAATCTCTTATTCTTTACACTGCGGGAACTGTCAAATGAAAAGACAAATAGTTGTACTTGACGGAGAGTTATGAATGCATGTGTGCACATATTTGCGGCGTATACGACGACATCTGCGCATGCACGTCAATGCAAATCCACACCGAAGGAAAGAAAAGAAAAACTTCGACAGCACATTAACGCAGACAAAAGGGAAAGCAATATAACTTCACACGCCTCTCACTTCGTGCATGTAGAAACTTCGAAACAGGATGTATATAGCATTAGGGAAATAAAGAGCAATGTTCCGCCAGTAAGTATATATAAAGTCGAACATTCACAGAGTCAACTATATATATACATGCTGCTGCTATACTTAACCGTGCACGACCTATCATATGTTATATTAATAAACTCCAATAATCTCATTTTATAACCTATAGTTTAAATTGTATGTTGTCTCTTTAAACAGCTGCCTGTTACTCATGTCATCAACTACAATGGTTTGTTTCTGGTGTATTCTGTTCCCCTCGTTGTTCCTGAGCGCATTTGCAGGAGAAGGTATGTTTTACCGGGCCACGAACCCTTGTAATTATACCATCTAAGGCTTGAAATCGAACCAGGAAAATCTCTAATTCCTGGCCAGCAGATATGTGCCAATACTTTCGCCGTTCACTTCCCTTATCAATAAACGAACTGCATGTATAATTGCATGTTTATATTATATATAATGTTCATATTATCCCATCAGTGCATGTGAGGTTCTCCATATTTCCAACCATATAGTTGAGTTACACTTCAAACTATGTTTGAATTTTCTTACTTAAAATCAATAATTTTCACGTCAATAAAATGAATGCAGAAGCGTCAAACTTCTTTACAGACCGAAATGGTTTTAATTTTTTTTGTCATACTGTTTACATGTACAAGCATTTTATATACAAGAGAATAGGTGCTTAATGTATAGATATAATAAAACAAAACTCGTTTGTCTCAGAACTATATACGATTGTATATTTGGGTGTAGCGTAGAGCTTTCGTATTTTCATGCAGCAGACAAAGATTCAAATATAATTTCGAAGGATAGTTTTCGAATTTAAAATTGTATCAAAATTTATATATTACATGTAAGATCATGCGTGATTGTAATCAATAATATTTCATTTAGTTCATTTGATAAACTGGGACAGTATTGGCCACACTAATGTGAAATGGCAAATACTTTTTATTAATATAGTCACATAATTACGATTTTTACAGACAAGCTGACGACTGACGGGGACATTATTTTGGGCGCTCTATTTCCGATTCATCAGATTGGAAGGACGGAAAAGGAATGCGGCGTGTTTAATGAACTGGTTGGTTACCAGTACATGGAGGCTATGTTGTACGCTTTAGACAAGATAAACGAACGTAATGACATTCTTCCAGGCATCAAACTCGGTTCAATCATCTACGACACTTGTCGCAGCCCAATTATAACCGCAGACAAAACAAAGGAGTACATTAAAGTTACTCTGAAGAAGTCCACTCCAAACAGTACCGAGTTTGCTGGCGTTATCGGCGCATTTAAAAGCGGTAATTCGGTGATCGCCGCCAACTTTTTACGCGTATTTCGAATCCCACAGATAAGCTACGGTTCACTTACGGTCAAACTGAGCAACAAGAATGTGTTTAATTACTTTCTTCGTACCGTCCCCCCCGATAGCTTTTTTGCGGCCGCGTTGGTTAAGCTTCTCTTGAGAATGGGATGGACGTACGTTTCCATTGTTTACTCATCCGGGACATGGCCGGAGACTGGAGCCGAGGAAGTCAGAAAGGCCTTGAAAAATGACAAGGTAACTCATCCGCGTTGGTATTATCAAATTATTTTTAAAACTTTTCTAAAAGTGGCCAGCCCTGCTAGCTAAGTTTTTACGAAGGGGTTTAAAGCGAAAGACAGTTTTACTCACAACCCAATCATATTTGAAGCTTATTTCGATGAACCCTTTCTCGTTCGTTCTACTGACACCCTGATGGAAGTGGTAGCTTCTGGAGGTCTTCGTTGCTAACCGTGTGTAATGGAAAAAAGATCGACAAAAAACTGCTCTTTTTACAGCTTACGGAGTCCTGAGAAGTGTTTTCCCCCCTATATATAGAGCTTGCAATTCATACAGTCATCTTGAAGACGATATATTTTATTTTATTAACCATCTATTTATCCATCTAGATCTGCGTCGCAAAATCTCTGCAGCTATCTCGCTTTCCAACACCCGAGGATTTTGCTAGGATCGTGGAAGAATTGACCCAAGATAGTCAGCCGAGAATAGTGGTGCTTGTCACCATTCAGCGGGACTCACGCGGACTTCTCGTGGCGAAGAAGAAAAACCCACGCGGTTCGAGGCTGTCCCTCGTGGGTAGTCTCGAATGGAGTAACCGCAGGGACATCACGCAAGGTCTCGACGACATAGCGGACGGCACCATCGCATTCGGTCATAGAGAAGGAAGAATTCCTGAATTTGAATACTACTTTCGAAATTTAACGTTCAAAAACTACAGTAGAAATAACAAATACTGGATTGGGGAATATTGGCAGACGACGTACAAGTGTAAATTGCGGAATATTTCGGTCCCAACAAACTATACAAACTATTGCAGCGAAGATGAAATGAATCGACTGAATACTGGGTGAGCTTTTTATCGCATATAGTTCCACAACAACAATAACAACAACAACAACAATAATAATGTTAAGCAACAACAACAGCAATGTTAGGCAACAACAGTTACAATAATAACAACAACAACAACAACAATTTTAAGCAACAACAAAAACAGAAACAACAAGTTTGTTTCCGTAATAAGTAGAAAGCTGAAATTGACTGAAAGCAAAAGCGTAGTGTACTCTGTTTAACTCACCAAAGGATATAGATAAAAAATCTTTAAGATGAGAATTTTTACGATAAAGAAATGAGAAATATACGAGGGATATAGATATTTGGAGGAGCAATAGAGCTTTAAACAGGCTTAGTCTAACTCTTATTTTTCCAGGTACAAGGAACTTGCGCCAGTTCAGGTTGTTATCAACGCAGTTCAAGCAATGGCGAGAGGCCTTGACGCGTTACAAAGACACAAGTGCCCGAATACCACGAAGATCTGCAAGGCGATGCGACCGTTAGATCGAACTCTGTTGCTAGAATTCCTTCGTAACGTCACATACAACGATGCAGCGTTCCACTTCCCCGTCTCATTCAACGCCAAACAAGAAGTGGACGGCAACTACACTCTCTTTAACTTTCGCTGGGACAACAGCTCCTACAAGTACATTGAAGTCGGTTCATGGGTCAGCAGATTAAATTCAGATGGCGTTATAGAGGGGCGCTTGGTGCTCGACGATTCGAAGATTCGCTGGGCAAAGGGAAATAAAACGGCACCGCTGTCCACGTGTCGGCCAAAGTGCAAGCGCAATGAAATTACCATAATCCGCGAAGACCAGTGTTGCCATAAATGTCAAGCGTGCGCAGCCAATGCTGTGGTCGTGAACAACACGTGCCGGCCGTGTGACGAAGGCCATGTTCCAAACAAGAACGTAACATCGTGTAAAAAGCTGCCTTTAAGGTACGTAAACATGGACACGACTCTTGCAGGATTCTTAGCGTTCTTCGCCGTACTTGGCATCGTTGCGGACGCAATTGTTTTCGCGATATTCAAGAAAAACTCGGGCAACAAGCTCATAAAGGCGTGCGGCCGGGAGATGTGTTACTTCATGTTCCTCGGCATCGCTACGATTTTCGTCGTTCCGTTAAGCTCGCTGTCAAAACCCACGCAAAGCTTGTGCTATTTCCGCCGTTTCATCATGGGCGTTTCGTTCACGCTTTGCTACGCTCCGCTCCTCATGAAAATGTTTCGGATTCACCGAATCTTCACGAACGCGAATCGGCTGCAGCGATCGAGTAATCTGATTGGTCGACGCTCCCTTCTGTTGATCACGACCGGTCTCGTTGCGGTTCAGGGCCTGTTCTGCGTGCTCGTGTTCAGCTCGGACCCTCCGAAACTGCGGGAGAAGTTTTACCCGCAGCGAGACGAGCTGGCGCTAGAGTGCGATTTCAAAAGAACATCTTTTGCGATTTACTTTCTCTACAACCTCGTGCTCATCGTCTGGTGTACTTTCTACGCCTTTCGCACACGGCATTTTCCGAAGAATTTTAACGAGGCTATGCACATTGGAATAACAATGTACCTCACCTGTGTTGTGTGGGTCGTCTTCCTAGCGACGTTCCTCAACGCCGATTACAGCATCTCTCGTGTTTACTGGTTGTCGGCGACTAGCCTTCTGATTGGCTGGATCACTCTCTTGGGACTGTTCGCGCCAAAAGTGTACCAGCTCTACACGAAGACCGAGTTCCCAAAAGGAATGTTGATGCCCTGGAGCGACTCGATGTTTCCGAAGGCGGAAAGTTCTTTGGACATTACAGACGCATGCAGACGTCAAGAGATAGATGGTGTACGAGCCAATGGTAGCCAGGGATCGACCTCAAGCAACAAAGCCCACGTTTTGAAACCTTCCGGACTCTCGAACACAGGGCTTGTAAATTAGGATATATAAAATAAATGGTGACAAATAAAAATTAAGGCGCTGTTACACAATACAATTTTCTTTGCAACTTGCAATGCAATTACAATTTTGAGGGATATTAATTAGTAAAGAGTGTTTGAAATACTAAGAAAACGTTAGCAGATCGTACGAAATGTTCGTATTTGTCAACTTCAGATGCCTCAGATTGCATTGCAGGTTGCAAGAAAAGGTACATAGTGTAACAATGCATTCAGGGTTGAAAAGTTGAAATCTATTTATCTAGAATAATAATGATGATGCATAACCGCGACTAGAGAAAGTCATAGAGCTGAACATAATTTTCTGTCAAATGCTATAACTTTCAAGGGAACCACCTAGCCTTCAATTTATTTAAACTTCTGAAGATGGAAGTATTTGTTGATTTATAATTCTTCTCACTGGTAATAATATTTGAGTATATTTATTAGCAGTAAGTGCATGAAAGCCTGAAAGGGAATTGGAAAGAACGTCGAAACCATCTCGGCTTACTCTGCCTGATTCCCGTTAAGGCCATGGCCGTTATGAAAAGAGCGCCATGTGGTCTCAAACTTTGTAAATATCATACTAATGACGGGTCATCATCGCAATAAAACAAGGGTTCAAATAGGAAGGAGTCGTTCCGAAGCACATCGTATGCTTCTCCTTGGCCATTGTTAATTCGATGTAAAGGCCCAAAGTGATTGATATTCATCAATGGTATAGTAAATAATTACTACATACAGGGCATGGGGTAGTTTCTCTACAAGCGTACGAGATTTTAGGAATTGTTTTTAAGAGTTCTAAGATTTTTGCAAAGATATGTGAGATTTTCACAAAGATTTTTAATCAAGATTATTTTCTTTAAGATTTTAAGATTTCATGCCACTCTTTGACAAAGCAATTTTTTTGGATGTTAAGTAAAGATCGAAATTTACCGCTTTCACCTTATATGGACTTCTATCAGTTGATAATTCTAAGAACGCGAGTAAACTCGAAGTATACCTTGATCAATTGATCATCAAAAAGGCAAAAGCTGACGTCGACGGCCACTCAAAACCTGCTGATAACGTTGATTATTTCTTCTGTTTTTCATTCTGTGCTGAGGTTGAAACGATTCCATCCTCTGAAGCTACAAAAGTAAGTGAACGTTATACATGGGGGAAATATCTAAATATTCACCCATCCATATACGCTGGTACGAAAAGCTAACGATTATTTTCTGATTGTATTAGATCATTATTGTGTGACTGTCAGGGGGATTCTGTGGTTTCTGTCGGGCGTTCTTGAAGCACGCTAGTTATATTTTCCAGTGATTCCAATGCGAAGACGATTCGAGGAAGAAATACAGGAAATTTTCTCACATGTAGCTACAACTCAAACATTTGAAATTACCAATTTCGAGTCAGGACTATAGATTTAATGGATTTTGATTTAATGCAATATTAATATGTATGTAAAAAAACAAGCTGACAAAACATTGACACTGACGGGGTAATTTAACTTTGTCACGCAAGGTTCGGTTCCCTTTTTTTAATCAAATTGTTTTTAAATCACGGGGCCGAATGAGATCAGTTGTTGACGTTTTAATAAATCTCTGAAGCACAGGTTCATGCCCATTATTGGCGTGGGGCTACAGCGCTCGCAACAGCCTACTGGAGTGAGAAATACAGGTGCTCCATTCCCTCAATAACGATTTAAAAGCGTAACGGCTCCAAGAATGATAAAGCAATGCCGATGAGGTTGCCCTGATCAAAACGTTGTAAACATCACTGGTAAATCTCGCAAAATGAATCTGAGGATTCATTGGAACTCCACTCTGACACTCATTTGAATCTTAGACTGATAGTGACTTTTTTTGAAGTAAAAAATTATCTAGTCTGTCAATCTTAACCAGTTTAATCGTGAAACAGACAAACAGTTCCCAATAAACAGCTCCTGTGCCGATATGGAATAGTATACTTATATTTAAAATACACATGCATGATGCACGTTAAAACACACATGCATGACGCACAGGAGAAACTCACAGCTGTGGCTGGATTAGTAACGACTAACTTGGTGTTTAAATGCTCACGGCACAAGACAATTCTTCCATTTGATAAACCAAATATACATTGAATACCATAAAGGTTTGGAAATTTCAACTTAAATGTCATAGTTTAACTTAAATGTTTCCTTGTTGTTTACACAATATCATGTAATGCGGCTAACATTACTAAAACGTCCGAAATTAGGCAAAGAAAATAATCAACTAAGCAATTGTTGTCATGATTTTATATTATAATATAATGTTCTCCTGTTATTCACGTTTAACGTGTAGGCACCTAAAGTAAGAAAGGAGTACATGGTTTACACGTGTACATATTTCTGCCTTTTGAAACGTTTTAGAACTGTAGCTTCGATTTGGACGTTTGAAATGATGACAGTGTTTTACTCGTTGACCATTGCTCTTCAATTCTACGGCGATCTTCTTGCTGCAGAGAAAGGTAAATATATCTTTCAAAATGCAATGCTATATAGTAACGCCAGTTACACACGAGGTGTCTATGAAGGTTTTTACCCGGAGAAACAGGAGTAGTCAGGAACTACATGAGACGCGCATATGCTTGCAGCACTGCAAAGAGGTCGCATTTTTCCATGCGCGTCTAAACTCAGCTGGTCAGGGGCCAGTTGTATAAAAAACTAGTTAACTTTTGATTGTAAGGACATGCAGAATTAAGCGATAAGAGTTGTGTATTTCTGCGTTTTTCATTGTTCTTGTGTAACTGCGAAGCTAACAGTCTACATTCTTTTCAGCTCGTACGTTTAAAACAGATGGAGACATCTTAATCGGCGGACAGTTCCCGCTACACCTTGGAACTCCGAAGTTTCTATGCCAAACGTTTAACACGAATCCCGGCTTCCAGTACATGGTCGCGATGCTGTACGCTTTGGATAAGATCAACTCCGACCCGACCATTCTTCCGGGCATCAAACTCGGCAGCGTCATTTCGGATACGTGCGGAAACATGATTCTATCTGGCTTAAAAGCGAGGGAGTTTGTCAAAACATCCTTTGAACCCAAAACCACGAATTTTTCCCAGCCAATTGCGGTCGTCGGCCCAATGATGGAACGAAGCACACAACTCGTCGCAAATATATTAAAAGTGTTCAGCATACCCCAAATTAGCTACGGGGCGATATTCGAGGAACTGCGCGACAAAGATAATTTTAACTACCCTTTTCGGACAGTAGCGTCAAATGAATTCCTATTTACCGCTATCGCCGCGTTCCTAAGGAGAATGGGTTGGAGATACATCAGCCTCGTGCATTATGATAAATTCTTGCCGCCGTATATTGCGGAGAAATTCGTGATGAAGTTGAGACACAGTGGTATTTGTGTCGGGCCTCAACAGAGCCTTTCCCGCGTGACGACCGTGGACGTTCTCGACCGATTCATAGACGAGTTGATCACGGGTGACCGCGAGCCAAAGATCGTGCTTCTCGTCACAACCACGGAGCTCTCCCGCGTGATGCTGGCCGCAAAGAAGAGAAACCCGCGTGGAAATGAGTTGACGTTTGTAGCGGAGGTAACATGGGGCAAGCGAAACGCCATCATACAAGGTGATCTTTTATAAACTGCACAGTTTTGATGCAAGAATGCTGATGAAACGGGTCGGGTAGGATAGGATATGTTGTGATAGGTTAAGACAGGATAGAATACAGTTCGGTAGGGTAGAATGGGATCCATTAACATTTTACATTGGGATAGAATTTCAAGGAAAAATGCACCATGAAATATTTTTTAATTTCAGGTTTCGAGGAAGTTGCCAAAGGATCATTTACCTTTGGTTATCAAGCAGGCCATATTCCTGAGTTCGAGAAATACTTTCACGCATTACGTTACGACAACGACACACGAAACACGAGGCATTGGGTCGAGGAGTACTGGCAGGAAGCGCACCGTTGCAATATACCTGGGCTTGGGATACACAACAACTTTACAAAAAACTGCACTGGAGAGGAAGATAACACGATCTACAAAGAATTTGCCCCGGTACAAGTTGTCATAAATGCTGTCTATGCAATTGCAAATGCCTTAAACGACTTACAGAAGTATTTATGCCCCAACAGCACGGGGATTTGCAAGAAAATGCGACCAATATCAACAAAAATGCTGCTAGAGTTTCTCAGGAATACAACGTTTAAAGATGCGTTGTCCGGAAAAACGATGTCGTTTAATACTCTTCAAGAGGTTGATGCGGGAAGTTATGCAATATACAACTATCAAGGCGCTCCTATGAACGGCTCGTTTGGATACGTTAAAGTGGGTTCTTGGTGGGGGCACAGGCTTCCAAACCATCGTATAACCGAGAAATTAATTTTAGATGAATCCGTGATCCAAAAGGCGCATGCCAATACGGTTAAACTGCTGTCCAAATGCTGGCCACGCTGCGGGCACGGCCAAATACGCGTGTTGTCCATGCGGCAAAACCCTTGCTGCTGGGATTGTCACGATTGCGCTGAGAACGAAGCGATCGTGAACAACACGTGCTATGCATGTGCGCCGGGTTTCACCCCAAGGAAGAACCGCACAGCCTGCTTAAAGCGGGACCTCATTTACATCAACATGAACACTGCACTGGCTATAGTTTTATCCACGTTTTCCGCTCTGGGTATCATCACCGACCTGATCTTTCTAACAGCCTTTCTCGTAAACAGAAATCACCCGCTTATCAAAGCTTCTGGCCGAGAAATGTGCTACATCATATTTGCAGGCATCGCCGCGGTATTTATAACTCCTCTGATATCATTGGTCAAACCCATACAGGTTCTTTGTTCCGTGCGGCGAATCTCCACCGGCATTTCATTCACGGTATGCTACGCGCCGCTTTTGATGAAAGTCTGGCGAATTCACGGTATCTTCCGAAATTCGAACCAACTGAGGAGGCTTTCATCCGGGGGGATTTTTGGCATTCGGCCTACGCTCGGGGTAACCTTCATCATAATCGTTCTGAACATCCTTTACGGTGCTTCGATATCGAGAATAGACCCATCAGATGTGATCGAAAAGTTTTACCAAGAAAGACAGGAATTAGTTCTCGAGTGTAGAACGAACAGCATCGTTTTTATCTCAATTTTTGCCTATAATATGATGTTGCTTTTGGGATGTACCGTATACGCCTTCCGAACGCGAAAATTTCCAAAAAATTTCAACGAGGCAAAGCACACTGGTATAACATTATACCTCACTTGTGTCGTGTGGGTCGTTTTTCTCGCGAGTTTCTACAACTCGGATTACAGCATTTCCCGGGCGTATTGGTTGTCCGGTTCGAGCGTTCTGATTGGCTGGATCACGCTTTTGGGTTTATTCGCGCCGAAGTTCTATCACGTGTACACGAAGCCGGAAGTTGGTCGAGACGTGCTGATAACCTGGAGCGAGGCGTCGAGTGGGGGCGAAGCCAGAGGGGAGTGGTGCGAAGAGTGCAAACGACGAGCTGATGGACTGGGGAAGAACCGAAATGACGATGAAAGAATTCGTGCTTTCGAGAATAAGCCATCGGTTGAAAAAGGATTCATCCGCAATGACTTAGAGACGTCTACATATGTCCACGAGATTAGTATAAATAATTTTGTAGACACGCATTTGTAAAGATTGGATAGCCGCGTCACAAAATCACGCCAGTCCAGTAGTACTTGTAGCTCAGTGTGAAATAAACGAGGGTTAAGATTGGGATTAGGATTAGGATCAGGATCATCTTTGGATCATTTAACGCTAATGAGCGTTATATATATTAAAACTTTACGCACTACTAATAATCAGTCAAAATCGTATTTACTTGTATTAAAAACCTTAATGTTGATGAGTTTAATAAAATTCAAGTAAAAGTTAATATCATCACTTGGAAAACTGCCCGCTCAAGTGAAGTAATAAAACAACACACCTTGTTTTTTTATGTCAACGAAGTCAGCCCCCGCACACTCAGTCTGCAAATAATTTGTTCCTTTTGTGATCATGAGTTTCTCACTCACCTTGTCGTTTTTCACGCTACAAAATCAAGCAATGCATCCGCCTACATCAGGAAAGTGAAATGTACTATGCCTATGCCTATGTGAAAGAGCTAGACCAGCTTAATTTCTCAACATTATATTAAACTGCGCGTTTTACATAAAGGTATGTGAATATTCACGTGTCCTAAGTACAATTCTCATAAATAAAAGAAAAGGATTTCACGAAGTGAATTTGCAAAGACTTTGTCTTTCGCATTTGGCAAGTTTATCTCGATTGAAGTTATTGAAATCTTCAATTAAGGTATCTTGATGTTTGAATGGCTCAAACCATAAGAATTAATGGAAAGCATGCATATTGGGAAGTCGTATGTTACAAGTTGTCAAACTATCATTTGCATGCATGCAGTTTGTGTGTAAGATACATTTTTTAGACTGAAATAATTGCCTGTCGGATCATTATTTTTGCTATGTCAACAAACGAACTTGTGCTTGCTCTATTTATTATACGGATAATCTGCAAAAGTATTATATTTCCATGCCAGAAATTAGGCATTTTCGCATTGTCACAAGGCAAAAATAATTTTAAAATCATGGTCTATTTGAAGTTTTCTTGATTCTCTCGTGTGTAATATAAACCCCTCTTCTCGAGTCTCGGCATATTGACACAGACGGAGGCAAATGCTGACTGAATGTTATTAATAATGACATGGATAAACAGGACATTTTAAAATTATTTTATTGCAAAAGTCTTGTGCATGAACGTGGAAACGTGTAAAAGTATATCCATGACCAGCATTGTTTGCTTCATAATGCCTTCAAAATGCCTTAGAATTTCCAAAAATGTCTGTAGTCGAAGTTCGGGCAATTTGACCATAGAAACACGATATGGATTGACACGATTCGATACACTAATTCCATAAACATCTGCTCTTTGGCAAATTTTGTAAACTGCATTAGACAAATCAGATGACGCCATTCACTACTTCAAAAGAGTTAAACTGCGAATCACTAAAAATTAATTGTCTTCGCTGTGCAAAGTTTGCACAAGACCACTGTGTAGACTAACAAAACAAAACAAGAGGTTTCGAACAAACTTCGCCGGACTGATAGTTTGAATCAATTTTAGATCCGTACACTGATCACGAGCCGGTGTGTATATTCAGCCATGAGTGAAAGTTCATAATATATTAACAAAATAAGTTGAAATGCTGTCGGATGATATTTGAATAATTACCGTTCTAAAACGAGTAAAGCAGCTGAACTTGTCATAAAAAAACGTTCGCGCTTATATTGGGTGCGTTCTTTCATTGTGCGTTGACGCGGATTTGCAAAAGGAAACTCTAACATCCGAAAACTTCGTCTAAAAAGCTGGGCGATTTCTGTGTAAAAAGGTAAATTCCTCCTCTAATTTCAACTCCATAAATAAATGATACAATGTTTATAACCTCCATAAATCCAACTAATAAAAAGGCGTTATTTTGTGCTCGACTTAAATGCATTCTTGTTTTCCTTAGAAATCAACTAATTTTCACCAAAATGCAAGTAATTTAGTCCTTAGCATTCTTACCACAGTGCTTTCTTAAACCAAGTCACGTTTTGAAACCGGTTTTATACTACAATAATATACGTTCATTGTGTATGATATATATAATGCTTTATCATTTCAGCAGCGGATTGAATCCAGCAATGAGGGTTGATATAATAAGCTTTTCTCTTTTGGTTCCAGCCGTTCTGATCGTTTTCCATACAAGACCAGGTAGGACACGCGCTGTCACGTTACAGAAAGAGGTTTATATTCAACAGTCAAACTCACCGGTTGTAAAACGAAACACAGGCGATAGTAATATTGTAATCAACACAAGTTGAAGTATAGTGCCTCGCTTTTGTTCTGCTGGTGTGACTATCCTGATAGACTAAAGCGATGTATAAACAATAATATAGACAATTTAGTAATATATGTTGGGCGACTGATAGTCACTGATAAGCAAGTACTTGACTCAAATATATCGCAGATGCTGTGCTACGCCTAATTTTAGGACGGCCAAACGGATACAACTTAGATCTCCTAGCTGTAGGGAATTAAAACTATGCCTCTATGACTTCTTATCAATGCCGCTCTTGCAAGAAAGGTTCACAGGCCTAGGCAATAAAATTTACAACAAATATAAATTGTTGTTTCCAACGAGTATAATAATATGCATTGTCAATTCCATCCCCGTTTCCTTCACAGGACTATCAGTAAATTACATGAAATCCCCAGGAGATATCATTCTCGGAGGGCTCTTTCCCGTACATAAGGAAGGTAGCCGAGAGGACACCTGTGGACAATTCAACGAGATCCCTGGGTACCAGTACATGGAAGCGATGCTGCACGCGGTTGACCTAATCAACAACAGAACCGACATCCTCCCGGGCATACGTCTCGGTACGATCATTTTCGACACGTGCCGAAGTCCCACGATCACTGCCGATCACACAAGAGACTTCATCAGGATTTCTCTAGAGCGCGGAGTCGCGAATGCGTCGGAATTTGCCGGAGTGATCGGTCCATTTACAAGCGGTAATTCAATCATGGTTGCAAATTTTTTGCGAGTTTTTGAAATTCCCCAAATCAGCTACGGAGGTCTCACGGTAGAGCTGAGCGACAAAAGTCGCTATGGTTACTTCTTTCGGACAGTTCCGCCAGATAGCTTCTTCGCCGAAGGCTTGGCAAGGTTTCTCGAGCATTTCCGATGGACTTACGTATCAATCATATACTCGACTGGGACATATCCTGAGACTGGGACCGAAGAAGTCATCAAAGCTTTATCGAAGCGACAAATTTGTTTAGCAGAAAGGCACCGACTTCCGCGATTTCCAACCAGTGAAGATTTCGACAGAGCCATTACGACGGTCGTGTCAGCCGAAGAGTCTAACGTTGTTGTATTCGTCACCATCCAACGAGATTCGCGCGGACTGCTCATGGCAAAACAACGTAGTCCGCTGGCCAAAAGACTTGCAATCGTCGCCAGCGTCTCCTGGAGCAACCGTGATGACATCACCAAGGGCGTGGGACCGGCTGCCGAAGGAGCGACAACATTTGGTCATTTTGGCGGCAGAAACACCGAATTTGAAAAGTACTTTCGTTCCTTCAACTTGTCGAACTACAAGGGAAATTATCGAGGGTGGTTTGAAGAATTCTGGGAAAGCCGATTCGAATGCTCCCTCAGGAATACGAGCGTATATACGACAAAATGTACCGGAAGAGAAGACCTGACCTCGCACCAAATGGAAATAGCGCCTGTGAGAGTTGTGATAAACGCCGTCTACGCAATGGCCTATGCCTTGGAAAACATGCGAAAATCTTTATGCCCCAATGCCTCGGGAATCTGCGAAAGAATGAAACCAATTTCCAGACGTTTGTTAAAAAAATTCTTAGAAAATGTTACTTTCCCGGATTCTTGCTTCAACTGGCCAATCAGGTTTAACCAAAACAACGAAGTGTCCGGAAATTACACGATCTTCAACTTCCGAGAATCCAAACCGGGCGTGTACTCTTACATCCACGTTGGCAACTGGACAAGCGAATTACAAGAAAACGGGGAAATTTCAGGAATATTGGATTTAGACACTTCCCGCATTCGTTGGCCAAATGGAGAAACGGTTCCATCCTCGGCGTGCAGCGATGAATGCGGGCACGGGAATGTCAAACGGCCTCGGTCTGGCGTGCCAGAAATGTGCTGTTGGGATTGCGTGACATGTCACAAGTATGACATCATCGTTAACAACACGTGCCGTGCATGCGCAGAAGGATACGCGCCAGATGCAAACATTTCGAGTTGTTTGAAGCTAAAAGTGGATTACATCACATTGAGAAAACCGTTGGCGGCATTTCTAGCGTTTCTGGCCTTCCTTGGAATGACTACAAACTTGATAGCGTTGGTCGTCTTTAGCTTAAAGAGAAACCATCGGCTTATCAGAGCTACCAACATCGAAGTCTGTTGTTTTATCTTCTGTGGCATTTTCCTAATTTTCATAACGGCCATAACATTTCTCAGCAAACCAACACAAGGGTTGTGCTACGTGCAACGTTTTCTGCTTGCGAATTCCTTCACTGTTTGTTACGCTGCATTATTGGTGAAGGTGAGACGAATGTATAATTTGTCAAATAGCGAGAATGGACTTCCAAGGGAAAGGGTGAGCACGCATTTCCGCGCTTTGAAACCTCATTTGGTCATAACCATCGCTATCATTTTAGTCGAAGTCTTTCTGGCTGTGCTCATAACGAAGAGAAGCGAGCCAGAGCTACGTGAAAACTTTCACCACAAAACAGGCGAAGTTCGCCTGGAATGTCAACTAAACACGTTTGCATTTGTAGCTTACATTGCCGGAGCTCTGGTTCTTATTTCCCTTTGCACCTACTACGCCTTTCGCTCGCGAAATATACGAAAAAACTTTCGAGAAACTTTGTATATTTGTGCCACAGCTTTCACGTCAAACGCCCTATGGTTGATCTTGCTTGTCTCTTATCTCAACACCGATGACAGTTTTTCCCGCCAATATTTGATAGCCGGCATAAGCGTTCTGATTGGTTGGTTCACGCTACTCGGTCTGTTCGCGCCAGTCTTCTACAACTTGCGGACAAAGAGGGTTTACGATGAGTCTTTGTTATTCGACTGGGATGGCCCTGGTTCTGCTACGAGGTTACATGCGAAACAAACAGGACAGTCCGAGTCTAGTTTGAATAATACCCCAACACTTTGTGAAAGACGACTCTAACCAAAACTTTGAACTTGAGAACTGAAGAAATAATTGGAAATTTCTCGCGCAAAGCAACGAAAAAACTATTGTAGGAAAACTCTGCATGTGCAAGAGACAGACTGACATACTTTGTGTAATTACAAGATTAAATTATGGATCATCTTTGATTGGTTATAAGCACTTGAGCGAATGATAGTCGTGATATTGTAATTGTATAAAACACTGCGATATCAAATAAAATTTCATCAGGTAATATTGCCTAGATGCTTCGTGACAAATTAATGCACTAATTATTTTACACGTTTGCCCAAAATATTTAATCATGCCATACCTGATTTATATATAGCTGCAATTTTAAACTACAAGCTGTATATCTCAAACAATGCGTGTGAATGTGTCTTAGTTTTCTATCTGACTATAAAATGTTGATCAATTGTTTCACCGCCATTTACTTTATAAATAACAGCCGAACGGCTTTAATAGTTGAAATTTTAATGAAATTTAAAGTTTAATGCTGGTTCTCATTACCGCTACAGGCATCATAACGAGATTTTATTAATTCTCGAGTTACTGTTTTCTTTTTTATATCGAAAGAGATAAAGAATTTAAATTTTCTGTTTAGTTGTCCTATATGCATGCATCCGCCGAAAACTATGGATTATCTCAGATTAATATTACAGCTAAAGGTTTTCATATAAAAAAGGTTAACATCGTACAGGAAAACACATCCGTATATGTTCAAAGATTAAAGCTTTCATACTGTGAAGTTTGAGCAATTTCAAATTTCATGGGGAATATCCGTAAAACTTCATAAATTGCACCGGATTCAGCATTCCGGACTCATTGATCCGATTATATAGCTTGTTAAAAAAATATGGCGACTATAATATGAATACCGAAAACTATACCGAAATATGGTATACTCGACCATGGTTGAATATACCGAAATATGGAATACTCGACCATGGTTGAATGTACCGAAATATGGAATACTCGACCATGGTCGAATAAATCGAAATATGGAATACTCGACCATGGTCGAATAAACCGAAATATGGTATATACTCGACCATGGTCGAATATACCGAAATGTGATATACTCGACCATGGTCGCAAATATACCGAAATCATGGTGTATACTCGACCATGGTCGAATTTACCGAAATGTGGTATACTCGACCATGGTCGAATATACCGAAAAACAGTATACTCGCGACGATAGTCGAATGGGGAAAACCATGTCGAATATACCGGAATATAGTATACTCGACCATTGTCGAATATATATACTGGAATACGGTACACTCGAACCTTGGTATTGTCTAATATACCGGAATATGGTATATTCGACTTTTGCATGGTTGAGTATACCGAACTGATATATCATGCATCGCTGATAACCGATGACATCTCACGATGCATGACGATAATGAACTGGTAAAGAGAATCGGAACAAGGCTTTAGTTACACGGATTAAGTGGATTCAACACCGCATTGTCTCGTCATATTCGTGAGGTCACGAGAATCATGTGCCCAAGATAAACTGTTCTTCATTAACAGCGAGTTGCAGCTGAATTGCGAGTCTTGATGGTCTTGATGAGGAGAATTGTGATTCATGACGAGTTAAAATGAACTGTTTAATCGCGTGAGGCTCGTGTGTTGTTGAGTTGAACCGAATTTTCTTGGTTATTAGTTGGGTCGAATTGGTTCAGAATGAAGCTGTTGGCCCAAAGTTCAGCTACTATTTTAGGCTATATAGCTAGATATATATAGAATACTGCAAATCAAAGTCCACGTCTTTGCGAATCTGGTCTAGTCCAGGTCCTCAGTCCAGAATTTTACATGTTTAAACACAAACAATATTGTACCTGTGGACGAATTGAAGTATTTCCAGTTAAACTTCCGTCATCTGTCCATACTCTGAGCATTGCTTCAGTGGTTGCGCGATGCGAAACATCATACGCAAATTGACACAACCCAACCACTTGCTCGCTTAACACTTGTGATACAGATGGCAAGAGAAATTTCTCGACGATTAAAAGCAATTTAAAGCTAGCAATTTACAAAGGAAGGTAAGATTAACAATATGAAGTAGCTATTAACAATATACCTCCATTACATGATTACAATTTTGACAATTATGGCAACGGTGAGAATGACAGAGATTGTATGCGGAATAAGTATTGGCGATTACGTCAAAAATCGATTCAATATATACCTTGTTTCAGTTTTAAATATCGTTTGTGTATTTATACTTGTGTCTATATACAATAGTCATGTTCGTTTGTTTTGAATGCCAGTACAACAACCCGACTGTTTTGCGAATCTTTCTCTTTGACGTTGCTTTTTCAATTATTACAAGCCTTATTCAAGTTGGTGAATGCTACTGCGAATATAAAACATATCAAAATTTCTGATCTGCGAACGTCAAGAAGCATTATAAATCCTTGTTTCGCTTTTAATCTGATATAACCCAACTTAATTCCGGGATTCTTTGTATCCCTGGCGGTATTTACTTCGGGGTCAAAAAAGGTCAGGGCACGCGACATACATTCATATTACTTGTATACACGCGAGGCGGTTCGGAAAGAAACTATATTGTACCTAGCTCAATGGTTTAGGAAATGCGTTTTCGCTGACATCGCTTATGATACCTAACAAGTGAAACATTTCGGTATATATAATGATTATAAACAATCCGTCGATGTTCCAAGTGGTTACAAAATCAAAAGCTATGAAGGTCGTTTAAAACGTGATTCATTGCAGGCGGAATTTGTCTTTAATCTCTAAGGTCTAGGTTAAACCTTAACTTTTCATGTACCGAATTCAATCGAAAAGACGTCAAGTCTTTGTCTGAGCTCACGTGATTTAGGTTTGGCGTATAAAAATATGACGTTTGCTTTTAAATTCACGAACCCCACCTACCAACGCCCCCCTGCGTTGCGAAAGTTTTGAAACAGAGCCGGGTCTTGAACTGAAGTCATGAAAGTGCCGGGGACAGCATTAAAGCCCGTTCACAGTTTTGCTGTTGCGAATATTATTGTGATTTTTAGTCTTTTGATAGATGCAAATGAGCGAATGGTTACAAATGGTAGAATATTTATCTATAATTTTTTTTTAATATAAGTGCGCCCAAAATTTACATAAATAAGATGATATAAAATACCGTATCTGTTTATCTACCATAGTCCATATCGAACTTATTTCACAGCAAAGGAAGGAACATAAGAGAGGATTTGAAATGAACTGCAAAAAGCAACTAGCCTAGCACATATAGCTATATAGGAACAAATTAAAGCAACTTAGTCACGAGAAGACGCCTGTCACCAAACAGGATATAAATGGGTTTCAAATCGAGGACATAGCTTTGTTCAGTTTTGAAGTGCTATTGAATACAGTGGCCACCTTTCTGCCCGACAATATATTGCACTTAAAAAGTTCCTAACAAGACTGCGGTAACGATTTCGACTTCTTTTCTCAAAGAGGAATATACTCAAATAACTTCACAATATGTTGTGAAAACCGATGTCTCAGTCGACGCGTGATTTCACTCCCAGTTTCGTATGGGCCGAGAAAGATACCAACACCCACTTATTGCAAAACAAACTCGTATATTCAAATTTTTAATGGTACTTTACAAAAATGTAAATTGCGGAAGGAAAATATTTTCCCACCGCCTAAATTTTATGCACTATACAGAATAAAGAGAGCGAAGAAATTAATAACGCAATGTCATATTCTTCGACGCACGGTCCAGTAAACACGTTCGCGAACTTTTCCGTCAGCGAGCTATTTTTGTTACTTCAAATACAGAAAATGAAAGCGAGGCTCCACGCCAAATCACACACGTGATCATGATAAAAAAGAGACCGCGCGGTACATAATAAGAGTACAACCATAACCTATTCGTAGAATAGCCAGTGAACTGTAATAAAAACTGGAACGCTAACCTTGCCGCCATCTTTAAAGCCAAATTTGAAGGTATAGTTTTTCTGAGTTTATGAACGTTTGAGACAGAAGTAAAGAGTAATTATCTGGGAATGTCTAGAACTGTGTAAAATATAATATAAAAATGATAAGAATTGAACGAAAAACGAACGAGTCAAAAACTCAGTTTTTTACTTCAATTTTTGCCGGCTTCAACCAAGTATAGCGCTGAACTATAAGTTCTATAAGTTAACTGAACTATAAGTTAACTAAGAGTTAGCGTTCCAGATTTTATTACAGTTCACGCCGGCGTTGTGCTAAAAATATCAAATAATGATGTCATAACCAGCTAGCATATCCTGATATCCGATATTAGATTCCCACTCGCTCTGCGCGAGAATCACGTAACTTTGTTCAAAAGAACGACATAATTAATTCCTCCGCTACAATTGAAATCATCAACGAACATCGCCGTCTTTACTTAACTAAAATTAAATGGTCTCCAAAAGGCGCAGCTGTGCACACTATTACACGTTCGGTGTTTCAAACCAGCCTATGAAATTAACGCATGCATAAGTCTGTTGTGCAAAGACGAGAATAGGGGCTACATCAACACAGAATAGGAAGAGATTATTTTAAGATAACCTACGAAGAAAGGCTATAGCGAAAGTACTTTGAAACAGTGGAAAACTGTAATCCATCTGAAATGAAATGATAGGTATACATCTATTACGTTTATATACCAGTTTTATGTACAATGACTATATAATCTATACATTGCTTACTAAACGGTTATAAGTATATATAAATATTGGTTGCATGGATGCTAAGTTTTCAACGTCTGAAAATTAAGAAAGTAAGACGTAGTTTGCATGTGCATCACCTCGAAGTGAATGAATTGTTCTGCTATATATTGATCGTAATCAAACTTTAATGATTAAACCTCCAGGAAAACGAAAGATCTCGTGGAACATATTTAAAAAGTATTAATTTTCAAGTCGTAGCAACAATATCTTTTAAATCATTCATGCACCTGAGACTGATTTGTTAAAACGAGACCGGGAATTATAAGCCTTTTGTAGTGTTGTGTTACAAATTGTGTTGTGTTGTAGTGTTTTGTTTTGTAGTGTTGTGTTAAAAATACCGTTTGAACTGGGGGTAGCAAAGCATGGTGAACTATAATTAGTAAAAAGCAGGTCTTAGGGAATAAGCATCTAACTTTAACAACAGCTGTTTATTTCCATCAACTAGGAAGCAAGACCACGAGAAGTCAAAAAGGCAAGCAAAGGATCTCAAACTATTTAAAACGTCCAAACAAAATGTCGAAAATGTGGATACTAATTCATTTTCTTCTGATTTTTGTTGACGCGAATGCACGAGAGACGGATAAAAGTAAGTAGTGAATTTTCATTGATATCTGTTTTTAAAACATAAAGCACAAAACCATTTGCAAATCTCACTAATCGACATTGGTGGGCTTAGTTCCACGAAATCAACCTATACAACGATATACGATGGCATATATTGATGGGAGTTCTTAACAAATGACATATTCAGGCGTCCCTATGCTGCAGAACAGAACGCCACCATTCAAAGCCAGACAGGTCAACTTCAAATTCGGTTGAGAAAAAGTTTTCCCACATATCTGTAACTTTTATTGTCGCACTAAATCCATAGGGGTTGATAATACACGACACGTATCCTTCGCGATTATCAATTTGAACTAGTTATTTTAAAAACATTCCTGCCGTTGGCGACGCGGCGTCTAGTGGAAACTCGCCTCTCTGCACTACATTGACGGATACTGATTTCAACTGCAAACAATTTCATTTTTCAGTCGTAACAGACGGAGACATCATCCTTGGTGGACTCTTTCCCATACACAAGGAGGGCGATAAAGAAAACATCTGCGGGGAATTCAATGAAATCCCTGGGTACCAGTACATGGAAGCGATGCGATACGCCGTGGAGAAGATCAACAACCGGACTGACCTGCTTCCCGGAATAAAACTTGGTACGATCATCTACGACACTTGCCGAAGTCCTACGATTTGCGCAGACAAAACCAAGGAGTTCATTCAGCTCACGTTGAGCGAGAACAAAGCGAAAAGCCGACTTGCGGGAATCATCGGCCCATTCGTCAGCGGAAATTCAAAAATCGTTGGCAGTTTCTTGCGCGTGTTCGAAATTCCGCAGATAAGCTACGCGTCTCTTTCGGTTGAACTCAGTAACAAGGACATCTATAATTACTTTTTCCGGACAGTCCCCCCCGACAGCTTTTTCGCGGAAGCGCTCGCTCAGTTGTTGGAGAGAATGGGTTGGAATTACGTGTCGTTGATTTACTCCAAAGGAACGTACTCGGAGACTGGGGCCCAGGAAGTTATAAAAGCCATGAAGAAACGAAAGATATGCTTGGCGAAAAAGTTTCGTTTGACGCGATTTCCGAAGAAACCCGAGTATCAACGAGTGATCGCCGAGGTCGCCGCGGCGAAGGAAGCGAACGTGGTGGTCTTTGTTACGATTCAACGAGACTCCAGGGCACTGCTCGATGCAAAACGGGGTCAACCTCTGGCCAAGAGGCTCTTGATCGTGGGCAGCGTTGCCTGGAGCAACCGAGATGACATCACCAATGGCCTGGAATCAACCGCGGACGGCACGATAACTTTCTCCCACCGGGAGGGGGAAATGACCGACTTTGAAACGCATTTCCGTTCGTTAAATCTGACCAGCTACAATGCCAGCTACAAAAACTGGTTCCATGAATTTTGGCAAAAGCAGTTTAAATGCTGTTTCAACGATTCTTCCGTCTCTTTATGTAAAAAGTATCCTAATATTTGTACTGGAAAAGAAAGTCTACTTTCCACGCATATGGAAATCGCCCCGGTTCGTGTGGTAATAAACGCAGTAAATGCAATGGCCTATGCCTTAGATAACATGCGCAAGGCTGTTTGTCCAAATGCCAAAGGCATGTGTGAGGCGATGCGAGAACTAAAGCGAACGGTTCTTCACAAATTTTTGAAAAACGTCACCTTCCCCGATTCGTCGTTCGGCTGGCCAATCAAATTCGACCAATACAACGAGGTCGAGGGAAACTACACCGTGCTGAACTTCCGGGCATCAAAAGACACGGAGACAAATGACGAGGGGGAAAAAGGCCCGGTATACACTTACGACCTGGTCGGAACTTGGGTTGGAAGCATCGCAGCAAATGGCAAGATTAGCGGCCAATTTGACATGAATATATCGGACATTCGCTGGGTTAACGAAAACGCCTCGCGACCATCATCGATATGCAGCGTAGCGTGCAGCGAAAAGCACATCACCGTGCATCGACCCGGAGACGCGAGCGAGTGCTGCTGGGATTGCAAGACGTGCCCGAAGCGTGAAATCATTACAAATAACACGTGCGTCCCATGCCGTGTCGGATTCGTGCCGAACGAGCCGTTGTCGAAATGTTCAAAGTTGACATTGATATACGTGGATATTAATTCCCCCATCGCAGTTACGCTGATAATCATCTCCATCATCGGTATTCTGGCAGATTTTGCAGTGCTCGGAGTGTTTTTTGTGAACCGTCACGAACCGCTCATAAAAGCGTCGGGTCGGGACATGTGTTACATCATACTTTTCGGCATATTCATGATATTTCTCGTCCCAATCACCTCGCTGGCAAAGCCCACGGCCGGCCTGTGTTATTTCGCCAGGTTCTTGATGGGCGTTTCTTACACGACGTGCTACGCGCCGCTGTACATGAAAATTTGGCGCATCTATCGAATATTCAAAAGCTCACACGAGATGAAACGTATAACGGGTCTCATTGGTCGGAGGTCGCAGTTCCTCACGACGTTCGGGCTCATCGCCATTCAAATCTTGTTCTTCATTTTGATATCGAGCACCAACCCCCCGGATCTGATGGAAAAGTTCTACGCCGACAGGGAGGAGCTACACCTCGAGTGTTACATTACGTCGTCGGTGTTCATCGCCTACCTGTCGTACAACGTCGTACTCATGCTGCTCTGCACAGTCTACGCGTTCCTCACACGACAATTTCCGAAGAACTTCAACGAGGCCATGTACATCGGCGTGACGATGTACCTCACGTGCGTGGTCTGGGTCGTGTTTCTCGCGAGTTTCCTCAACGTTGACGACAGCATAAAGCGCGTGTACTGGATCTGCGGAGCGAGCGTTGTGATTGGTTGGATTACGATGCTGGGACTTTTCGCGCCAAAGGTTTATCACGTATTCACGAAAAAGAACGTGGACGAAAGCGCTTTGATCACGTGGAGAAATTCCGTCCTAAAACGCCTGGCAAGTGGAGGCAGCACTACAGATGAGCCAACGTCACCCGGTCTCGTTATGCCCAACCCATTAGCCTTTCATGGTGGAGAAAAACTTCAGTTAAGCGTTCCTAAACGACTGTTGAGTGCCTCGGACAATCACGACAAACGAAACAGCAAACTATAAGACGCATGCGTACACGCATGCAAAGGGTTTGGTTAACTTGTAAAAAACTAACGACATAGAGACGGTTCTGGTTTTGATAGAGATCTGTGGGTTGTATACGACTTCTGTTCATCAAACAATCCTGTTTTGGAACGCAGCTGTTGTAATCTAATCGTAGTTGATGTATTTATTTTAGCCCTACACTTTGCAGTGTGCAGGAACGTAACACGTGCTTAAACGCAGCTCGCGACCCCCGTCCTTGGCTACGTTCCTGTCTCTGTTGTATGTTTTCTAATTTTCATGTAGCCATTTTGCATCGTATCGCTGAACTGCCGAACCATTCACAAATAAATCGCAATAGCACTATATCAATATCCTCTACCAACCCAAGCTTTTTAGGCTAAAAAGAGCTATATATATCTATATATTAAAGTTTAGACTTTTAGTAAAGAACAGATAGAGAAAAGAGCTACATATTTCTATATATTAAAAGTTCAGAATGTTTAGTAAAGAACAGACACAGAAGTATTGAAGTGTAGATGTTGACCCTACCTTTTGCACTGTACAAGTTATTTAACAAGATACAACAAGCTTCCAACCGTTTCCACCGTTAACATATAATCGTTGCACAAGCATTTGACTCGCCTTGTTCAATATCTTTTTGTTCAAATATTACTTTCCAACGGCAATCCTGATTCTCTGTCGTCGAATGCTGTGCACAAACAAAATATCGCTTACCGAACTCCACAAAGCGTGAAATGATATTAAAGCATTGAATGACAGTTTATAGGCTTTTCTGGTCCCTTAAGACCATTTCTAAGCTTCAAAACCACGCATCAATTGTTTTTCGGTAAGAGGATCATGTGTAAACATCCTCTTTAAAAATAGTTGGGATTTAAATGGCATTTAAACGAAGTAGCAATTACGTAAAGGTCAATGTTAAAGGTCAACGTACACAAAAAGGGATACACGAGGAGCCGTTAATATGAACACCTACTGATCTATAACTTATATTAATGAAGCCATAAATGAATGGGCTGAACGGTGTTGACTTTTGAGCTGATTTGAACAAAACCTATCTCTATTATAAAAGTACATCCATCCGTCTACTTATTTCGTTGATTGTATATATTGATAAAAACATGTTGATAGTCTAGCTATACTTTTGACGTATCCTTTTCAAAAAACCTAACAAAACCAAAAATATTTACACATAGAGGAATTATTTCTACATTGAAATCCAAAATCTTATTTCCGTGTAGAATGTTGCACTCTAGGCCAGCTTGGTTGCAAAAGGCGGTAAAAGGTGTGCTGTTGGATATCACAGGGGTGTTATATAACAGCGGACATGGTTTAGGTGAAGCCATCCCTGGTTCTATTAGAGCTGTGGAGAGGTGACATATACCATAGACCGGGGTCATATTTAATTAATAATAGCCCATTATCTGGCAAAAGCATATATACCCAGAATGTACCAAACATTAATATATTATTCCATTTATTGACAGACAATTTGCTTTTCAGTGGTCGACAAGTTTATAAGGCTACAGCTTTGTCTCTAAATCATTAACCAACTAATATTCTGCGTATGTCAGACCATTTTACTTAGTGTAAAGGGGAAAATTAGAAATGAGTGTTAATTCGTACCCACACACAAATTGGGTATATCTTAAGTAAGGAGAGGGACTCTTTTGAAATGAAGTCCTAACAAATCCTTGCTGAGAAAGATGAACCCTAAACATTCTTCAACATCTGACCTGAAATCAACAATATCTGCCAACTCTCTAGGTTGAAGGCATCAGGTGTTCCTGTGATGTTTTGTACAAATGAGACCCAATGTACTCGAGACAAACTGGTATCAAAATTAAACAAACTTGGCTTCAGTTTGACACTAAATGATGTTCATTCCCCAGCACCATTGGCTATTGCCTACATCAAGAAACACAAACTCAGACCTTATTTATTGGTCCACAAGGAAGCATTAGGTGATTATACAGAGGTTGAGAAATCAGACCCGCATTGTGTCCTGGTTGGCGATGCAACAGACGAGTTTAACTATGAAAATATGAATCGAGCATTTAGGGTTCTGTTGGAGTCGAAAAATCCAACTATTATAGCTTTAGGAACTGGGTAAGTAACTAGATTAGATCACATCTGTGAGTTTGAAGGTGATTGCCATGTTTTTTTTTAACAAGATTGGCATATGGTTCTGATGGTAAATGAATAGATCAAATGTAATATTTATCAACCAACTCTTTCAGTCTTTCAGACTACTATGACTCACTATCAACCAACTCTTTCAGACGATATTACAAAGATAGTGGTGAACTAGTTCTGGACAATGGCCCATTCATAAAAGCGTTAGAGGTGATAACATCAGTTGCATAAACACATCAGTTGTTCATGTTTTCTTCAAATTAACTCATATTCCAATGTTTCCTTCCATTTGGTAGTATGCCTGCGATGTAGAAACCATCGTTCTTGGTAAACCAGCCACGTTATATTTTTGCGGTGCTGTTGAAAAACTTGGTGTCCCAGAAGAAAACGTATGAACGTGTATCAGAGGTTTTTGATAACCTTAGGCTTAGGCTAGGATCTCCTGTACAGGAGTCGATTCTGTAAACTCTAAATACATTCAACAGAAAACTCTGTGACAGGCGATGCGAATTAGGTAGCTCAAGTCGGTATACCGAAGAATCAACTATACAGAAAACGTTTCCTTATTCTTTCTAGGTCGTTATGATAGGAGATGACTTGATAGGTGATGTTGGCGGGGCGCAGTCATGTGGAATTAGAGGTGTCCAAGTGAAAACTGGAAAGTACAGGTAACGCAATTTTCAATCCACAGACCAACTATTTTAAAGATAACAGAACTATATTTTACCCAAAAATTGCGCTTAATTAAAAATTCCACCGGGCGCAATACATGCAAATTTAAATGCAACCTTTGCAGGTAATATTATACTCGATGTTGGAATGTGTACCATAGGCGCAGCTATATATAGATAGGATTGAATAATCCATTTACAGATTTAGCTTTTTTACAGGCCACAAGACGAAGATCACGTCACGATAAAACCGGACGGTCGAGTGTCGGATTTAGCCGAAGCTGTGGAACTCATTTTACAATTCAAAGATCAGGCAACATAACTGCGTTCATCGCTAACGATAAATTTTAAGTAAAAGTATTTAAATATAACGTTGAATTGTCGCGTTGTCACGGATAAGTCGTAGATGAAAGTATGCAAGAAAAAGTCATTGAATTTATTAATAATGTATAAATTTCACAAATCTTTAATCATCCGAAAGCTATGATAAATAGATTCCCCACATCATGACTTGGACTGACTTTATACAATCCGTTAAACATGCGTAATCACGGCGCCTTGCAAAAACTCTCGTCGCAAACCATTTTTTTACCGTAAGAAAATTTTCACAAACGCTATACGTAAAACTTTAGAACTAATATACTAAAAATAAAATACGAAGCAATCAAATTTCTCAAGTGCTTTTCACATGATCATAAATAGTTTTTTTAAGCTTGTACGGTTTGTTCCTTGGTTGCTCCGTCTTCGTCATCCGACTTACCAGAACCAAGAGATGTTCCGGACATCGAACGGGTTCGTAGGGTTGGCACTGAATGTGAAGACAAGCAAATGGTTTAGGTATTGGGCCAATTGCTGCATGTGCACCACACGAAGGCCCTTTTTTCCTTTTGAAAGATGCAAACGAGTGGACAGTTAGGAACGCTTTGGGGTAAAAGTTCCTTTATTTCAACATCTGTAACTATCTCACTCGTTGACATCCACCAAAAGAATACAAGTGTAAATAGGCCTCAACTCAAAGACGCCGTAATTCTAAAATAAAAACATACTAACCAAGTCCCAATCCTTGAATGAACAACAGCACTCCTTCTGCTGATTTCAAAGGCTAGAAGGAAAATTTAACATATATCAACTCTCCCGTTTAATTCGACAAGTTATAACATTTTCAATTCTATTCTATCCCAAATATCATCGCTAATTCTTACCTTCTCGTCCAGTGGATCTGAACCGCAATCATCCAGTCTCAAAATATTGCACGTACGCTTGTTGAGATGACTGAAGAATTTCTCCTGTCGAAGAAAATACAACAAGAAAAGATTAAAACGATCGAAGAAACATTTGCGTGTGCTGTAAGGAGATTTCCACTTTTAAGGTGGCTCCCAACGGTTCTAAAAACAGTTCAAAGCGCTCAGTTGACCATGCTTTTAATTTGTAACTGAGAATACAGTAACACCGAGGAACCATTTCTATTTTCATTACTGTTGAGTGGAGAAAGATGGAGGAACATATAATAGCGTTAGACAAAGAAACTATTTCACTATAGTTCTATAGGTACATTTTTCAATAGGATAACAGAGCACTACATATAGGGGTTCACAAGCGATGATTTTAAAAAGCTGGCTGGCAAATTAAACGTCGCCTACCGAGTCCTTGTGGTGGGGGGATAGATCGCCATTGATAACAAGAACTGGACACCTGAAATGAATAAAGAAACGCTCTCACACACCACCACAAATACGATTATTCCTGGCCCGTGCTGAATTCATCAACACCCCAAAGCTTAAATGCAAAAAATATAAACCTTTATTGTTATACTCACTCAATGTTCTTTATTTCATGCGTAATGTCACTTCGCCTAGAGAAAAACAGCGTTAACGTTTATTATCGTTTACTCTCTCAAAAATAACGTTCTCAAAAACTCCGCGGAATGCACCTTTGGTCCGTCGGACTGGACCTTCTTTACTATTACTTCAGTTTAACGTTTTCACGAGAAGCGCTGTCACACAAACGGAACAGACTGCAAAGCGTGAAATGTGAAATACTTACTGCATGTACGCATGAACAAATAGTGCCAAGTTATGAGGATTGAAGGAGTCCGTGAGAGTCTTGATGTACTCATCAACGGAGGCCATATCTGGCTTGCCATGTTTCTAAGGAGAGTAAAAGTAAGGCAAAGTGAAGCCAATGCAGTTTTATAACATCTTCTCCCTCAATCTAGTATGCGTAAGCATGAAACTCTGGAAGGTCCAGGTAAGCAACTGGTTTACCTTTCCAAAATGATGGTGGACAAAGTAGTGGTTGACTTGTTCACTGAATCCACTGGTTTCCAACTGCCAGGAGCGGAGCTGAATTGTATTGTAATCAAAAGAGGACAATGTTTGTAAATGACATGGTAATACAAATGTGTTTTTTTGCACCACTATGTGGTTCTGGTGTGCTGTGCTCTGGCTAACTGACCTATGCACAAAGCCAGGATTCTTAACGATAAGAGTGATGCCAGAATTATGTATGGTTTAAAAAATCTTCACATTTAACAGGGTTTGTGTAAAATTTAACATAATGGTGCTGTTATAGAGATTCTCAAGAACTGTTTGATTCAATTGCCTTTGGATGATGCAATGTGTAGTTGCAATCATCGCATTGGATTGCTGCTCAATTGGGTAATAATTCCTGTAACCATGCCTTCTAGCTGTCACATAAGCTGTAGTGCCTGTATATACTTGTTTGTATTTTGTACTTGTGGTGTCTGTGATACCATTAAAATGCAATGGACCTTTTTCATAATGACGTCAAACGTGGAAAGTCTGATGTTAGACTAAGTTTGATTGGCTCAATAGTTTTGTGGAGCCAATCAAATTTCATGTAACATCACACTTTCCTTGCTTGGCGTCATTATAAGAAAGGTCTATTGTGTATGGCACCTTTTCCTCTGCTTTCTCCAGCAATGGGGCTTTCCCAGCAGATGGTTCAACAAGAATGAGGCCGAGCGGCTTGGATGGATGCTTCAACTAAACACAAGTCACAGAAAATGAAATGAATATGACCCTTTTAGATATCTATTTGATGAAGAAAGTTTGCAATGGATACGTACAGCATATCTTGCTAAAATGTTTGCACCAGCACCCACACCAAAGCCAACAACATCTGTAAGCCTAAACAAGTAAACAATTTATTATATGTGTATAGAGATTTATGCACAGGAGAATGATGAAATAAAAATCGTATTTCACTGTGCAAATTAATTTCATGCAATTTGATTGGACGTACGATGTTTTTCACGTGTGAAAAAATGCCATACACGGCTTTTGATTGGACGTACGATATTCTTCACACGTGAAAAATTGCCGTATGTCATTTTGGCGGCAATTTGTTTACATTTTCTTTCAAGATGGTGTCGAAATATAGGAGTGAGATTCAAAACATAATTCTCATATTCAAGATATTTTTACATTCAGCACATTCTCAAATCTTTCGGAAAGAATGTCTAACTTCTATTGAACAAAATTACAAAGAAACTGAACGGTAATAAATATGTTTTCATGCATAAAGTTTCGATTTTGTTGCTCGCTGTGTTTTTGTATATTAAAAGCGTGTCGTTATCAAATTGGTCTCTATACACATTTAATAAACAAATTACTTCATGGTTGGCTCGTTTGTACGATTTTTATTATGCACGAGTTGTGAAGGATCGCAAACTCACTCGTTCGCTGCGCTCACTCGTTCGTATTGCGATCCTTCACAACTCGTGCATAAAAATCGTACGCACTCGCCAACCATGAAGTAATCTCTATATAATATATGCACATGGAATACAAGGGTGTGTCATAGCACTACCTGGAAATAGTACACGTAAAGTAAAAAATATTCCTGTTTCCCTTAGTTGAATTGATGTTGCCAATATTGGTCTTCCAACTCAAACAAAACTTAGAAAACAGCAATCACTTTATACATTTGAATAGTTCTGACACAATGTATTTGAGACTGACCTAAGATTACAATAGATGCACTATCTTGTGTTTTTCTTCATAATAACTATGTGTGTACTAGGTTGTGTGATGTACACATGACTAAAATGTTGAATACAACTTACCCAAAGTGTTCAACAACACTGGCAACACTTTCTGCCAAGTTATCCATGCTCGGATATTGATATCTGTGCATTCAAAGAAAGATCAAGTCAGGTGCATGTGAAATATGCTTGGTACAGTCAGTACATATAGCTGGCTAACCAACCCTGGATTTGCCTATCTCTAACACAAATTCCTTTGAGAAAAGCTTTGATCCCTGCTGGTGCTGTATTACTTTGGAATACACTGCAAAAATTAATCTTACCCATCAGAAAATTTCTCTGCACCTGGTTCCTAGAAATGAGGTAATAAGGAATGTGATCACTGGCCTTCAATTTCTGTTATCAGCATATAATTATGATAATGAAAAGCGAAAAGATGCTTTGTGATTACCTGACCAGGTGCCAGAATGTGATACACAATAAATCGGTCATGCAGTTGTTTCATGTCCTCATGGTTCAAAAATTTGTCAAAGCATGTCTTATCTGTATAAAGGATGAAGTTATATGAAACATTTGTTAATTTGCCTACATTCTTCCAAATAAATTAGTGGACTGGTGGCTATTTGTGGATCACACTTATGTTAGAACAAAACTGGAAACTTCCGTTTATGGAAAACACCAGACAAAACACAGTCACATCCCACCTACAAGCTCAACTAGATGAGAAAATTGACGAGATACCCCCTAGGTGATTCTGAATAAAAATAGGTTATTACTGTATAATTTAACATCAATTATATATTAGTTGACATGTATTAATCCTCTATTTCCATATTTTCTAAGTCAGTATGCATGCATTAATCTTCTTTTCCCAAATCCATAATCCTATGTGAATTAATAATGGGATATCATCTTAGGATCCTTGCAAGGTGACAAAACTCAGACTCTAAAAAGGGCTCCCTGCAGTTGCCTTGCAAGTCAGGCTGTCATCAGGCTTATATCATTCACAAATATCACAATTATTCATCGCAAACGATTATCTTTGAAACCCTAGCCAATTTTTATTGCCAGACGAATATAATACTTAAGATTTATGCATTATTAAACATTTATAGGCAAGGTTTATATCTGCAATTTAATGAGAATGTCTACACTTTTCCTCTGAGAAAGCAGTGTTATAGTTTAACAAAAAGACTGTACAGTTGAATCGCTTTTGAAATTTTCAATGCCTGCTTCGAATTTTTTACGCTAATTTTCCCACTTTTTTTTTCCAAACCCTTGAAAGCTTGTCAATTTTCAATAAACGTTTATTGAAAACCTTTTGTTTTGACCCTTATTGATTGCATCTGCAGCGGGCATTTTTGATAATGTTTCAAGACACAATGGAAGATAAAGACGTTTGTTGATAAATATCGATAAAAGCGGTGCTTACGATTTAAACCGATGTCATGGAAGGTCAACAAGATATTTATTTCTTTCGACTTAATATCTTCCTTGCCTTCCTCTCCCTGTATTAAAAATTTAAAATGCACATATGATACCATGAATATATTTATATTTAGGCTAAAATTAAAATGTCCACCCAAACCATAACGAAATTCAAATGACGTTTACGTACTTAACCTGAATATACACACAAATCTTAAAATACGCTGCACAACTGTGCAAATGTACAAAAGGATGAACGATTTACAGCGCCGTCCGTCGCTGTAACAACAGTATGTTTTTACGAGAGTGTTGCGACTCAAACCAAGTGACATATTGGCTGAATGACACACAGTATCATACCTCAATGATAACAGTTAAGTTTCCAACCTTCTCTATCTGCAAAGAATACGACATGAAGGTTTAGTCGAGCAACAGGCGCTGGTAGCAAATGCAGACATTTGAGCAACAGACGCCGAAGGCACACATCTGGCTAAAAGCGTGCTGTTAACTCGAGCACATTTTGAAGCATGACAGTGAAAAATATACGTACCCGTTCGCCCATTTTGAATCTTTGTTATGCAGACACACACCAAATGTTTAAGACAAAGACAGTGGAATGAAATTTAACCGGATAAGTTTTTTTGATATGCCTTCTTTATACAAAACCCACGTTCCTGTAGCTTGCAAGCGTTGAGCGACGGACTGACCAGCAAGGAAATCACAATATTGTCCTCGTTAGCCAATCACAAGCTTGGAAAAATATTCTCAGCCAATCAGATTAGCCCAAACATCAACATTGCACAATTTTTTTGCCTGTAGCTTTTAATTTTTTTTCGTCCAGCAATGGCGCGGGGGCTGTGTCAGATTTACAGGAACAAAAGCAGAATGCATTCCCGGAAAGGGGAATAAAAATAACTCGGTTTGGAACTAAATTGCTGGTATTTAGATAAAAGAATACAACCGCGCGGTCATTAAGTATGAAAGGAATGCTTGGCAAATGTAACCTTAGCATTTGTGATTAGCATTTGTGATCACCATTTATATCCGGTGCATAATTTTGGAAAAGCCGAGATAACGAAGCCCTGCTGAGTAAAGTAATTCTCCAAATTGATAGTATCTGCTCTAGTTTTCAGACTAAATGCGTTTAGTTATTTATTGGTCAAACTTGAAACATGCTCGTTACCGCTACACTATCCGAAACATATCATATATTCCCAAAATATTTGCGGAAAATAGACGATGCGAAAATAAGGTACCATAACTTACCCAACACGGATGCCAAATTCCATCAATGTCAACCTTGGCAGCTGCCATTCTTTGCAATTTATCTTCACAAATACTCTTTAGTTTGTTAATTGAGATATAAACTCTACGTCGTCTTGCACTCAGTGATTTCAAGCTGTATTGGTGAGCACTTATGTTGCCTAGAAAACTGGTATGCCCGACCACACCTTTTTTGTAAACTAACAAACACGAATTTAGGGTTCTTGACAATGGAGTTATGCTATATCAGCTTCGCCTTCGGTCAACGGGTAGCGTATTCTTTTCAATGAATTCTCTTTTGTTTAAATGCCTAATCCTACAAATTTTATATCTTGCAAAGTCAAATCCTACCAAATAACGCTACCCTCTTCCCTCTTTCCCACCGGGCTCAGAAACGACCGATACAATCTTCTACGTTTCCCCCACAAATATTGAATAAATAACTCGATAGAAAGAAATAAATAAATGATAAAATGAAATAAATAAATACCGATAAAATGAAATAAATATATATTAATTTAATATATCCTACCTGGTAAATAATTTATAATAGTATAAACGTATTTATCATCGCATATTAGGCCAAGTAAAAAAAAACATATGTTTCTCGTCCGGATGTTGGCCAAAAAGCAGGGAAGCGGGGTATTTTTTTTTTTTTTTTTTTTTTTGTTTATAGCCAAAGTAAGAAGCTTTCAAGTAGTTAAGCGAGAAAAACATGCAATAAAACGTGAATTTTAACGAAAGTCTATTAATATGTAGCTACTTGGATGAGCCCGCAGTAGTTTCAAGCTTATGATACTTCATGTTCTCAAACATATACTTGAAAAATTATGAAGCGAAATTTTTCGAGGAAATTAAGTTGAGCAAAAAAAAAGAGGAAGCGGCCAAGAAAAAGGAAGCGGGCGGGGACGAGAAACATATGTTTTTTTTTACTTGGCCTAAAATATACGTGTGTCATCAAAACACGACATTAGTTATCGCACCATGGCGTAACTTCATATTTACATTTTAATTGAACTGCAATCATTGAGACTGGATACCCCTCTATGGTCATTTCATGTCTGCTTAATACTTTATGATCCATAGTATTTAGTCCAGTTTTATTGTCCCGATTAAAACCAGCCTAGATAGGAATCCAGAAATCAGATTGGTAACAAACAACGCATAAATGGAGAGATGTTCCTGTTATAGAGAGGTGCTCCCGTTCATACCGTTTGTGTTAGAGAGCTGCCCATATTATGAGGGTGTTCATATTATTATGTTGTTACTTAGATTAGAGAGGTGTTAGAATAAAGAGGTATTCGTAATGAAGAGGTCTCCTTATTTGAGGTAGAGGTAATTTTTTTACACAATCTTTTTTATACAATACCTTGTACTGCTTCCGAGAAGTTGGATAATCTCGTTTGCGTTTCTTCTCATGATTATGCATGAAGGTTTTATATCCTGTTTTGATTCCAACTGGTTGCATTATCTAAAAAATAATAACTCTCTGTAATGCTTTATATCTTAAGAAATTGCTTCAACAGTAGTATTGACGTTTTTGTTACTCACTCTCAATTTTTCATCTTGAATTCTCATATACAATTCATCATCTTCTCTGCCCCAGCCCCAAAATTGAGTGGACAAACCGTTTACCTTTTGAAAACGAATTTAAAACAGTTTCATACCTTTGGAACCATTAAATTGAGCAATGAAAGGATTTTTTGGAACTGTTTTGTTTTCAAACAAAATAAACAAATATTTGGGACACTTCATTTGGCACTTATAAACCAGCCATATGATTAATACATTTAATATTAGACCTTTCGGAACTGTTCATTTGACATCAGCATAATTCCTCCAATGAATTTTGCATAATGGTACTTTGGATGTAAGGATGGCGAAGAGACATGAAATGGACCTTCAGATGGGTAGCCATAATTGAGATCATTATTAAGGGGAAGCAGGTCAACATCATGCATTGCTATGTAATCGCATGATTCGTTTGCTGCAAACAAAAAGCCAGCATTCAGCAATGCAGCTCTGTTAAACCTGGAATGAAAAAGTAGTACCAATTTATTATCTTATTTTAAACACAAAATCAATGCTGTACAGTACATGTACTGTACGTGTATTTCACCAAAGAAATTACAATATCTTTCATACTAACCTGTGAAGGTCCACTTGGTTGATAACATATATATGAAATGTGATGTTCTGTTTGTTTAGAAATTTGCTCATGTGTGGTACAAATATTAAAAGTTCTTCCAGACGATCTCGGTATGGAACAAGTACCCCTAACTTGTGTCTTGGTGCCACTGGCTTGAATTTTCCTGGTTTATCCGCCAACACTATTTTAAAATTTGATTCTTCCCCCTTGGTTTTCTTTGTGGTAGCTGGCATTTTAGTGGTAATTTGTACTTTAGGAGTATTTGTTTGAGTTTTAATTTCTAAAGGGTGAGATTTAAAGGGTCAAAGAAATGCACTATATAGAATATCTACATGAGAATAGTGTGATTGCATTGGTTATCATTTTGCAGTAATTGTTAAAAACAAGTAATTTTAACTGATGTAAAATGGTCTAGATTTAAGTTTTTCTGTATTCAAATCGGTCATTGTTAACTGCACATACGTAGCAAAATGTAATACGATACGTGAACCCCTTGACAGACATGTTAACTCAGTAAACTCACAAGGGACCACAAAATCATGACTAACTGGAAACCAAATTCAATGTCTAATCTTTTCAAATAGATTTTTAAATAAACAAACCACACAATTTGTCATAAGATACTCTACCTGTGCTACTTTGAACGACGCTATCTTGTATATTCCTTTTATTTTTTATTTGTGATGCTAAATCCTGAGGCTTCCTCAGGCATTTTGAACAATCACATTGCCTTTCCGGAAAATTTGTTATCATCAACCATATTGAAACGAAAACGAAAAGAGAGAAATAAAACAACGCTGCCACAGCAGTCCTTTGCCTCACCATTTTCCAACAAACCCACGTCGCTTTCACCAAAACAAGAAAGCCACCATGAACTTTAATTTGCACAACAAAGGTCGATTGACCAACTGAGATTTCTTTCCTAAATCCTAGCTATCCTGTGGTTTTTTTTTTCATTTTAAAATATCCATTTTAACACAGTATAGATAGGATCACAAAAACCTTGTGGATAGAAATCAACAAAGACAAACACATTTGATACACTTTTTTAGAATGTATCAATTGACTGACTTCGAAATGAACACTACATGAAGTTTATTATTTATTTACACTCTCGCAAATACACGTGTTATTACCGCCGGGGGGTGATGCGCAAAAAGAACAAAATAATAATTTTTAAAATTAAATAAGAATTTATAAGATCGCTGATTAAAAAACGATATTTCATCAAATAACTAAACTAAGAAACAAATACTATAAAATACATGCATCGCAGTGCTTTATAGCAGTATCAAACCATCAAAACTTGTGCTTCCTTTATTTTTTCACCCAAAAGTGTTTCGACTTACATCCCCGGATACAAACACTTGATCCCACGCCACGTCGCGTGACAACAGCTGAACAGCATCTTATAATTTAAAAATTTCACTATAAATTATATAGTTCTTTTGGGCGCAAAAATATTGTTTCTTCGACTATTATTCTTGCGGAATTCAACGATCTTTGATATATAGCATGGTTAACTTCATATGTGATGCTTGCGGGCAGACGATCAAGAAACAGAAAGTTGAAAAACATTATCAAAACGAGTGTAGAAACTGTAGTGTGTTGTCCTGCATTGATTGTGGAAAGGATTTTCCTGGTGATTCGTACGTCTCACATACAAGCTGCATAAGCGAGGCAGAGAAGTACCAAGGAAAATTATACAAGGCAAAAGATAAGGGGAATAAGGGCGAACGAAAACAGCAAGAATGGCTAGAGGTATTTAAATATGACAGTACAACTCTGCAAGTTATTTTATATAGAACTACGAGGATTTCATGTTTATACTATTGTAGCAAGTACGAAATGCAACTGGTGGAAATGGTAGCCAAGATCCACGTGTACGAAAACTGATGGCAAAGATTACTTCATATGATAATGTCCCTAGAAAGGAAGCAAAGTTTAAGGTGAATTGGTTGGTTAGATTATGTTGATGTTGAGCAATCTTTAAGGATTATCTATATATTTTTAACTCAACATGTTCTGCTTTTATAGAAATTTTGTGAAAATAGTATCAACATCAGAGATCAAAGCTTGTTGGAGAAACTATGGCTAACTTTTTCAGCGGCAAGGGTATGAAAGGTGTTTTATACCATTGGCATTTGGTGTATGTAAATATCTATGGCAAATAAAGAGATAAGTTTATTCCTATGCATTTCAATGCTGTATTTTGACTTTAGAATGGTACAAGTAACAATAACCAGACCACTACTAGTGCTGTCCCTGTGGAAAGCACAGAGACCATGTCTTGTGAAAATGGGAAGTCTGAAGACTCTGAAAGCAAAATTGTTGAGAATATAGATCAGGAAGACAAACCAAATGAGTTAAGTCAAAAGCCACAAAAAGAGTCAAAAAGTGGGAAAAAGAAGAAACGGAAAATGGAAACAGATGAAGCAGTGAATGGAAATGAAAAGGATGATGAGACTTTGAAAAGAACAAATAAGAGGAAAAGAAAAACTGAAAAAGATGAACCAGTGAATATAGAGGATGATAAGAATTTGAAAAGAAAGAATAAAAAGAAACGAAAAATGGAAAAAGATGAACTGGTAGATGAAAATGAGAATATGAAGGAATCAATGAAGAACCGAAAAAGGGAATTAGATGATGAGGAGGGGATGAATGATGAAAATAAGAAAATGGAATATGAGGATAACGGAATTAAAGAGAAAGAAAATGAAATGGAACAGGATGTTGAAATGGGAAAGAAAATGAATTTAAAGGATATGGAAAATATAGGTTCATATCTGTTTTGTCTTCTACAAGTTTATGTTTAGAAACTTTTTGCATACATCATTTCTTAATTTCTGCTGGAAAAGGATTTTGACCATATTAAGATTACCCATGACAAGTGAAATTATGGTTATAAATTGTATTTAGAACCAAATGCATTAATCAAAGATTGTGAGGAAACACAGAAAGATAAAAAAAAATACTGAAACACATCATACTTTCAAAAATCACACTCATTCATAGGGTTTCTGCATGATGTTTCTACATGTTCAATCAACAAAATTGTTTTCTGATTGTTACAAACCTCTTTTGTCTTTATTTTGCCAGAGAAATTCAATTGGGAGGCAGTAATAAAGAAAGTGTTAAAATCTGCGCCGGACAACGAGATGGCTGTAAAGAAATTGCGAAAAAAGGTAATCCTAGGGTTTGTATCAAAGTATTGTCGCAAGATGTTTGGTAGCTTGTAACTGAGCTTAGGTGAACTTGAATGAATTTTCTTCCTTGAAGTTATCAATTAAAAGTGATGTAATTTTATTTGTCCAGGTGATCAACGAATTTCTAGCACACGGAGGAGATTTAAGAACAAGAACGGAACAGGAACTAAGAACATTGTTTGAGAAAAAACTTCACAAAAATCCCAAAGTTAAAGTTCACAAGGAAAAAGCAAGATACTGTAAATAGAAAATACGTTTTAGACTTTCAGTCAAAACCTGTGCATTTCGTTATTACAAGGAGAGCGTCGCTTGAAATTTTGAATCGAAAGATTCTTGAAATTTTGATTTGAAACGATTCTTCTAGGCTCTTTTGTTGTTGTTGATTTGTTTTGTACCACTTAAATAAAATGCTTTATATTTTCAACTTTGCATCCGGCTTCTAAATACACAAATGTGGCCGGACTTGCCTTTCGTCTCAAGTACCAGCACTTCAGTGACAGTGACGCTTTTGGTACTTAACTGGATCTTTTTTTGTACACAGCACGTTTTTAGCTAGCGTGATCAACCAGTCCTTTTACCAACAGACAATTCAAAAAATACATACAAGCTACACTATAGACCGATATAGACAAGGGCAGACTCCAGATATGATGAAACGATTGAGCAAAAAATTTAAACGAGACGCCATCCTTAATTTCATCAACATTTCAAAATCAGCACTTGAATAAAAGCGTTTTGTTTTACGTTTCCACGATGTCTGCGTTTGTCCGACAGTAAATAACCGGTAGGTCTGCACGGAAATGTTTAAATGCTGACGTTGAAGGGAAGTTCAAAGCAATGTTCCTATTCGCGTTCAGGAAGAACACGACGTGCAATGTACAACCGAATATATAAGAAATTCTTTATTTCGTTCATATTTTAAAAAAGACTTGCAGGAAACGCAATAGTGAAGGGAAAGTCAAAAGTTTGGTATAAATTTACGAGAGCTTGACTCTGTTCTCAGTCAGATCGAGTCAGTCGAGCTGGTTTCTACTCAGTGGGCGGATAATTGAGATCTTCGAGACCTAACAATGTTGAGAATTGCTCTGGTTGTGATTCTGTTCCAGGTTGTTCTGCAAACTGGTTGCACAGAAGCACTTTGCTGTGATGATATCAGATCTGATATAAAAAATCATACCCTCGCTTACAACTTATTGTGTTCAAAACACGATCCACAGCTTGGATCATGCTGTCGTGTCATAGAACGGAACATTCGTAGACATAAACTGGCGCTCAGAATACTGTGTCCAAACAACGGTAACGTTGCGATTTTGTTTATTTATATTATGACTTGAATTCATTTAAAAAAAAAACCGGACTTATTTAAATTGAATTAACATATAGAAACCGACCATTGCAAGTCAAACCCTTGCGGTCCTAATGCTGTTTGTGTCAGTAACACTTACAACTACACATGCACCTGTAAACCTGGTTATACTGGTCCAGGAACCAATTGTACAAGTAAGAGAAAAGAGCAAACTTTCTGTTATGATTTCTAAAACAACTTAAAATTTATAATAAAATTTATTGTGTTATACCAGAGATCGGCCCTTGTTCGTCCAATCCTTGCGACTTCAATGCTATATGCACCAGACATTCAACCTACTACTACACATGCACCTGTAAACGTGGTTATACTGGTCCAGGAACCAATTGTACAAGTAAGTGAAAATATCAACTTGCACGCTAATTATGTTAGGTTTTCATAGTCTCATTTGTTATAATCCAAAACAACTAAAATACATTTTGTTGCATTATCCCAGAGATCGACCCTTGTTCGTCTAATCCATGCAACTTCAATACTGATTGTATCAGTGATACTTATTACTATACTTGTGCTTGCAAACCTGGTTATACTGGCACAGGAAACAAATGTACAAGTGAGAATAAAATTGATTTGATTTTAAAAGCGTTTTTGTTATAAATTAACACAACTAATAACGTTTGTTGCATTATCCCAGAGATCAACCATTGCGCGTCCAATCCTTGCGATGTCAATGCTGTTTGTGTCAGTAACACTTACAACTACACATGCACCTGTAAACTTGGTTATACTGGTCCAGGAACCAATTGTACAAGTAAGAGAAAATAGTAAACTTTCTGTTACGATTTCTAAAACAACTTAAAATTTATAATAATATTTATTGTATATTATCTCAGAGATCGACCGTTGCCCGTCCAATCCTTGCGCCGTCAATGCTATTTGTGTCAGTTACTCTAACCACTACACATGCATCTGTAAACCTGGTTATACTGGTCCAGGAACTAATTGTACAGGTATCATGCCTTATTCCGATGTTTTACAGTTGTACAGACGGTGTTAATATTAGACACTCTTTTATTGACTGGTTGAACGCGTTTCGGAAGTGTTCAGCGTTTCCTTTTACATCTTGAACTCTATCTGTATCATATATTGAACACTCCAATCTTGATAAATTATTTTCTGTGTTCAATTTCATGTAGCTGTTACCGGAAGAAGTTGCGCTAGGCTGTACAACATTGGAGTAAGAAAAGATGGTGTTTACACTATCAATCCTGATGGTTTGGGATCGTTCCAAGTCAGATGTGATATGAGAACAGACGGGGGTGGTTGGACCGTGTTTCAAAGAAGACAAGATGGTAGTCAAGATTTCTTCCTTGGATGGTCAGACTATAAAGCAGGCTTTGGTGATCTTAACGGCGATTTCTGGTTGGGCCTTGATAAAATACATCGTTTAACCAAATCTGGCCAAAATGTTTTGAGAGTTGACATGATGAAATTCAGCGGCGATGAAGGATATGCCAAATACGGTACTTTTAGTGTGGCTGACGAATCAGATAAATACAGATTGACCGTTGGCAGTTTTTCAGGTAAACCACGCCGGCTTACTGCGTGCAAATAACGTCTGATGTATGTTTTCATCTACTCTGCGATATTTCTACAGGTAACGCACGTGATTCCCTTGTTTATCACAATCATATGCAGTTTACAACCAAAGATAGTGACAACGACGCAGCTCCCAATAATTGTGCACAGGTTGGCAACGGCGCATGGTGGTACAAGAATTGCTATCATTCCAATCTCAACGGTATATATCAGCAGCCAGGCCAGACCAGAGATCACAAAGGGGCAAAATGGATCACATATGCACCACATTCTTTGAAAAAGATGGAAATGAAAGTTCGTCCGAGCAAGTTTCCACTGAATGACAACAAAGCTACCGCAACTTTACAGAATTGTATTGTATTCGATAATATAGAAATTTTGAACTAACAGAGATAAGCAGAAGAGAGAACTCTCAAATCTTGTGTTTTGCGGATTGTTCTGCAGACTACTAATGTATGTATATGCATGTACGACTGCTGTAGACGTAACAGTAAAAAGCAATATTAAATACTACGAAACTATGCATTTCGTGCGTACTGTGTGTACCGTCGTTCCTGATTGGTCAGAAGGCACCGGCTGATTTTTAATACGTAATCTCTGCTGCTAACGTGCTCAGCGTCGAATAATTGTTTATTTTGGATCGAACTTGCATAACTTGCACGAAAAAACTATTGGATTTTTTCGTGCCCAGGCATTCGCCCTTTTTGAACGGTGATCGTTAGAATCGATATTCACTTTACAGTGTAAATGCTGTATGTATTTATCGAACTGACTAGAACAAAATGAAAAAGCGGTACTTACAATACGCCCAAGTTCCACAGCAGCGCGCTAATGAAATGTCATAAGAACATGTCATCAAAGTAATCGTCAAATTCTTCCTCTCTGAACACAAGAAAGCGAGAGCATTCATCAACGGCTATACAGTTTTCAAACGTTTTCAAACAAGATAAATCTGTTCTGCTTTCTGGATTATCAGAAGAGCCTTCGTAATCATATATCATTGAATATTACCTTGTTTTTTCAACAACAGCAGTGACAGGCTTTTCCCAAACATCACTACCTTCTTCTAGGTCCTTAGATGTAGAACTTTTTCCCTCGTCTGGTCTCTCTTCGCTTTCTGTACGAAATACAAAAGATGTAGAGTTCGCTCTTCACGTGAAACTTGGTTTTTTACAATGAAAGAATTGTCAATCTACTTATTTCATCACTGATACAGTAAAATAGGACAGCATAAATACATTTAGATCTAACATACACATTGTTATTAGTGGGAATATAAACTCGGGTCTACTTGTGAGTTGTCTACTGTAGCTACCTTTTTTGGACGAAGAATCGTCACTTCCCTCGTCAGATTTTCTTCTTCGTTTTGCCTTTTTGTGCTTCTTTTCCTTGCGAGCCTTTTTCTTCACGGCCTTTCTTCTGCAAGATTTGAAAAGAAAATTCTTAAGAAAGGCTGACGCCGTTCCGTTGTACAACGTACGATCTCTGATCGACTCATTTCAGCCTGTCATGGTATAAGCCTAGATTTGGCTACCTCTTAAAATTGGTTGTTTGGTTTAAATTGGCGAAGGCTTGCTGATGCATGCGTTTCTGGTTAAATTGTCTGCTGGTAATGGTGTATAGGAAGCTCAAGGGCGTGAATGAATCGTGAATGAGTTACAGTAGAACTAAAAGTAAAACACGCCAATTGATAACCTTACTTGTGGTGATAGTTTAATTTCACTGAACAGTCTGGACACAGTCCTGAAAACCAAAGACAAAAGAAAAAAAGTGAATCAAAACTTACAAAAATTACAGAAGATATCTCCTACTAAACAGGTCGTTACTTGCTGCGATACAAAAGCAGGTTAACCGTTAACGTACGACAATAGTGTAACGGTATAGCGTTTGAAAAATACCGTAACTAGTCAATTTCTTAACAATGATGTTTTCTTCTTGCAAGATTGAGCTTATGTTATAGATTGAAATAATTGTGAATTTAAGAGAAAAAGTGTTCATTTGCTAAAGTTGCTTATTCTGGTCCATATATGTTAATCTATCCCAACTTTCAAATACCTACGTAATTTCACTAAAGTATTCTTCTTCTCGCCATGTTCACGATATGAAAAATTAACCTGCAAAAAAAGCATTAAGAAAAAAATTAGGCCCAGCTAGATAGGTTCACATATATCTTTTGAAAGGTTTAATATAAAGACTCTAAATATAAGAATCTCATTTCTGTAACAAATTTCTATTGGATGGTACTCACTTCCCAGCTCTGAAGATCAGCAGTGATGTCACATGTTTTGTTCCCACAAATAAACTGTCCTGTCAAATACAGAATGAATGACAAAAAATAAAGACATAATATACTACCTTATGTACTTCACCGTGTTTTGGTACAATTTGAGTACTGTAAACCTTTGTATTCTTATAGCAATGTTTCTCATTATTCATTGAATGTTGGGTCAATATCTACAATTTTATTACTATTAAAGCATTTTGCACTGTTTGAAAAAATAAGAGCTTGGCCTTCACTCTAGAAGGTAATCATTTTGAAATACAACACACCTTTTCCAGACATCACTTCTTTCTCAACTCTCCACCTGAGAGCCACCTTAAAACAGATATACATGTGTTTAAAGGGAAGACCATCATCTAAATATCATTTTTATTAGTTTGAATCAGATTAGGTATTCAATATATATACAAACCTTATTCTCCTTGTATCGACTTAGATCAGATATGCAATATTCCTTGAAAAGTTTGTCATAATACTTCTTGGCCAGTCTTTTCTCCCTGAAAGATAAAAGATAATTCTGTTTGAGGATGGGGTGCAGGGCTGAGGTTATCTAACCCTTCAGATGACTCTTAAATGGTTTCTCAAACAGCAGAGTTTTGATGTTTTCTTAATATATCATACCATGAACTGTCATTATCATCTTCTTCAGACCAAACAAATCTGAAAAGAAAAAATTATGCAGATTACAGGTTTGGTTATATATAGGAATGGCAACACCAATGGTACAGTTCTTGGTGTCATTCGCTGAATTAGGTCTTCAAGCATATATCACAATACTTAGTTGGAGTTCTAAACTGCTTTGCAAACACAAGCATGGACCAGTGTTCTCAATTAAGCTATATTGACAAAGGTACTGTAATCCTTGCTTCCTCCTTCCCACAGATCATCTAATAGGACTTGCAGTTCTTTGCATACCTGTGCTGTTCGCGAAGAACGTCATAATCAGTCTTGTCTCGTGAACTTAAAGAAGCAATAATTGACGATTAATAAACCCATTTATCTTATGACACAGGCACTTTACTTAGTAATTCATATATTTGATATTCATAACTCTATGATTAGTTTGTTCTGTAATGTTTCAATTCTCTGATTCCATAAGTACAGTAATCTAATCTGGCTTCTCCGCTGGCAAGGAATCAATAGAGAAGTACTATTGCAGATAGTAATCTAGCGATATTTAAATAATCTCATGGTTTGTTCAAAATAGTTTACCTGTCCCTCCTAAAATCTTCCATAGAGCCACCATAGTATTTCAGGTAGTTGTTGATGTATACTTTGTGCCGAGAATACTGATTGAATCATGGTGAAGGAAATTCAATGAGAGTTTTATATATACGTAACATCTATTTGCATCACAGATTGTATGCATCACAATATTTTTTAGTCAGATTATGATAGTAATGGGTTAAAATAAAAAAAAATTAAGAATGAAAAAAGGAATTAAGAATGATTTTAACAGAATTGATTGCAACCATTTCATATAAATCATCTTGTAGTAGTTTGATAAAAAAGGATACAGCATCAAGTCGGAGTAAATGAAACCTGTGATTCTTTGCTTCCTCTCTGCAGAAAAATGGACATATCATTCAACCCTTATGTCAATTAGAAGTTTACTGCCAACAATTTGCCAGTATAGTGAAGTTCAAAATAACTATTACTGAAACCTGTCATATTCTTGCGATATTGTTTGTTTTGATGGCAATCCAAATGTTCTGTTTGGTCTTCTGTGAACTCCTGACAGTTGATCATCTCTCCATGTCCTGTACATAGAAAAATGATGAGAATAATTTTACTTTCCAGAACGTTGAGTCGTTGACTGATTCTGTCAAGGGATTAGGGTGCCAGATCTTACCGCTTTCTTTCATTCTCATCAACTTCACTGAATTCTGATGTGTAGCCTCCAGCTGCTCCATGGCTCATCTGAAATAATGAGAAATTCATTGTATACGACTAGTATACTGTACTCCTGAATAAACTGCTGAGTTCACTCTGGGATGAAACTAAGTTTACGTTCAGGCCCATCATTTTGAAGTCGAAACAAGTTAGATAAACGTTATCAGAAGTAAAATAAGTGCACGAGAATACCTCCTTTTCAAACGCTCCTCTATTTGTCGCCATATTTATTTCGCTGACATTCTGAGTTCTGACAATGACTCAATTGACTCAATGAGTCAACGAGCTACACTATAATCTCTGTTGGAGAACTTGCGCATGCTCAAAATGTGAAGCAAAAAATGGCAGACTTGCCATGATAGTTACCACTGACCTGGTCTCAATTCTGAGCCCGCTACAATGTAAAGACTGTTCTTTTCAGTTCAAATAAGACGGCAAAAGTGTTCAGGGAATCAAACCCAGAAGCCACACATGCGTTTTTATCAGGCATTATAATACGGAATTTTTACAAGGACACACATTGTCTTTAGGTTCAATAATCACTTAGTCTTAGAAATTACTACGTGAAATTACAATGCAAGCATATAAAAAAGAGTATAGCCATGCAAAGCACGGTCCGTCAGTCTCTAGCCTTTTTTAATATATAATATATTCAATAATGTCAATTTTATAATAGAAACAATAATTATTTTAAATAGTCAGATTAAAATTATATTAGACATTTTTGTCCATGAGGCATGATTTTTAACTACACTCTTTTCCATTTACAAGGACACATTCGCCTTTTACAAGGACACAAAGTGTGTCAAAAACACGCGTATTATAATGCCTGGTTTTTATCACTATCAACAAACACGTTGGCCCCAGACATGGACACTGTTTTTAAAGCCAAACGAAAAGGAGGGAAACCGGAGTACCCGGTGAAAAACCCTCCAAAGGCAGCCTGAATTTCAGGCCACCTGACCGGCGGTCCGAATTTGGTATTTTCATTAGAAATCGTCCACAATGACAGTTCAGTTTTTTACCTAAAGTTTATTCTCCACTTCCGCTTATCCGAATCGAGTCTCAGGAATTGCCATGCAATTCTCAGTTGAGCTTCGTCATGCGATCCCGCTGGTGGTCTAACGTGCCGCAGCGCGCGCGCATATTGTCCGTCGCAAAACACCAGGCTCTTTAGAAACTGCGCTTTGTCCGACAGTGGCAACAAAAATTATTTCAATTATTCAAATATTCATTTTATGATAAAGAAATGCCTCGTATTCACGACTTGCATGCATTTTCATTGGAAACCGATGTAGACAAGAACGCTCTTCTATTACCCCTTCTTAAGACATGCACCTCATGCACCGTTTTTATCTTTTTTTATACTTTCTGGATTACGGTTAACCGCAAATGGAGGAAATAAACGTAATCGGGCTCAACATGCAACTTTCTCAATATGGCTAGTGATTATTAATGTCCCATACCTTTCTCACCGTATGATAAACAATGTACCGAATTTCACTTGCTTCTCTGCCCCATTCCAAACAGTTGTGTTCTTTATCTTTCTTGTTCATCTCGACAGCAGGGCGTGCAAGAAATTAAACAACATAGTAAGTGTGTCAAAATGCAAAGGCTCTTCTTTAAAAGATCAGCAAGGATCAGCTTCTTATATATAGGCAAGAGGGTACTATTCAATGTTAACCTACAATTTAAAAACTATACACCCAGATAAACCATTATACAAGTTTACATCACGCAATATGATCATACGAGGTATATTTTCCCTTTTATATAAACTTCGTCAAGCCAGTTAAAATTATGACAATACGTTCATTTCCCCCATGTTAGCGATTAAACCGGATTTTATCAGAGCTTAAACTGCAATCCGAAAAAAAAGTACAAACAAGGGATACAGAAGAGTGAGAGTGCATGTCTAAACACCGGGTATTAGTAATTTTTTCTTCATTTCAAACTTCAATGATTCGAATTTAAATGTTCCGGCAAAGACTAAAGTATAATTTTTGTTGCCACTGACAGACGGTCCTTCGAAGCGGTCGCATTATAACAGGCTGAACAGAGAACTTATATAATCATATAAGTACTCGCGATTACCTTCGTATTAATCTAAAATTAGGCTAATACGAATTGGATAAGAATTTTTTCGTTACGCGCGCGTCGCCCATGCCATTTGCATTTTGTTATTTTCATTTCAACGTTTTAAAGCCATCTATGCATCTTTCGCATCTATGCAACTAGTACAACTAGTTTCATCGAGAGAGTTTTAACGACTCTCATAAGAGCTGTGAGAAATTTCTTGTTATCATGCATTGTCGAAAAGGGTGGAATGTCACTTGATGTGTAAAATACTAGGTTAGACCACCAGGAGGAATCAATCGGAGAATAAATCATGCAATTACATTAATCATGCATTACTCTAACTAGTATATACTAGTATATACCTCAACTAGCATCCACTTGCACACCCGTCTCGTCGTCCATCATCTGATCCTGCGACGATCAACATCTGTCTTTAGGTGCATCAGCATCTGTCTTCGGATCCTAGTCATCTGAAATGATAGTAAAACTGAATCAGGTCCTTCACCAGTCAGGATAAATTTACAGTCACTGAAAACCCGATTATACACCTTCCACAACTCCTGCGCCACTCGTCCAAGGCCTTCGCATTGCGCACGCGAATAAGTCATGTACGTTTTGTATACGAAATATTCATTCTTTTTTAATAAATGGTCCTGAGAAAACTAAAACACTCGACTATTATCTCCTTCCGGAAATACAATTTCTCGTGCATTTTTATGTTTTAGGCGCTCTGTGAGCGATGTTTTTTCCCCGGACTATTGCCGTTCAAGATGGAGAAAATACAAATGGTGGGGCCCCAGAACCACTTGTATTTACTTCGCATGCGCTTGACACGGCTAGTTTGACCCACGAGTTGGGCATAGCAAAAACCGCAATCCGAAAAATTAAAAATCAAGGAGGTAAACAGAAGAGTGTTCAGCGTATCTCGGCCAAGAAAGCCAAATACCATGCATATTTTACTCATGCATATTTTCATGCACAGAAATCGAGTTTTGTATTTGCGTGCATAAAATGTCCCAAGGCAGATTTCAAATCTCTCCACTCCGACGATTCTTTCATTCTAAAAAAGAAAACCTCCCGGTAAAACAAAAAATCCACGCGGGCATATTTTTGATTTTGCCTGTTAACACTACTTAAGTAGCAAAGGAATCCACTACAGCACGATAAGTCGATAATATACTTTGGAAGTAGAAAACTACAAGCGACTACAGGGTGAAATAACTCAGTACACGTCTAGTCAAGCATAAAGTACATATACATAATTACATACACCAATATACAGGTCTTTCCCTGTACAAAGCAAACATGAATGAAGCGTTGACGGACGAGTATTTCACAATACGACAACCGTGTCCGAAAAACGCATTCTGCCAGCCGGGAAAGTTTCAGCCGGCATTTCTTGGGAAATATTTGGGATTGAGTCCCAAAACGTTCAATTAAACTGTATTCTAGTTTCGCCCACTGTCTACAAACGTGTTATTTCAAATGCAAAATGCACATATATTGTAGTAGAACAATACCTATCATTCGCTGCGAGCAAGCGTTTGTGTTTCGCCTTCCCCATCTTTCCGCGCCGTAGTTCGTTCTGAAATAAAGTAAGAAAGAAAAACAAAATCAAGTTCATCTCAATTTCATTTCACATTATCTCCAAGCAACCATGACCTTGTACCTGAGCAAAATTCTTCTACTGATTTCTTCGAGTGATCCTTCCTTCTTCGGTTTAACCAAGTCTGAGTTTCTTCTCGAATGACGCCTTTTATTAACCTCAAAAAACATTCCAATGGACAATGCACTTTATGCATCGATGACACTTAACAACAAGGCCTGCTTCGAACGTCTTGTTTTTCCTGTGCCGAACGTATTAACAACAATAGATAATGAGGAATAACTTATTGATTAACTATTGTTTTAAACGAGTTCTGGATTTAGAAGCACCATCGACCATTGAAATAGGCTAAGGCCTAGGTTATACGTCGCATTTTGGTCGCGCTGAATGCAACTTCAAACAATAGATAATGAGATGATAAACCGGCCTCAATAAGCTTCATTGCCATCTCATTATCTATTGTCTGAATTGCATTCGACGTGACCAAACTAAGAACAAATTTAGAACAAAATATTTGACATCATAACCAAAGCATGGTTATATTGTTTAATGTTTGTACATGAGCACGAAACATGCTTGCAACTTTACATAGGACCAGAATTAGACCATTTAACCAGCGTGGTTATCCATATCAAAATATTTGAAATCATAACCAAAGCATGGTTATATTGTTTAATGTTTGTATATGAGCACCAAACATGCTTGCAACTTTACATATAGGACCAGAATTAGACCATTTAACCAGCGTGGTTATCCAATTCAAAATATTTGAAATCATAACCAAAGCATGGTTATATTGTTTAATGTTTGTATATGAGCACCAAACATGCTTGCGATTTTACATAGGACCAGAATTAGATCACTTAATTAGCGTGGTTATCCAATTCAAAATATTTGACATCATTACCAAAGCATGGTTATATTGTTTAATGTTTGTATATGAGCACGGAACATGCTTGCAACTTTGCATTGGACCCAGAATTAGATCACTTAACCAGCGTGGAATCCATGTCAAGATATCTGACATCATAACCAAAGCATGGTTATATTGTTTAATGTTTGTATATGAGCACGAAACATGCTTGCAACTTTACATAGGACCAGAATTAGACCATTTAACTAGCGTGGTTATCCAATTCAAAATATTTGACATCATAACCAAAGCATGTTTATATTGTTTAATGTTTGTACATGAGCACGAAACATGCTTGCAACTTTATATAGGACCAGAATTAGACCATTTAAAGCATGCATGGTTATATTATATTTAATATTTATATATGAGAACGAAATATGCTATAATTTATTCACTATTTTAATTTATATATATTTCCCAGCGTAAAAATAAATAAATAAAATCATTATCATTATCGACTATCAACTTTCGATGACTTTTCTCACAAATTCTGGCAAAGCAAAGCATGCACTGTGCACTTCAGCATTATAAAAATACAGATGGCAGGTTTCTTTCTCTGATAATGGCTGAACCGGGGCTTCAAAGCAGGTATCCTGCAACAAAGAAAAAAAAATACTTCACTCAATCTTTGAATTCCTTTCAGTTGAGTATTTAAACTTTTGTAACTGTCGACGTTAGTGAGCTTTTGGTTATTAGATTAAGATTTTAGATTAAGATTGGATTAGACGAATATTTAAACTTTTGTAACTGCCGACGTTAGTGAGCTTTTGTTTATTAGAGAAGGATTTCAGATTAAGATTAGATTAGACGAATGTTTAAACTTTGTAACTGCCGACGTTATTGCGCTTTTGGTTATTAGATTAAGATTTTAGATTAAGATTGGATTAGACGTCTTAGACTAAAATACATACTGGATTTAGGCTTCGTAACATGAAAGTAACTTGTCCAAATGGTGCGGTTGGGATCCAGGAATATGCAAGTTGGACTGTTGGGAATGATGCCTTATTGTACTTGTATAAGGAGTTAATAGCATCCAGCTCTAACCAGAAACTTGGAACTATATTGAAAAGAAATGACGTTTGTTGTAAGCAAATAATAGGAAGAAAACGTAGACGTAAAGGCCCGTTTACACTTGCAATTTTTGCTGCCATTTTATATGTGTGCGATTTTCTTCTTTTGATAGATGTGAACGAGGGAATTAGTTATACTGATACTCAAATAGGAGCTTTTATACATCAGAGCATTCGTAACTAATTACTGAGTCGTTCACATCTATTAAAAGAGTAAAGTGCAGACGGACCTTGAAGCAACAAAATACTGAACAGATATAACATATAATCCAGACTTTTCGGAGACGAACAGGAAACTTAAATTGTTGAAATTCATCGTTTGAAAAGTACAATATATTTAATATGACGACAGCACAAAAAATTAAACATAACAAGAAACAATTATATGAAGTTACTTTATACTTACGTTGAGATATAACGATACCGTTTGGTTTCAAAGCTGATTTTAAAACGTCGCTTGTTTTAGGCTGCAAAAACGCTTCCGTTGGAACTGAAAAAAAAACCAAATACCATTTTCAAAGGAGTATATACTGTTCAACTGTTGTAATATATTAATCATGGCGCTAATATATCTTAGATGGGGTCTGGTCATGGACTATAAAAGACACTTTTGTTTCTCAAAAAAGGTGACGAACGATACCTGTTATGATAACGTCGTAAGCCTTGGAGTTTGCCACGAGGAACTCTGTGTAACAACCGATATGAAGTTCTTTTAGCTTGGGATTGTCATATCCCGTCGACGTTTTATTGAAATATTTCTTGGAAATATCCAGAAGAGCCTAGTAAAGTGAACAATATGGCATGAAACAATCAAACGAGACAGGCCAATCTGGTAAACAAGCATTCATGCATGTATTTCGTAGTTATTCATGATTTAACAATGAAAGATTCCCTTAGATACCTGGCTTGTCTCGCATTGGATAATTTCCTGAACTGAACCATATCTTGAGACCTCTTGTATAATACCTCCACTTAACCCGCCAAGGATCAACACCTGGAAAAAATATAGTATTCTTACAGTAATCGTAAGATACAGTAATCTTGTATTCGCATAGCTCAAATGATTAAGAGAGAAACTAGGAGACCAAAACTTAAATCATTTGACTATTATAATGCGTATTTTATGCAGAAACACAGCATGGACCACAGACCTTCTTAGGATCAGGATGACAACTTAAAGCAAGATGTACCAAGGACTCGTGATACAATGCTTGGTCTCGCTCGGTGCATTTTATGGCGTTATCAACCACCAACACTTTACCATATATATAACTGGAAAAAAATAGAAGAATGAGTGTTCAGTCCAAGTTCAGTTCAGTTCAGTTCAGTTCAGTTCCTTTATAGTTCACGCACATCAGTCCAGTTCCAGTGCAGTTCAGTGCAGTGCAGTGCAGTCCAGTCCATCTAGGAATCTACCTTACGAGCGATAATCTCATTAGTACCTTTCAAACACCAGTACATCATGATCGCCAATCTTTTCATTAAATTGTACAATCTCTTTGATTAAACCAAACGACTGTCCCGGAGCATTTATTCGTTTCTCCCAAAACCAATCTTTGTCCTTCATTTCGTCCGCTTTTTGATAGTCCTTGCGTTGCTATCGAGCGAAACAAACGTCAAATATATTTCACAGCCAATGTAATCGCGGGAATGGAAGTGGAAATCTTTTACCTTATAAAAAAACTCTGGAATAGCCAAAGCGGTTTTGTGTAGTTTCGGATTATAAAACTTGAAATTAAAAGATGTCAGCGATTCTGGAGACGCTCTAAATGGTTGATCAAACCTTGTTTCCTTAAAAGATACGAACACACATTTTAGACTTCTTTACCTTAAAGGCTGTTTTCCACTTACGCGTTTTTCATACGCACGTACACGCACGTAAAAGTCTAAATCCTTGACCTTATGGCTTATACATGTTACCTTTGAAAAAACTAAGTGAATAAATCGAAGGAACTTAGTTTTCTGCATATTTTAGTATGCATTAGTTGACCTAGATTTTAAATAATAAAAAATTAAAAGCATTTAAAATTTTGCGTACGTGTACGTGCGTATAAAAAACGCGTAAATGGAAAGCTGTCAGCCTTTAATACTACAAAAAATTGATTTATGAAATGCAAACAGTTAAATTACATACTACTTTACTGCTTTAGGGAAGTACATTTAACTATAAATAATGGAATAATTTTTTGCCGTTGTTGGAAGGTAATCGAGTGATTTAAACATGTACATTTTGTTGTGAAATGACAGGCCTCTTCCTGTGGTATTCCGGCTTCGTTAATCCGCCACATAATAGGCTGGTTCTGCGGAAATTTTCGTTGCAAATTGCAGCGAACTTAAATAAAACTCACCGGACTACGACCGCACATCAGAAATCCAATTTGCCCACACGGATATGTCGGAACATTTGTGTAGGCATACTGAACAACAGGAAACAATGGTTTGCAAAACTTCACCATATTCCTAATAAATTCGCTGTCAAGCCACGGACATTCCCCTTAAGATACGAGACGAAATAAATTTCAGGCGATAAGGAAACAAAGTAATTTTAACAAAGAGCTGGTGTTTATAGGAAGCCGGGAATTTTTATCAAATGAATTACAAATTACTTCAGGAGAATGAAATGTACACTCTCTCACCTTGACTACAAAGAATACCATTTGGTTTCAAAGCAGATTTCACGAATTCATAATATTCCTTTTGAAACAACGAAGCGGCTGGTCCTTGAAATGAAATATGAAATGCCACAAAAACTTTACTTTAAACTAATGAAGAATACCTACTTGGTTGTATTTTACTTTCTTGCTCAACAGAAAAAATGTCATGAAGTAATTGAACTAAGCTCAGAATATGAAAAACAAACAAACTCAAATTTGGAACAGAATAGAACTCTGCTTGCATTGTACAAACTTTTTTATTTATATGTACAGTACCTATTGGATCAGAAGAGTCAGTGATAACAACATCAAATTCCCCTGTATGTTTCTTCATAAATTCTTTGCCACATCCAACATGAAGTGTGTGCTTAGGACTGTTGTAGCCACAAGACATGTTGGGCAAATACTTCTTTGCCATATTTACAACTTCCTAAATATTATACCATGAAAAGAATTTGAAATGTTGAATATGTGAAGTTAAGACTTACGAGTTAAATGTCTGCTTTATTCATTCATCCGTACCTCATCTATTTCACATTGAACGATGGACTCAACACATGGATGTTTTGCAATTTCACGAATCACTCCACCATCGCCAGCACCAATAACTAATACCTGAAAACGTGAGTGACACTGCTGTTAGTGTACGTTAGTTAACATACGTCACTCTCTTCAACTTAATTTTCTTTTGCCACAGAAATTTAGTTAGCTCAGGATCAAGCCATAGAAATGATTAAAATTATACTCTTTGAATTACCTTTTTAGGATTGGGATGTGAATTCAATGGGAGATTCGTAATCATTTCTTGATATGTAAATTCATCTCTATCTGTGCACTGGACACAACCATCAAGAACCAGCACATTTCCATGAGATTTGCTGGTAAACAAAAAATATCACAACAATACAATGTATCTGCATGATATAATGTCTCTCTATACTCCTCTTACCAATTCCAAAAAATCGCTAAAATAAAGCAGTATGCATAACAAAGTGTAACATGCAATCCAGATTCTGGACCTCTTCCTGTTTTGCACTGAAGCAACACCACAGTATGTGCATAGTTATTACCTCTCAAATATCAGTATGTCTTGATACTGTGACTTTTTATGACATAAAATTTTCTTGATTTCAAATGCCATTGCTTGTCCATACCATTGGTTATTTATCTCAGCAAACCACCCATCCTTGATTGTTGTCATACTATAGAATTTGTTTTAGGGATTGTTATCCATTTTGTTACATTTGTACATAAATATATAAATAATATAATTAGAATTAATAATGACATGTATTCAATGATTCAATAAATATACTTTACTTCGTCTATCCTTTTCTATCGCAAATCTTCAACCCTTTCTGTAATCGCTCTGCAAAGGTAATACTTGGAGAGTTTGAGTCCAAAAAGTTAAAGACGTTTAAACCCAACGGCGACACGTGTTACGCTAGTTATTTGTAAATATGAATACGTGTAAAGTTTTTTTCGAGACGTGCACGTGCTGCATGCTTTGTGCTGCGAATCGTGGATCGTGTGCTGCCGGAAGGTTATTTACGCGTTGTGCGTGTGGTTGCGACACTGCGTTGCGATGAGCAAGCGGTCGTTACGTTTTTGGAACTGTTGCATGCATGGACCGGTTCGTGTTGCAAGTCTCTATCCCTCAAATACCCCAAAATTTCGACATTTCTAACCACCTTTACCCATGTTTGTAGCACTTCACCCCACCTAACAGGTATCCAAGACTCAAAGTCCACAATCCTGTTTCCTACACATGTGCAAATATTTGTTAGCGAAAATGATGTAATTATTTGGCAATCTTTATCGTGAAATATGGGTTTGTACACATGGTTTAGCGGCTTAGGGAGCTACCAGAAAACATCTGTGATTATTGGAAGCTGTGCGGTGTTTTGTGGTACTGGTTATTGTGTTTATAAATTGTATTCCCGCAGACGGAAGGTCGAACTTTTCGACGAAAGCCCCAACAATGGGCAAGAACCCAAACCTGCTGTCCAGAAACGGGTTCTGGTGTTAGGTTTACAAGGTTGTGGGAAAACAACTTTTCTGACAGCTCTAGCAAACCTCGGCTCAGGCGCGGGAGGCAATGAAACAAAACCAACAGAAGGTTTTAATGTTATGTGCGTGACCACGAATGGAGTTCACTTGAATATTTGGGAAAGTACGTACCTTCGAGTTTAAATTGCGAAATTTCAATTGAAATATTGTATCATTTGCGTAAAAACAATTTGAGAATAAAAAGAGACTTTTCAGACAGTTCTTTCCTGTAAAATATAAAAATCATTCAGACTTTTTTATTGCATGTTTGCACTGTCATTTAAATAAGAAATGACTGATATTTATTTATTCATATTCAATAAAATCCATAACTGATTTCATGGCTTGCATATACCTGTTTTGAAAGTCATCAGTCCACATGTGTTTGCAAACTTCAACTTGACTACCCATAGTTCTGTAAATTTTCTTCCATAGTTGGTGGTGGTGAAAAAGTTCAAAACTACTGGTCAAAGTTTACTGCAGATACAGACTTGCTTATATACATGGTTGACTCCTGTGACACCCAGCACTTTGCAGAAGCAAAGGACAAATTGAACGAACTTTTAAAAGACCCATGCTTGCAAAATGTCCCATTAATAATCCTAGCGAGCAAACAAGACAAAACTGGGGCTCGATCGGTCAGCGTACTGCGTAACATTCTCGATGTAGACAGCCTTTTAAATGATCGATCTGTGGAGTGCTTTGGAATTCAGATATCACCGCTAGGACCTGAACTTCAAGGAATTGAAATTGTACAAAATTCCATTTTGAAATTTTGCATGGAGGCAGATTGAACAATTTAAAAAACTGCCCAACTCAACCAATTTTAGAAATCTTATAATTTTATTTATGTATAAATGTGCATGCTGCTTTATTTCTAGTAAGACTGCATTTAAAAACTATCAAATAAAATGTATATATTTATAAAAACCAGTGGACTGAATATATTTTTGCATATTCTACTTGTATTGGTCCAGGTCTAATCGCTGGTTCTAATTAAATCAACCCCCGATTTGACGAGATTCGGATTAAGGATTAACTTTAACTTCTCAAAATTCAAAATGGCCGGCGTCAGACGAAAACAAACACAGAAGAAAAAGCGAATGAATTCTACCTTAACTGGTCGAAAAAGAAAAAGCAAAAACAAAAAAAAAGTGAATATCGATAGGTATCATCAAAACTAAGATTGTCTTCCTGAAATCACCGTCTCTCAAGACCAGACTCCAAAGTGGTGGATAAATTTGTTTTTTATTTTGCCGTTTTAGCAAAGCCATTCGTAAGACTTGGGACAAATCCAAGACCCTAAAACAGAACTTTAAAGATCTAGGCTTGGCTTACAATGTTAACAATAACATGCCGGTCAAAAATAAGGTACATCATGATAAGTTGATAACTTAAATATGAAGTGATACCTATTGGTCTCATCCAGCCAATCTAACGCACGTGTTTCACACAGTACATTGTTTGAGGTTCTTTAATCTCTTTGAAAGTTGCATTTCTTCAAAGAAGTTATCAAAAATTACAGGGAGATGGAGGCCATTTAAACAGTGAGGCAATGGACATTGATAAACCTAGAAGCTCTGTTGTAAAAGGTACTAAATACAATATATATGAAAATGATAATAGTTGCAGAGAATATTAAGCCCTGTTTACACTTACAATTTATTGTTGCGATTTTATGTGTGATTTCCTTCTTTTGACAGATGTGAACAAGTGAATTAGTTAATTGCTTGTCCTGTAGTCTTTGCTTGTCCTGAGACTTCAATTTTCAAAATGATTTTTGACATTAATTAAAGGTACCCTTTGGTAATCTGAACAGTTGACTTTGAGTTGAATCATTTGTAGAACTTGAAGAGGAAGCATCACATGGTATTAAAAAAGAAAAGCACATTTCTCCTGGCGAGACAAAGTTTTTATGGGAACTGATTCAGGACTATGGTGATAACTATGAGGTACGTCAGCCAAGACAGTTCCCCCTCCTTAGTTTTCAAAGAATCCCCCTCCTGATTAAACATGTACACAGTAACCTTGTTAGCCTGACATGCCAGTTAATCAGGTTTTATTCTCTTACAGGCGATGAGACGTGACAAAAGAAACTACTACCAACACACTGCAAAACAACTGAGACGGAAATGTACAAAATTTCTTAATTCCACACAAGACTTTAGTAAATACATCGACAGTCAAGAATAGACTTCATCTGTACACTTTGTATCAAAATGTTAAATAAAAAATCCACAGATCTAGCATCTTGTTTCATGTTGTTTGGTGAATTATTACCTCATCATCTCTGACTTGAGTTAAGCTATCAACTTCAGTTCCTTCCCTCTGAGGGAAGACTGTTAAGATAACCTACCATACAATCTGTGCCTTCTTGGCCTGGTCATTTTAAGCCAAAAAAGCCCTTTTTCATGATCAAAAGAAGTTCTCTTTTCCTCGTCACTTCAACCTTTTTCTCTCCAAGATGTGATCCATGTGCCTCTCCTACTGAGTGATGGTGTTTGGTAAGATGGTGACCAACCACAACTCTGCGGCCAAGATTAATGTAAAAAATTCCCTAAAACCATCAGGCTATGGTAGCACCACGAGTGATGGGTCGCGCCAGCATCTTGATTCTTTCAGTTGGAGCACTTTTAAGAGCAGGTCTAGAAACCGGCCTGCCGGGGTCCAAAGGTGCCCTATACCCGCTTGCGGGTTGTTTCGCCTGAGCCAGTTCTAATATCCTTTGCCTTGGAACGGCTTTGATAGCAGCTCTTGACACAGCCCACTCTGGATCGCGCATTTCTGCGTCTTTTTTCGACTTCGGCCGAGCAAGCTGTTCCACTCTTGGAGATGCCCTGGCTTTTCTCGCATTTGCACTCACCGGGGTGGGCAGAGGTTTTGGACCTTCGTATTGGTTGTGTGCTTTCTTTGATCGTGCCAAGTCGTTCGTCCTCGGCCTTTCTTCGGCCTTCCTCGCCGCCTCGCTAACTTCCCATATCGGAGATGTCCTGCCGATTCCATCCATCCGTCTAATTAACGTAAAGACAAGGTCAGAAAACCTAGGGGAGGGGGGGACTTCGAAATAGGTGGGGAGTCCCCAACTGAAGATGCCAGTCTGCCTATCATATTATCCCCTCAGTTTTAGAAAAATTAGAACTGACTTGGTGTGAACGAAAAGTAAAGTGGCGGTCTTGGGGGAGTTCTTTCTCACTCTCTCTCCCCCAGCCTCTAGGCATTATAAAGGAGTATATATATTTGAAGCAGTGGCCCAACTGCTAAGGGCTCAATCCGGTCAAAGCCAGAGGCCTGAGAGGAGTACTATAGGGGACAATCAGTTAAAATCCATTGAGATTTTTGATAGAACGTACAAGAAAGCCTGTAATGTTCTTTGGTTGGAAGCCCTATTCAAGGTTTTCGCGATAGATTATTAGTAAGGAAAAAAGTACAGCAAGTATTATTAAAGGTAAATATAACACAGGCGGGACAACAAATAAACCGAAGATGCGAGCCTAAAGGCTGGTTTTCAGTCAGGAAAATTATCCTCCGAACCGGATCAAAAGGTATCGTGGTTTCTTTTGTGCTTAAGAGTTAAGACGATTAGTTTTGGTTCAGAACACACGAATGAATGAAAATTTTCTCCCCGACACGTTCTAGAGGATAATTTTTTAAACTTGAAACCATGCAGCCTTTAGTTTTTCCGCGATATACTTACTTTTGTTCTACGAAACCTTCTGGGTTCGCTTTCGGTTTTGAAAGTTCTGTGACACGTTTTGAAGCTGTGGCATTCATTGCTGCCGGACTTACTTCCCATATGCCCGACTCAAGGTCCATGACATACATAGGCCTGAAGATAATACAGTAGCTATAACAACATCGACACGCAGGTGTGTCAAGTAGAGGTGGAGTACGACAAACTGACAGAAACAGTGTTTTTGTTCAAGTTATATAACGTATATTGCGAAACAGCCCACCTGCATGTACTTGACGCGTTAATTACATACAGCACGAGCCTACAGTTAGCACTTCAAATCAAACAAACCCAACAGTTATCCTTCATGTTTAACTAAGATGTCTTGATTCAGGGTGTATATATATCATTCGAAGACGTTGGTAAAAAAATAATTGCCGCTATAAATAGGTCGAAATAATCGGTCGAGTAATGTCCACACGTTTTGCTTGACAAGTTAAATATCCTATCCTCCGACAACAGTCAATTTCCCACACAAAACGCATCGAGGTTGACAGGTCATTCATTTGAAATGAATACGAATTACTCGACTACTCGTATTGAAAGAACATTAAGCTTCAACTGAAAATCGTTTAAGCCATTCTTAGACATATAAATGTTTGCCTACGTAAGAATACATAGACAAAGAGTGAGTCAGATAACTCGCAACAGGGAATCTACTCGTTTCAAAAAGCAATTTTCTGACTTGAATTGGGCATTACAATATAGGACTCATCATCCCTTTCGGGCTCAGGGTTGAGGGTTTACAGTTTTGGAAAAACAATCTTTATTGAATCAGCTGTATACCTTGGTGCGTTTTCTGCAGATTGGTGATTCTTCTTTGGTTCTGCTAATGCTGTAGTCCTTGCTGAGGGCTCCGCTCTCAAAGCCGAAGGATTTACAGGCCATAAGCTGTCTTGACCACCCCAGTTCACAGGTCTATATAAAGCCAGATAACACAATTAAAATGAAGTATAGGACAAGCTGGTAAATATCGATGTAACAGCATTCTAAGTGTTTTTCCACAAATATTTTTCGTCCACTTTGATCAAGGCCGCTGCGGAAGCAAAATGCGCCACTTTTAAAAAAGAAAAGCTTTTCTTTCACACAACTTCATTGTCGCAAAAAAACAACTATTTTTTCATACCTAGTTCTTATTCTCTTTAGAATTAATACGAGTTAGCAATGAAGCCTCAAAAACTCTCACTTTTTCGTTGCTATAGAGTGTCCACCTACGCGCAATAACACTGGCAAGCAAACTACAAACTCGAAACAATGTTTTGAAAACTTGTTTTAGTACCTAACCACAGTCTAAGTAATGCGGTTAGCATTGATTGCGTCTTCAAATATTATTCAGACTTACGGCCTACGATGCATATATAGGAAACGATGAAAGTCATGACACATGCATGCAGGCATTGAGGGAGACTATGCAATCGAGACTATGCAAACGCGAGTTGAACGTTTTCAATATGAAATAGAAGAGATAATGGTAAAGTCATTGCGTCTTCAAACTTTTATTAAAACTTTGGGCTAATTGGAATGCATGGTAAGGGGCGAACAGGTATCCGATGCTATCCTTTTTAAAAGAGTATATGCATCCGAGAAAAACGTATTCAGTGGCAAAGAAAATGGTAAAGCTTTTCACATCAAAGAGTGGCTATTTTTAAGCTGACAAATTGGCAATCCAGTCTGGAATTGAACCAGCCTTGAACGACGTGGAAAGAGTGTGATAAGGAGGGAGAACTCTTTGTTGAAATGCTGCAGAGAATCGACTTGTAGAAACGTGACTCAAAAAAAGTGTTTCTTCTGCGATAACAGATAAAGCAAAACCATGCATCTGCATGCTATGTTGTTTGGAGGACATTTATTTATGTAAAAGCGACTAGAAAGACAACGATAAGACGCCAGATGAATTCATTTTTCTCGCTTGCCGAGCGAAGTCTTTTTGATGAGGATACAATTACGTCAAATAGTCGGGAAAGGTCCAGCAAGGAACACTTCATAACTTTTTATTTTGACAACTTCATTGGAAAGCGAACCGAAGCGGCAATACCGAGACCAATACCGGTTTGAAATAACTCGTCCGGCAAGAGGAAGATATGGATTCAATGATTTGAGTTATACGCGACAGATTTGAGTTATATTTGAGTTATACAGGAATTCAAGCAAAGTAAGTAGGAATCGTTAATGTTGAAAGATGAGTGCATTGTTTGATGACGACAGAGATGAAGTGAAAGTCTGTCTTTCAGTTAAAAGAAGAGCTGAAGATGGAGAGCACCCTGGCTACATTGTCCTTGTGATAGAAGAGAAAGGATTCATATAATAGGTATATATTCGTCCCACGCAGAAGCGGGAAGATGTTCCAGCACTAAATGGAATAAATAACAAATGATGTGGTCTTCGCCCACACTAATTCGCAAAAACAAGGCGCAAGTGGATATAAGGTAAGTTCAAATCCGTTAAACCAAGGATCGTCGTTGACACTTTAGTACTTCCCTAAAGTTTATCCTCGAATTTTGTTCCAATAGAGTACTAATTTTAACGTGAATTTGAATACATTTTGTCATGAAAAACACAAGTTCGCGCCGACAAGGTCAAAATGTTATGTAAATGTGGTTTACACGAAAAACAATTAATTGATGTTGTAACGCCTACACACACGTCCTTAGCATTTGGTAATATAAAATTATACTATGAGAATGGACATTAATATCTAGAGACTGGCCCGTTTATGAATGAAAACGAATATAATATTGAAGAACAATTTCAACAGTCAAGGGTCTTGCTGTTCATAAATAAAATTCCCAAGGACGAACCTTCATTAACCTGATTTCACGCACGTACGTGATGCGATCAAGAATAATAAGATCAGAATTCTGTCTCTGTATCACGAAAAAACGTCCAATTTATTACATTCGTAATTTGCCTAATTTTTTTATTTGGATATGATTGGATGCAGTTATTGTGGTTGCATGGCAGCCGTTGGAAAAGCATTAATTATTTAGGCTGTTGTTAAATAAATAAAATTAACAACGTGGTTCTATTTATATCATCAATATCGTAGCTGTCTCCTGCAGAGATCTCATGAATTTCTCAGCCGAAGATATTTGTCATTTCCTCGTTTTCATTCACGTCATAGCTCAACCAATGTAACAGTTTGCCAACAACGAAGAACTATTATGTTTTATTTCTATTTCCGACAGGTATAAAGGTCCTAAACTGGATGTAAAAACTAAAAAGCTATGTAAATAGAGCCTTCTTGAAGGTTCTGCGAATGATTAACAGGTAGAACAAGATATTCATTCAAACAGTTTCAAAAGATGGCAGCGAGCTTTCACACCAGAAAACCAGGCAGTCGACTTAATGCTTGGAAGCAGTTTAGCTGGTATTTTAGCGCGCATGCGTGTGTTCATAAAGGACTCACAATTAGGACTTTGAAAATGTTAAGAAATGTATTTCAATATGAATGAATATTCAAAAAATCATTGATGCTTTACCATGATCGGGAAATTAAGTGTGTTTTTCTTGCGAGGAAGAGATTATACTGATTATCACAAACATATATCCCACAGGGTATATATAGAGCCATAACACGGTCACATCCTGGTTTCCAACAAATAATTTAAACGCAAGAGAGGCATTATTATGAGAAGGGCAATTGTTCAGGCAATCGTTATATATTTTTATATATCAACGATGTTATATATTAAATACTGATTATCATTAAGACTATTATGCCATAACGAATAAGTGATTTAATAATATATATATATTCTTTCTTCATATAATTACATAATGTATTTTTAGATCAATCAAACTTTATAATTCGTTTATTTGTCAACTGTGCTAATTCAAAAATATTTTGCTGTTCGTTTGCGACTTTCACTGAACCACAGAATTCTACCGAATCAAAGGGGAAAGCCAGCAATGTCCTTTCACCGCATAACCCACAGTCATACAGGACGTCGATTTGCTCAATCTTGGAGTATTTTGAAGGACTCCCTCAAAATAGCGCGTATTCGGTATTTCGTTGTACAATGTACAGCAACGGTAATACGGATGGACAAAATTCAAAAATATATAGTCATTATTGTACTTTTGAAAAGCTATTCGTGTTTAGCTTTTTGAAAAAAGTAATATCAACTTCATCCAGCAAGTAGGATGCTTGATTACTTGAACGTTTGGTTGGGTGAAACAAATGGTATATTCTTTCTTTGAAAGTTTACGAGAACAAAACATATGCCCAGTAGCTATAGGCTGAATAATGTTCCTATGAAACATGTCTTTAGTACGCATGACCATGTCGCTGAAGGCGATAGCATGCCAAGCACCAGGACGCCATTAATGAGCCGGTCCCAGGCTACTCTGGGAAGCTGTGGAAAAAATGGCCACATAGAGTATGAGCCGGGTTGTTTGGTTGCCACGGCGACAGCATGACGAATTAAAATTCATACTCATGTCCTGGAAAGCTACAAAACATGGAAATATTCGACCCAGTGCCTTCAGCAGGCTTCCGCGGCAAAATTCTCAAGTATATATCTCCCAGCGCAGAAACGCTCAAAACTAGCCGTTATAATTGCTTAAATTCGGCTTAAGTTGTGAAAAACAACAAGCTATTAATGTGAAATACATGCAGATACAACAGTATACAAAGATATTAGATCTTTTCATCGTTAACACTTGCTGGCCGGGCATTATTTTGAAATAGATTTTGTTATTTTTGCCTTCATGACCGAACTGAGCATTGAACTATAAGCGCGCGAAATTAGGCATTTTTTCCAGCGATGCTTTCAAAGTTTGACTAGAATTATCATCGGAATTCGTCTATAGTTGCTGTATAATTTAAAGAAGCTTACCTGAATGTTGTCATTTCTACGCTTCTCGATTGTTTGGGCTGAGCTAGTCTATTGATACGAGGTCTGGAAAAAACGAAAGAGTAAAAATTTGAATATGTATTAAAGCACTCTGAGAAGATATAACATATATTCAGGGCTTCTTGAGTACGAAGGTTTTTGGCGAAGAGCCACTGAGCCAGTCAGCCACAGGAGATGTGCAGGCAACATCTCGAAGCAAAAACCGCGACTGAATCAGACAACGGATACGAAAGCATTAGATGACGTTCTAGAGAATATGTACCTGTAGCAGCCCCCTGGTGTTCTTATTTGATAACAGAGATTAAATGATTGACCCGCACGTACTCAGGAACACCACCATCGGATTGTACGTGATTATAGTTTTGTAAATCAAATGTGTATCGCGAAATGAAATCTCCATTGCCATAGAATGCAATGTTGATGATGTTTAAGTCACGTACGATGGACATTAAGTTTATACATAATACATTTGTTATCCACTATTCCCCTCATCAAAACTAGGTTGCTAAGGGCCCTTTACTGTCAAGCAATGTGATTGGACGAAATTACTCGCACCGAGCTTGCGAGTTAGTTTTTGCGATGAATGAATGAGAGCCTTAATTCACTCATCTTTCTCCTATATTGGCACGACTACCCCTTGGGCTCTGGTCATGACGCAACTGATTTACAAAGCTCCGAGAAATGTTGGTCTCCGATGGTGATCACAGCCGTAGGCTAGTGAATTGTGTGAAGAATGTCTATATTTGACTGTCGTGCAACTCTCGTTCCCGTTCGGGAAACAAGAACCCGGCAAACTCGTATCCTTTCAACCTCCTTTCAAAATCTCAACTCAGGATCGTTCAACACTTGAGGTTTCTTCTCACGAGAACGGAAGCCTAGCACCGCGTTGCTGTGACACGAGTGACGAGTTGAATGACATAGGCTCATAGCGTAATGAGAGGACATGCAGAAGCTAAATATTCTCAATAACTGGTTTCAATCCATTAGCGAATTCCAGAAATGCTCAAAATTTTTCCCGCTTTAGCTAGTCTACAAGTATTGGACATAATATACTTACAATCCTCTTTCGCGAGTGGCGTTGTCCAGGTTTGGCAGCGGATGATTGACCTTGTGGACACGAACCGCTGCAATAAAACATCAAAATAACAGTGAATATTATCACTAATCACTTTAACCATAACAACGAACTATCCTGTGGTTATAAACACGATCGGTCGAACAGAATACTGGATGTATATTTATCCATGGTCTGCTAACGACAGGGTGGTTCTTACGTTTGAAAGCGGTCTGGAAACCGTAGCCATTCGCCAGAGATAGCATTTCGTGTGGCAATCTATTTGAGTATTTTCATTTTTGAGTGCGCTAGAGGGAACACATGCCCCGCATTTGACATTGAGTTGTTGATTATTTCGACGAGCTTTCCCAACCTACGTTCCTGATTGGTCGGCCACTTGGCAACCGCGTCAGCGTTTCTAAGGTAACCAGACTTAGGTACTTTGCATGCTCTTGCATTTTGACCCATGACATTTTTTATAGAAATGTATACGCTTATATATCGCAAATGTAATGTTAAGAACACTTTAAGAGACCTAGTAAGCTATCTCTACGTTTGTCTGCACGATACATCAAAACAGTCGAATGGACAGTAATTTGTTACCAACGGAATCGAAACGAGAAGGCGCTGAAATTTTGTTGCAATAATCGCTGACACAGTGTCACATTATGTAATTTCGCGTTGGATTTTCTGAGTGAACCGATGATCTTCCTATGAACCTTTGACCTCGTTAAAAGCTCATGCCTAAAATATTTGGAGCCCCTTCCTCAAAAATAGCTATCATGCTTGCCAAATTAAAATTGAAATATCAACCTGTCGGTAAAGAGTTAAAATTGAGACCTATCATCTTTCTTCTTTAAAACAAATTATGCAAATGCTTTTGTGAGCATTAAGCAAACAAGTAAAGCCAAAGCATTGAGACATTTATTGATTTGAATCACTTTAATTATATTGTCTTAAGTTAGCAATGTTTAGAAAATTTATCTTTCAGAAAATTGACGCAGTTTCACAAGTTCTGCAACTCAAACGTACGAGTGTACATTCGCTAGCAACGTTTACAGCCGAAGAGAAACGCCGGAGTACCCGGAGAAAAGCCTGGAAACTACCAATTTAAACATATTACGACAGAATACCAATGTGTTACCTAATCTGACATCTTTACCACCCGTGCATGATTACCACGTAAGCGACCAGCTAACACAGTTCTGAGTTATCTTGATCTATCGGAGCAGTAAATCTCCACCGTATCTTAAAGATCTTCTATCTTTTCTATTAGGATCTTCCATATATTGCTTATACACTCTTTATCAAAAACTCGTGCAAATGAACACGCACACCGCGCATGAGGCTGACAGTCTTCTGCCAGGAAATTCGAATACGTTTCTCTATTGTCATGCATATATAATTTATGAAAATCCGGATTAATGCACCAGGGTTATCGAAAACCCATGACGGTTGACGTAGAAGAAGGCCTTGTTTATTCAAGTTCGTCTTTTACTTTTAAACTTTTCGAGGGAGGTAAACTAGAGAAGATTTGTGAAGTCGGTAAACTTGTCTTTGTTTATGAAAAATTTACCGGGCGTATACTATAAACTGTTGCCTTGCACCCGATTTTTACGGGCGTCTGAATCTATGGAATGTATAAAAATATGTTCATAATAATTCAAGTTTTTTTTTCTCAGAAAAAAAGGGAAATTCTCTCGTGAACAGAGGCAGCCAATTTTGGTTGAACAGGAACCCATTTTTTGAGGAAGAAGTCTGTTAGACGAGTATTCCAAATGAGAAAGTTCATAGAGTATGTTTGATTGTTTGAGTCTTAACAATTAAACCTATCCTACGCTTCACGTTAGGTGAAAATGTCTTCGCCACATTAGGGTGTTCATATTGCCTCAACTGTCACCGGAGTATTTGATGGGGTTTTTTTGAAAAATATAATCTCTGTCTTGAGATAAAACATTTGGATAGCACGTCTGGCATTTCAGAAACAAGCATGGCGCTTGGAATTCCCCGAAAAACTCTATCCAAACATCTCCCTGTGTTTTCCCACCTATATTTTTGTCTTCCCTATAAGTATTTCCAGAACAAATAAACGAAATAGCTATGGTACGGCATTTGAAGCGTGACGTTCATTTGACTGATAATAATTAATCACTTGCCCACTTAACTGTCTACCTTCAAGAACCACTTAAGGTGGCGACATCAATATTTTAATTTGTCCAAACATGCCGAAATTGGGCAGTTAACCAACCAGGAAAAATCACGTTATTTTACGACCGGTATTCATCGGATTCAAAAAGTGAACTTTGCAAATTATTATTTCATTGCTTTTTTTTCTTCTATATTTCTACTCATGCGCGCCGAACTAAAAGCAAACTCGACTAATGATTCCTGGAATTAACAAAGGTGTATTTTTTTATCGATATCAAGCGTCTTCAACCACGGTTAACTGCAAGTGCTTCAGCTAACCTCGCATTGTCTCTAAATGAATTATCTCATTATCTCATTATCTAACTATAGAAATCTAACTATATCATTGTATAAAGCACGTTCAACTTACGCCTTTTCGCGGGTTTTTTTCTCTCTTCTTCTTCGATATCCGAAGCGAGTTCTGGTGAGACGGCCTTTCCGTCTGCCGGTTCTCTTCTAGCTTGCTTCGCCTTGGGAAGACGTGTTCGGCGAGCTAGAAAAAGAATCACAACGTTATAGCATTGAGCAAAACTTCGTCAACTGCTTCTTCTGAAATAGGTGTTAAAAAACGGACCGGGGCTATCTCCAGATTTAGTATATAAGCGATACAAGCCATATCCGGCGATATTCAGTGACGCAATGCGTGGTTGTCGATAGAAAACAGAACCAAAAATTCATATTCAAAAATTTATCTCCGCGACGAAATTCACCCACTGACATCGAATAGAATTAAGTAGATTACTGATGACATTATGTACAAAATTAAAAGTCATAGCAGGATATTCCTCAGTATAGTTTAGAATAAGTCAAAATTCTAAAACTAAATTGAAGCATTTACCACTCCGTGCTGTTCCGGGTTTCAATGAGGACCCAGTGTAAAATGTTCTGGACGCCATCGATAATGATTTGTTCAATGTGTTAAAAAACTCGCTCCACGGCAGGGATGCTATTGCTAAACCGGTCGTTCAGACGAGTTGATTGAATTCTACCGCTAACGAATCGTAAAAGCTTGTCAAATTTGCTTTGCATGATTGCTGGTTGTTTTATCAAACACAAACTGTTGCTATGCTCTTCAGGAAAACAAAAACATCAAACTGCAGGTGAAGTGTAAATAATTAATTGAAATAATCCTTCATATAACTGTCCTGACGAATGCCCAAAAAGATCGAAACGTCGAGAGCTATTTTGTCCATTTTGGGCCCGCGAGTTGTTATCCTACATTTGATACGAACTGAATACTTCGGTGGGTGATATTTAGCTTTATGTGAAGAATGCTGTAAAAATTCTGCCATCAAATACCTGGAGGAGGTTCTTCGTATTTGCCGTACGCTCGGTATTTTTGCCCTTCTTTGTTCGCAATTCGTGGTAGCTTCACACCACCTCGTGAATTCTTCCTTTCCAGCTCGGCTAAAAGATAGTTGAAAACGTGTTGAACAGCTATTACTGCATACTGCGTATCCGACTTTGTATTAGATTTAAAGTCATTCACAAAATATGAAAAACGAAAACTCATTTTCATGGCTAGAAAGTACAAGAGATGTTTCGACTCACACAACAGTAACATTGATAGATTTCTTAAACCCATTTATCGTCCTGCACAAAACATTGTTTAACTACTGACTTTGCCAAAAAGGACAATCGTTGCCAATTTGTCAAACTTACCTTCAGATTCATTCGCTGAACTAAGTTGATCACTGCCGGCCACGCTGTTCCTCCTCGATGATCTCCGAGATCCTGGCGCGCTTGGATAATCTTCATAATCATCCTCCGACGCATATGACGTCACGCTACCACGCCTCGACCTTGCCTTCGAATTTGACCTTGAATGTGACACGGAATTTGATCTCGAGCGGGAGACCTTCATCCCTCGGGCGACGCCAGCATCGAAAGCCATCTGGTAGATATTCTCCATCATCTTCTTCTGTTGACGCGAGTACACACTCGCGACGCTGCTCACGCTTGCAAAGCTTTCGTTTCTCCGCAACGCGGGTCTCGTGTTCGAGCGAGGGCCTACACCTCTACCTCGCGCGGTCCCCCACGCTTGCTTGCGGCCGCCCCTAGATCCCGCCCCCGCCCTGGAGACGCTACTACCCCGAGATACAGAGCGCTTTGGCACGGGTCGATCTTTTCTCCTTGGCACTCGTTTTCTTTTAAGGGTCTCCTCATTTTGCGTGTTCTTTCTCGAAAGCGGTTCCCGTCGTCCTCTCGCTTGGTTTTTCGGCACGGCTTCGGAGTTTGGTCGGGATTTTCGATTGCCTGCAGGCTTTCGAGTCGAATCCCGACTATTTTGACGGGATAATTTACCCCTCGTGTTCTTACGATTTCCTGGCCCCTCCGGCTCATCTTCGGTCCATGCCTTTCTGCTTGGTCCGCGTCGCGATGAGATGCTGTATCCTCCGTCACTGTGCTTACTCCATCGCGAATTGTTCCGATTTGAAACTGTCGAGCCATTACGAGAGGTCACCGTCGAGCGATTTCGTGTTTCGCGACCACTAGGATCGGCATACGAGTTCCGCCGACTAACGACGAAAGAGCTCTCAGACGGTGCTCGACTTGTCGTATTACGGGAGTTACGCGTGCTAACATTAGTCCGGGGGGTTGGGATACTACTAACACGACTGTTTATACTGCTGGAGTAGTGAGTGTTACGGCTTGAAGCCTTCGACTGCCCAGGACCTTTGGCTGTACTCCAATCGGTCTCGGTCGTCGTGTCATCGTCATCGTCGCCACCAAATATGGTGGTATCATCATCGTCGTCATCGTAAACACTTGTCGACTCATCTTCGGTAGCACTTCGTCCGGTAATGCTGCTTCTTCGGCTGGTTCGGCTACGGTTTCTTGTCTGCCTTGGACTTTCGTCTTCCGTAGCCTGAGGAATTTTTATCGGTGTACGGGACTTTGATCTAAAACAAACATATATGGTGAAGTAAACTGTAAAACATTTGGAGGGTGAATTCAATTTATCTTTAGTTATCTAAGCCATATAATTATCGTGCCATGTTTGGGGATTCGAGCGAGCTTACCTGTTGTTGTCGTTTTCTTTCGGGTTTGAACTTTCGCCGCCTCTTCCCTTTCCTCGACTTTGTCTACCAGTCCGAGCGTAGTCAACACTTAACAAGTTTGGATTTCCTTTGCTGACTTCGCCTCTTGTTTTTCCTTTAACATTAGAATTTGCATTCTTTTCTTGTTCTGTTGGGGATTTCTGCTTCGGATTTTCTTTGGAACTCGCTTCCTTCTTGTCATCAGGCTTTCCACCACCGGAACCAGAAACATCCTTTTCTTTTCCTCCGAGATTGGAAGGCTGCTGACCCTTTGAGGGAGATTTTGCATCTTTGGGATTATTCTCTTCGCGCGGAGAAGTCTTGTTGTCGCCTTTAGGCTCTCTTCTGGGACTATTTGTAGGAGATTTCGTGGGAGATTTGGTCGAAGTGTTTTCGGTCGTGTTAGCCTTAGTTTTGTCTGATTCAAGTTGGTTGGATTTTGAGAGCTTGTTTTTGTCATCCTTTCGAGGCGAAGTGGAGGGCTTTTCTCCGGATTTAGTAGTGTTGCTTGGAGTTTCGCTGTTATCTTTTGGTTTAGAATTTGAGGGCTTATCGACATCGCTTGGTTTCGATGTAGGTTCATCCGATTTAGGCGCTACGGTTGTTGATTTCGTGCTTTTTGTTGGTGTTTCGCTGCGTTTTGTAATAGGTTGAGAATCGGCATTGACCTCTTTACTCTGGTTCGAATTCTGATCGGGTTTTTCAGGACTGTTGCTCTTATTATTCGGCATAGTATTATCGCCTTGTGTTCCCTTTTGCCCATCCTTGGCTCCTCCATTTGATGAGACTTCCTTTGCATCTTCTCTTTCCCATTCGGTTTCGGGCTGTTTTGCCCTTTCTCAGTTTGTTTTGGACTTTCCACGACCTCTCCGTCTGGTTTATTTTGCTTCTTTTCCGCTTCATTGTTAACTACCTGCTTGGAATCGTTGGGTTTTTCATCAGCCAGAGCAACACCGGCTGAGGTCGCTGTAACCAAACCAACAGCCAGTGCACTATCTCCTTTGCTTGGTTGATCTTGGCTTTTGGAGGAAGATGTATTTTCCTGAGCAGGTTTTGTGACAGATTGTTGTTCGCTTGATTTAACGTCTGAGTTCTTCCCCTCGCTTACGGCCTTTTCTTTGTTATGTTCGTCTACTGCAGAGGCTTCTTTCTCGTTAGACGAGGATGGGGATTGGCTTAATTCTTCTGGTTTAGATGGGGTTTGTGCCTTCGCCAGAGCTGTTCCTTCCTGCTTTGACGGTGGTTTATCACTTTCGTTTGGGTTTGAGAGCGGTTGGTCATTTTGGACTACATTTGAAGCCGGCAATTCTGCCGGATTGGGTGCAGATGTGTTAGTGGATGGCGAAGATTGATTTGGAGTCGAGGTGTTTTGTTTTTCGTCCGGTGAATCAGCTACTTTCGAAGGTGGTTCTGCTTCTTTCTTATCACTTGTTTTGGGCAATTCTGTCTCATTTGATGGGGAAGGAGATTTCTCGGGATTGTTTGACTGAGATGGAGTGTCATCTACTTTTGAAGGTGATTTTACTGCTTCCCTATCACTTGCTTTAGACGATTCTGTGTCATTTGATGAAGAAAGGGGCTGCTCTGTATTGTTTGGCTGTGATGGAGTGTCATCTATTTTTGAAGGTGGTTTTACTGCTTCCTTGTCACTTGCTTTGGACGATTCTGTGTCATTTGATGAAGAAAGGGGCTGCTCTGTATTCTTTGACTGAGATGGAGTGTCATCCACTTTTGAAACAGGTTTTACTTCTTCCTTATCATTTGCTTTGGTTGTGTCATTTGATGAAGAAAGGGGCTGCTCTGTATTCTTTGACTGAGATGGAGTGTCATCCACTTTTGAAACAGGTTTTACTTCTTCCTTGTCGTTTGCTTTGGACGATTCTGTGTCATTTGATGAAGAAAGGGGCTGCTCTGTATTCTTTGATTGAGACGGAGTGTAATCTACTTTTGAAACTGGTTCTACTTCTTCCTTGTCATTTGGTTTGGTTGTGTCATTTGATGGAGCAGAGGATTGCTCTGCATCACTTGACTGTGATGGTACTGGTCGAGAATCGTTCTCTTCTGACAAAGATTTCTCCTTGTTTGGCGTGACTGTTGGTTGCTGGGGACTACTTGGTTTAGTTTCTATTTCTTTGGTCTCATTTGAAATCGGTTCATCTTTCTTTTGAGTAGTTGTCGGATCGCTCGAATGTTCCTCTTTTGGTTTCGAGGGCGATGATTCGTCAGCTTTTTGCTCTGAAGGTTTATCTCCGTTTGATATGCTTTTATCATCACTCTTAGTGCCTGGTGTTTGTTCCTTTTCAGGAGGAGATATGATCTCTTTATTGACGGGATCCTCAGATTTACGGTCTTCAGCCGGCTTTATCGCATCGTTCTTGTTGTCATTTGACATGGATGTTGGCTGACTTTCACTTTTTGCTACGTTTTTGTCGTTCGCCTGAACGTCAGCTTTATCTGTTGAGTTTGTTTTGATTTCTTCCGTATTTTCTTCCGGCGAAACCTTCGAAGAGTTCTCTTTGGACTGAACGGGTGGTAGGTCGTCATCTTTGCTCGAGGAAGGTTTAGCATTCTCCTTATTTGATGTGTCGCTGTTTTTCAATGTATCTTTATTCTCTTCCCCAGGGACACTTCGTTTCTCATCTCTTGGTTTATCTCCTGGTTTCGAGTTTTCATTTGTAGGCGATGGATTTGTATTGTTTTCTGTTGACGGAGGGGAAGCTGGATCATCTTGCGGTTTCCCGCCAGCTGGAACCATTGATAGCGGTTCAATTGTTTCTATCATAGGATCGGAATTTTTTCTTTCCTTCAACTTTTCTTGATCAGAAGACGTTTTCGAACCGCTATTGTCGGCGGGTTTTGGACTAAGGTTTTCTTTCTCGTTGGAGGGAATCGGATCTTTCTTACTCGGCTTTTTTTGCGGAGTTCCGGATTGCGGACCACTTGAATCTTTCTCATTTGGCCGTTGGTTAAACTCTTCCGGTTTTGAAGAACCATCATCAGGTGATTTTGGAGAAGTACTGCTCTTATCATTGGATCTAGGGCTACGAATATTTTCATTATTTGACTTTGATGGACTAGGATCTTTACTGCTGGATTCTTCCGAGTTTTGTTGTGTCTTGGATGGATCAGATTCTTTAGAACGTGGGGTCCCGCTATCTTTTTCTGGCGGTTTTGAGGAAGTACTGCTCTTATCAGTGGGTTTGGAGCTACGGGTGTCCTCGTCATTCACCTTCGTAGGACTCGCGCTTTTGCTGCTAGATTCTTTGGCGTTTGGTTGTGACTTAGAAAGATCAGATTCCTTGGGTCTTGAACTTCCACTGTCCTTTTCCGGTGATTTTGAGGACGTACTGCTCTTATCACTAGTTCTCGAGCTACGAGTGTCCTTCTCATTTGATTTAGCAGGATTCTGATCTTTGTTGCTGGATTCTTTAGTATTTGGTTGTGTCTTTGATGGATCAGATTCCTTGCGTCTTGAAGTTCCACTGTCCTTTTCCGGTGGTTTTGAGGAGGTACTGCTCTTATCACTAGGTCTTGAGCTACGAGTGTCCTTCTCATTTGGCTTTGTGGGAGATTGTTCTTTATTGCCAGATTCTTTAGTACTTGGTTGTGTCTTAGATGGATCAGATTCTTTAGGTTTTAAAGTTCCATTGTCCTTTTCTGGTGGTTTTGAGGAGGTACTGCTCTTATCACTGGATCTTGAGCTGCGAGGGTCCTTCTCATTTGATTTAGAAGGATTTTGATTTTTGTTGCTGGATTCTTTACCGTTTGGTTGTGGCTTCGATGGATCAGAATCTTTAGGTCTTGACGTTCCACTATCTTTTTCCTGAGGTTTTGAGGACGTACTGCTCTTATCACTGAGTCTTGAGCTACGAGTGTCCTTCTCATTTGATTTAGCAGGATTTTGCTCCTTGTTGCTGGATTCTTTAGTGTTTGGTTGTGTCTTTGATGGATCAGATTCTTTAGGTTTTGAAGTTCCATTGCCCTTTTCTGGTGGTTTTGAGGAGGTACTGCTCTTATCACTGGGTCTCGAGCTACGAGTGTCCTTCTCATTTGGCTTTGTAGGAGATTGTTCTTTGTTGCTGGATTCTTTGCTGTTTGATTGTGTCTTCGATGGATCAGATTCTTTAGGTCTTGAAGTTCCACTATCTTTTTCCTGAGGTTTTGAGGAAGTACTGGTCTTATCACTGGGTCTTGAACTACGAGGATCTTTTTCATTGGATTTAGCGGGATTTTGATCTTTATTGTTTGTTTGTGTTTTGGATGGATCAGATTCTTTGGGTCTTGAAGTTCTACTGTCCTTTTCCTGTGGTTTTGAGTAAGGACTGTTTTTATCACTGGGTCTGGAGCTACGAGAATCCTTCTCATTTGACTTAGCAGGATTCTGATCTTTATTGCTGGTTTCTTTGGCGTTTGGTTGTGTCTTTGATGAATCAGATTCCTTGGGTCTTGAAGTTCCACTGTCCTTTTCTGGTGGTTTTGAGGAGGTACTGCTCTTATCACTAGGTCTTGAGCTACGAGTCTCCTTCTCATTTGACTTAGAAGGATTTTGATCTTTGCTGCTGGATTCTTTAGTTTTTGGTTGTGTTTTGGATGGATCAGATTCCTTGGGTCTTGAAGTTCCACTGTCCTTTTCTGGTGGTTTTGAAGAGGTACTGCTTTTATCATTAGGTCTTGAGCTACGAGTCTCCTTCTCATTTGACTTAGCAGGATTCTGATCTTTATTGCCAGATTCTTTAGCGTTTGGTTGTGTCTTGGATGGATCAGATTCTTTAGGTTTTGAAGTTCCACTATCCTTTTCCGGTGGCTTTGAGGAGGTACTGCTCTTATCACTAGGTCTTGAGCTACGAGGATCCTTCTCATTAGATCTAGAAGGTTCTTTGCTCGATTCTTTCACACTAGGTCTTGACTGTGACCGGTTGGACTCCCTGGGTTTTGAAGTCCCGCTGTCTTTTTCCGCCGGTTTAGAGGAGCTGTTTTTATCGTTTGGCCGGGATCTTGAAGGATCAGTCTCATTCTTTCTGGAGGACTCACGAGGTTTGTCTTCTCGTGGCTTAGCTGAAAATAAACGTTCATGTATTAACAACAATGAATATCATTAAACTACTGGCCTGCCCAAATGAATTGAACAGAACAAGTGTTTGGACACGTTACCAAAAGCTTACCGAAACTTTATATACGTTTTAAAGTACGAGATTTTAAAAAGACATTGGCAGCCAACATAAACGCCTTTACATTGATAAAGAAGAAACGTTCTCAGATTGCTTTCCTCGTTATCCTGCCTTGTGAAAATTGAAAATTTGAAAAATAAGTTTTTCCGCGTAGTTCGCTAGTTCTCTTTCTTGGCCAGGATAGGAACGTATTGCAATTATACAAGATGCATTCTGACATGCTCAGAGTGGGTCTGCGGGTGCAGGTGAGAGGTAAAACTAGCCTTGAATACCCGGAGTTGTGTTCTGGAATGTAGTATATAACTGAACAATATCTTACAGCTATCGCGGCTTTGCTTCGTCGATGTTCGTCGTGATTTGTCGCCGTCGTCGCTATCATCGTCTAGTCCCGACGTCATTGCGCTCTCCGCTTTAGACAACGTCTTACGTGACGCTTTCCTCTTTAAAATTGTTTTGTCCTTATTTAGATGCCTTTCCAACATAGCCAAATTGGCGATAGTTAGCGGGGCGACGTTGCTCTTCGACATGTCTGAGACGTCTGCTACAGGATGCACTGATTATTATAGGCCTTGCTTCCTAAAAAAAATATAAGACATTAACCTATTAAATCATCGCTGAATTTCAAAGGGTTGATTTTGGATAGCGGGGAATCCGGAGTACCGGCCGGGTGCGAACTATCAGGACAAGAAGGAAATAACAAATCAACTTACAAAAGATGGTGAGGGAACAGGGGACGGTTGTACGAATGTTTCAGGAAAGCATAAAAAATACATATTTAACAAACCGACAGAAGTCAGAAGGAAGGATAATTATAAAATTACATGAAGTTAGAGTAACATTTAATGAAGACTCGATAATTTTGAGATTTCACAATGTTTACATGTTTTTACGAAGGTCTATTTAAACATGCTCCCCAAGAGGATTATCAGTGTTTTTAAGCTTGAAAATAAGTTCTATAAAATTATTCAATCCTGCATTTCGTCGGCCGGGAGACAAAGGTTTCGGTCAAAGAATCTCACATTCTTTTGATGTTTTGATGAACTTTACGACTTTAGTAAACACTCCTATCACTTCACGTATGTACTTGATAATTATACTCAAAATTAGATTCCCTTTTTCCTGCCTAAATTCTTTCCTGTTTAGACATTTTGTCGAAATATTGTTAAGAAACATATAAACACGAGTCAGAATATGCAATACACACAGTAGTCAGGTGCAAGAATCTAGGGTCTCTTAAAGTACGCAATAAAATGAATAAATGTCACATAATATATAAGCCTATTCCACATACATTGAATTATTAAGATTACCACTAACCTTAGGAAGTTACAACCAAATATTTCTTTAGAATCTGTATTCTATGCCATGATTAATCTTCACAACACTGCAAGAAACTAAACGTTGCCAGGGTGATTGTCAGTCGGAGGTATAGGCAGTATTTAATTATTAAGGTTCTTATTTCTTGACAGAAATTAAGCGGGTGGCATTCCTGTGGTATTCAAATACGCGTAAGACATGCATTGGTGTTGTGAAGAAGATGATCAGGTGATGTTCCAGTGATAGAAAGAGATGTGTAGAGCAGTCCCTCAGATCTAAACTAAGCGAGATCTAATCTTACTGTTTTTCACATTTTCACAGAGCTAGGAAACTGATCACAGGCTCACAGACACCACAAAAGTGACGGTTGCTGATTGAAGTTCCATCTTATACCGACCTACATAATATTACACAACACAAATGCAGCTTTTTCATTCCAGAATCCGTCTATGTATTGTCATTAAAATAAAAGAAATTTAGGAACATAATCTTATAACAAAAAATATCCAAATTCGTTTACTTCAAATCAGTACAAAAACACAAAACGATTTTACCACAAACTGTTTGGACTTCATGAAATACAACTCGTAAAATTTCGCTCTGTTTTCCAATTAGCTATGTTCAATGTATCTATCAAAAAATCTAAAACGTCTACAGCCTACAGGCATAATGGTTTAAGATCTTTCTAAGATTTTTTGGGGAATTATCTAACTAAGTCGGTTTGCATATATTCTTAGAAAACTATAGCAGGAAAGCAAATCTGTCTTGAGGCTTTGTGATTATCTAAAGACATTTCATATCACACATTTAATTAAACGATCGAGACGGCTGTGCAAAGCCTGAACTAAATTCTCAAATCAAATCCCGGATTTGGGTTCAGCTGTTCAAAAGATGTGATTTAATAGTCTAGATGTTCTTCAAAAGATGTTGTTATAACCTTTTTCAACTCAAAAGATTCAAATCAAATGCTTAAATTATTTTCTTAAAATGTTTATTAAGTTGCTCAATGTATACTTTCCAGGAAATTACTAAATTAGATTTCTAAAGTTCAAGGCGAAATGATCATGCAGAGATGCAAATGCAATAAGCATTATCTTCAGTCGCCGGCTTTGAATTTAACTATAGCCCCAGCTGGTTTTGTTTATATATTTTCCACGTGCATCGCTAATCTGTTTTTATACCTGATAAATCAATATCTGACTTTTAGACTTTCAACAAGTCCAGATTACGCCATGCATATAGACTGTTGACCAACACCCGCAAAAATAAGAGATACATTTCTCTCTGATTGATGCACGATAGCATGCTACATCTTACTGTTTTATGAAGAGAGGGCCGAGCAGGTTCAAAGCTTTGCAAGGAAATTACAATGCAGTTTTATATTGCACTGCAATACATACAAAACTATGAATATGGATAGACGATGAAATCTTTTTGCGACTATATATCTGCGACCTTAACGCAAGCCGTTGAATTGCAAATCCCAGCATATAAAATTGCAAAAAAGGAAATTTAAGATGGTCTTCCTACATTTGGAATGCAATCTCTAAATATACTTTGATTGCTTCAAAATAAGAAAAGAACAGCGCAGTATAGCATCTTTGAATAACTTCTCAATGAAACGTTGTTTAGTATCTGCCTCTGTATCTCTTGGTTAGCCAAAGACAAAGACAATTATTTCCAAGTTTAGACTGCCTTTAAAGTTTCTTTCTGAATTCTTTATTTTTAAAGAAGCATGCTTGTTTTCTTTAAAAGACATCCCCAGACGAACAGAAAGTAGTTTTATATATTAAGAAGTTTTGCTTGGACAAATAGAAGAACCTTTAAAGGTTGGAAAAGAGAAAATAACAGGCAGAATTCTGAAAGGAAACCAATGCTAAAGATGCAAATGTAAGCTCCTTAAGCAATATAGAAGAGCATTTGTGGGGAAAACCAAGATCACACGCATTCCTCAAAGAGAATTCTTCAGGTTAAAGGAGTCCTTGTTTGTTGCTAAGAGTTAAGCTTTACCAAAATCACATCGGAAAATTTTGTGACACATTCTGGTATAACCAAACTATAGGTACACTATTGTACGTACAAATGTACAACTCTGTAGTCTAATATAACAATATCAATGTTTATAGTTATTGACGGGTCAAGATCCACGCGGTTTCCTGGCAACAGGAAAAACCGGTTACCCGAGAAACTAGTGTATACACGTCCGAAGGGGGGAGGGAGAGAGAAGGAAAGCAATAAAATATATACGAGATAACTCGCAACTAAGTTGTAGCGAACTCTATATAAAAATGGTCTAACGAATACAATTGCTTTAGCTTCAGAGACATAAATGGATCCAATCTTAATGAAACGTAAACTGACGTATAAAGCATGATTAGTTCCGCTAGCTGAAAAAATCCAGCCGCATGCACACGCTACGATAGTCACCGACCTCAGTGCATGGTATCGATATACAAGGGAGCCCACAGACCATTCCACTGACCGACCTTTCGCCTTAACATGCATCGAGATCTAAATCGGCTAAAAACTAAGTCGAAAAACACACTTTGTGCTTCCCGGCTCAGCTATATTGATAATTGGCATAGGAATTAACTTAGATCTTCGCTGTGTTGATAAAGTGCACCGAAATATTGCCACGGGCAAAAGGATGGATGAAAACCTATAAATACATCATTTATTTCGAATACAATAGAAAAAATTGAAGATATTTGAATATTTTTAAGGTGGGGTAAAAGCCTAACCCTTCTCATAATATAGCGTGACAAGTACCCTCAGAATGGAAGATAAAATCCAATTCTTCTTAAGGTATAACGGATATTGGACTGCGCTTAGCATATCAGTTTGTTCCAAAGCTTGAATCACGAAACAAAAGACGACCTCGGCAAAGCTCGTTGTCGTTTTTTACTTTGTATTTGGCCGAACAGTTCGGGTGAAAACAGTCGATTGCTTAGGTAAGTAATCTCAGATAAATAATAATTTGTAGAACGCTTATAATCGTTGATGGCAACACGACTGGTATTTTAAAAAAAGAAAATTATGGCCAACTTGCCCAAGTATTGATTTTTTTACCTTACACACGGTGAGGTCCGATCGAGTCACGAAGATCGTATTTTGTGAACTTTTTGGTCAAGGACATGAATAATGGTGAGAAGTTGAGAAGGGTTAAGTTTTGCAAAACGTCGGTTTTTTAAAAGCATACAGTGAGAATCGACTCTTTATCTAATCATAAAACGTGTATAAGAGTCATTGAACGTCGGCTTGATTTCACAACGAAACGCACATCCTCCTAAATGCACTGCAGACAGATTGTAATGTATATAAATAGATATGTAAACGCGGCCTTCATCGCACCTTCATTTTGAATGCATGCGTAATCAATCACACCAAAGTCGTTGATTTTTTGCAGAGAGTCTAAATAGTCTAGACACGCGTACGTTTAAAGGTATATGCTTATCTTTGTGTGTGCTTATGTGTTTTTTATGCAATCTCTTTTCGCCATCTACGCGTGCTTATAATTAGAGCCACTATAAATTATACATACTTTGAAGACCTAAGCTGACGCAGGAGACTGGCGAGTGTTCGTACGGTTTTTGGGCTCGGAATAAAAAACTTTCATCGACTTAAAAGCTGACTCGGATAATTGCAAGTGGGGCTTACGTACGCACTGTCGATCGGGCGAAATATCATGCGTTGCATGACAGCCTCGTTTCGATGTCAATAAATGTAATTCATAACAAAACCGTTTGTATACTTATCTGAACAGAAGTATTTCATTTCCTAGGATATAAATAAACAGAAAAGTCAACTGTGGACGCAAGCTAGATTTACAAAGCTGTCACGGTGACATTTTGAGGGACATTTTTAATAAGACATCGAGTACAGACGCGAAGTAAAGGTCGGGTTCGTCTTTTCTTTGTGACGATCTCATGGCGATGGAAATTCAATGAGGTGGTTTAAACTGAAGTGTCTTTATAATGAATTGACTTCCGTAATTTGTGGCAAACATAAGAATTAAAAAGCAGCGTATGTATAGGGTCATGAACAGCCCGGAGGTTCGCTTGGTTTTAAAGGGTAGTCACATATAGCGTGTAAAGAGAAACATTATTCTGGATAAAAAAATTGGGCTACATCGAAAGACTACTTTAAGTTGCATTAGAGCAGCTGCGAAATCTTGGCTCCTTTGGTAATAGGCCAATGAGATAATTTCGTTCTTTAAAATCAACAATTATCAAAAGCTTCAAGAAGCCCAGCTGCTTTTGCGAGAAGAAAATATCATATAATTATACGGTGGTAGAGCAGCTAGATATCGTATGGCCGTATGGGGTCACTCAGCTTCAACGAATCGACAGAGGATTGCGAGTTTCCTATAAATATTGCCTACCCTACAATCGTGGTGAATATCATAGGAAGTTTACTTGGCACTTTCGCGAATATCTTGGTGTGGTTTGCCGTGTTGAAAAACACTCAACTTCAAACACTCTCGAATTATTTTCTCCTGAACCTCAGCGCCGCGGATTTGCTGGTCACGGCGGTAACCCAACCGTTGTTCGTGGCACACAACATCCTCGCCGCACGACGCGAGTGTTTGGACACCGTCGACAATGCTTACAGCGCGATCGCGAGTTTCGCGTGCATGGCTTCGATACTGAACGTGACCACAATCTCGATAGATCGACTCATAGTGCTCAAATACCCTCTGCAGAAGAAGGCGATTTTGACAAAGCGCCGTGGTTTTGCGGTCATGGCTTTGACTTGGGTTCTCGCCACGTTATACGCGGCCTTATCCTGCGTATTGGAAGAAAGGAAAACTTGGATATCTTTAACGTTCGGCTACTTTGCCGTTTGCTACTCAATCATGATATCCGCTCATACACACATGTATGTCGTGAGTCACCGCTTCGTGCGTCGGCGAAAACAGCAAGTGAGACGGTACAGTTTTTCCGCAATCGCTTACAGCAAAGAACGGCAAGCCGCTAAAACTATTGCGATTATCTTGGCCGTTTTGACGCTGACTTGGTTGCCCTATGGCTCTGCTCTCGCTGTGTCCGCGGTGACTGGAATGCGACTGAAACAACGCTTCGTGAACCCGCTTTTGACGGTCGGTTTTCTGAACAGCTGCTTCAATACGGTGTTGTACAGTTGGCGAAACAAGGAAATAAGAATGACTTTTAGGCAGTTACTGAAATGCCAAGACCCAAACTTGATCAGGCGGGAAAGCGTGTCATCTTTTTATATACGAAGATCGCGATTAAGCACAACCTCAAGCATGTTTAATGATATAAACGGTCAAATTTTTGACACAAAAGAACCCAGAGATGACATGAACCAACCTAGTTTCGTAGTAGGTAGACAATATTCTTTATAAATTTCGCCGGCTTTTCCAGAACCTTTCTCAATGGGTAAGACTACAGGGCCCGGTTGTTCAAAAAGCGTTTAGCTTAAACGGTGGTACATATTGAATGCATAAGATGCAGGTTAAGTCATTGACAAGACCTATGAAAGTATTTTTAAACTTTGATTTATCCACCGACGGTTTAAGCTAAACGCCTTTCGAACAACCGGCCCCTGACCTTTCTCGACAATCTATGAGGTTGATCGACTTAATTAGCCGTAAAAGTCCCGCAGGTCTGACTGAGTATGACTGCTTTGCAATATTGTGGTTTTGAAACCTTCGTAAGTGCTACATAATAGACCATTTCGGTAATAAAAGTCTTAATACGTGCTGACTGTTGCTACTAATACTAACTTAACCAGTCAAATACTTAAACATTGTACGATTTAGAGGACTATTACACTTTCAGCTCTCCTAAATTTCGGGTGGCCATTGGCATTGCAGTAAAGCGAGTCTGACTTAGTGCTGCAACTAATGTTTAGTGCATGTTTTACCGCTATGCATGCAATGTTTTATTCATTGTTTCATTTTCAGTTTCACCAAACAGACAACTGACTTTATATATTTATAGCTAGAAATCACGGGAACAACTGAGTATCTTAATATACCAAACAGAACACTATCGAAACTTTTTAAAAAGTAATTTCTACGTTTGAACTGAACTATATTCATCGTCATCAGAAGAATGCTTTTTTAAAATGTTTCATTTTTACAGAGTTTCTATAGTTCTACTATAGCTAGCTTTCGTGACATTTAAAAAATTATTATCAACCCGATGTTTTAGAACTTTATGCTTCCAAGCTTTCCTGACGAGTGGTCTAACATTAGCAGAAACATTGTACATAATTTATGGCGTGATTATTATAAATTTTGACGGACCAAAACACGTCGAGAAAATCTATTTTTTACACTGTCGATCTCTGTTTACTCAGCCGCACGTATATTTTGTTTTGAGATTTCATTTTCTGCACGAACCCTAAACATTATGCGATCAAGGTCATACTTAATGAAACTACGGTACGTGCACGTCTATTAAAGTCTTAATTAATTATATTACATGCACGAACCCTAAACAACATGCAAAAGTTAAATTTAAAAAAGCTCCTTTATCTCGACTAAACCTTGGCCTTTATACCATAAAGAGATAATCATATGGTTCTAAAAGCTCACTTACATACATAAAAATCTCATGGCTGAAAGCTGACTTGGTTTGGGGGTATTTTTCAGTGGGCTTATAAAATGTAAAAGGCGACACGGATCTTGATTGGCGTTTCGTAAATATGTATATTTAAACAGAGAGCCTAAACGTTTACGTGGGCAATTTACTATAGCCCAAAATAACATTTTGAGGTATTTATAAATTATAATAAACCGTATCAGAATATACGCGATGAATTCGATGTTTTGGGCAAGGTTGTCTGTTGGTTGCAATCTAAACCTGTTCTTGGAGGCAAAACATATAGAAAACTCCAAGAAACATCTTTTATACTAAGTTATGGACGTTTAAAAAGAGGTTAGCCTTTTTTGCGGTCATATATCGATCCTATTCCCAAATGATCATCTCCGGTAATTGCTACCTGTTTTTTAAAGCTTATTTCTTGTTTCAACAAGTTGTTTGTCTCTGGAGACAGGCAATCCAGCGATTCTGAACACGTTTAGCAAAAAAAATACGGCTAAGCGAAGTAAGAAAGCGACTCAGAATCGACAGGTAAATTCGTCAAAAAAACTTCGCGCATAGCAGCTACAACCTGGCGTTCGTAAAGGCAGAGGTATAGGAACACAAATTGAAAAATCACCATCAAAATTGGGGCAAAACATATTTAACTTTACTAACACTACACAACATGACAACAATAAAGTTTCTCGCGAACGTGGACACGGGCTGTCTTCAAAACTACACTATGTTTGATATTAAATATCAACATCTATCCTACGATATGAACTGGGTTTGTTCAAATTCTGATGTCACACATCACGTGTACCTTTAGGACTGTTACTGTAACAGTTCTCCACCATGCACCTCGGTCGTGGTCGTGCTGTCTTTCGTGATAAGTTTGACGAGACTACCGCTTTGTGGGCGGTCTTTACCTTCGCTCCAACCGAAGAGCAAGCTGGGAAGATAAGAGTACGTCGCATTAGTCAACAATTGATGTGGTGTTTATGTTGAGGCTGGCCATCAGTTACTGAAAAAGTAAAACTCCTCTGAGAATAACTATCCTGAGTGGAAAACCAGTCTTACCTTCTCAATGCAAAATTTAAATGGTGAAAACATTACCTTGCAACATCTTCAAGGGATGTCCAGCTTGTGAAGTCAGCATTAGGCATATTTTTGCGATTAATGGGAGTGTCCAAGGTCATGCTAAAATTTTGAGAAGAGAAGCTAGGTACGTGATGCCAATTTAAAAACACCATAAAAACAATAAGATATTTCAAATTTTACCATGAGGAGCATGGTTTAGAAAGACAATTTACCAGAAAGCTTTTGTGTGTAGTTTGCCCAAGTCTATGACTTTGGTGGTTCAAGTGGCTCAACTTAACTCAGTGAATTAATCATGCACTCATCGTACGTAATACTGATTGGCAATTTTGGTTTAAAACATAAGTTTTAGATGTTCAAAGACTTACGGCAAGATGGCGAGAGCTGTTGAACCAGCTGGTAAACCACTCTCCTTTTGACCTAATCCCTTGGTCAGCTGATGAACGGCTGCTTTTGCCATGCCATAACCCAACATCCCTTAAAAAAAACAATGATAAAATATCAGGCAATGAAATCATTCATAAGAAAACCACAATCAAGACGCTACCAGGATTGCAATGATATAAATGATAGTAAAAATATTTATTCTCCAAATACCTGAAGTTCCACCAAGAGAAGGTTGTGCACCAGTCAGTGATAAAAGGCCATGACTAAAGTGTAAAATATTTGATAGTTTTATAGGTAAAATGTGATTGCTTTAATATAATTACTAAGGGATCATCACATACTTACTCATTCAAGTACTTTGATGCTAAGCTTGCAGAAATAAGCGATGTCCATACGCTCTGTTTGAACATCAAGTCAGCATTCTTCACAACATCTTTACAAAAAAAAGTCAGCTTTAAGTTTCTTATCCTTACTAAAGTAGTTGCTCTGTATGTATTACAGTTACAGAGATTATTCAGAGTATATTCATTCACGATTTAGGCATGTCATGCACTCTATTACTTACTTTTGCTGCTGGCTGAACCACCAGCCCATCCTCCAGCTACACAAATGATTGCATCAAGCTTTTCACCTTGAAGCATCTCATCAACTTTTGTTTGAATCTGACAGACAATGGATTATAAAAATTCCTGATTAATTGAGTTAATTGAGGACATTTTGAAATGAAAATTATTAGTAAACCACTGACGGTTTCCAAAACCAACCTCCTCATTCTGTTCTACCCAGGAGTCCAATTTCGTCACAATCACATTAGCTTGTGCCTCTTCATTTGGAAATAAGTCAACTGAAGCCACCCACTGCAAAGAAAGGTCATTCAACATTATACTGAAGAATCTTATATGAACTACCTAGTACTTATGAATGGGTAATTAGCTGGTCAGTAACAATCAACCTCCCTCTCTCACACCTCCCACCCCTACCCTTCCTCCCCCCTCCTACCACTTTCCCAGAGATAGGCTCTGAGACAGTAGAGAGACTATAAACATTAGCACCAATTTGGATTGGGGTTCAAAGGTCCAAGCAGTGCTATTGCTGACACAATCGCTCTGAAATGAAGTCCGACTATTTATTATGCCCTCAAAGGCAAACAACACAGCCTTGCAATTACAATAGAAGGCTTTGCATTGGTTGATGTTTGGACGGGCAAAGCTTTGAACAAGTATTGCGCAACCAATGGCTTATTGGCATTTAATAATTTCAAATTTATATTGCGCCTCGTTCATAGAATACAATGCAAAATTCAACAACACAAAGGCATACTAAAAAGTACAACGAACCAACATACACAATGTACATAAATCATGTACCAAAAAACAGTACAACACATGGTAGAAATCGCAAGTAATTTATGCACAAAATGTGCCATGATCAGCGACGATTTTTAACTTTATTTTTGCTTGAATACGTTTAAGACTGACTGATCGTACAAGTGCACAACTTACCCAATTTTTGGCCGTAAAATAGGATATGCAGGTCGAGCCTAAAGCACCTTTTCCACCATAAATCAACACACGTGGATTCGAAGCCATTTTGAAGAAAAATCTAAAATTTAAATCCCAAGAGAAATATGCGCCCGTGATGAAAAATTGTAGATACTTCATGATACGAAAGTTATATTATAATGTTCGCTTCTGAAAAACGATTCAAGATGGCGGAACGATAGGAGCGAAGATTTGGATTTCCTTACTATTGATATTTTCTAGGATTTATTATGAAAAGAAGATATCATTCAGGAGCTCTTGTCAACAATGAACTTCAACCAAGCCGATGCGAACTTACTGAACCTCTGGCAAACATTTCAGTTCAAATTCGACGACACTGAAAAGTCGTCCTCCGAAAGAGCTGATGCCGCTCGAAGTTTGAAGTTCCAAGTCGAGAAACTCTTTGAAAGGTAACTTTTTAAGCTCGGCTCGTTCGTCGTCTCAATGTTTTGTAATTCAACTTTCATCCATCGCTGTATTAACTCACGATTTGATTTTTTAAGTGGTAAATTAAGCGAGCGACAGTACATTGGATTGGTGAATTACTACGAAAATTTGTACTCGGACATTGTTGATGAGCAGGATGAATCAAAAGGTGAAGATTTCAGCACTCAAAGCTGAGAACATAAACATCAATGCTATTTTTCACGACTGGTTGTTGTTTCACTTAACAGTCCATTTTACATATAAACCTTGTTCTTGTACTAGGTCTTAATAACTTTGCTGAACAATCGATTGCTTTGACAACTGGGTTTAAAAATGGTAGGTACTTTTCATGGGTCGAAACACCGCAAAAAATGATTTAATCAGAGTTAATTAAAGTAAGATTCCTATCTGATAAATATTAGAATAAGATTCCTCTCTCAGTCTGTTTATAGCATTCTACTAGAGTTCTACTAAAATATTGCCTTGGTATGCCTACTTCACGTAAATTTGCCAAATGCCATTCAATCAAACAGAACAATGTCTATTCGCATGAAAAGTTATGCATTATCAGATTTTTATCATACAAACTATTAAGCTATTACAAGATATCTAAAACTCGGCCATTCAAATGGTTTCTAGACAGCCAAAATTGGAAATCTGGTCTCACGTTTGAATCGCTGGATGATTTTAATATCTCAAAAATACCTGCAAAGGATTACAAACTCCCGGCAGCGAATACGGTAAGTTCATCTTGAAATGGCGTTAGTCCATTTAAGAAGTCTTTAATCTTTATCACGGCGATATTGGTGCTTGATAACGTGAACTGCGCGGAACAGAGACAGAGTGAAAACGATACACGTTTGTATCTGTTCTGCACTACCTACTTGACACTATCTCGTACTTTTTCCCGGGCACCCGAAGTCGCAAGATGCAGCAAAGCAAGCCAATCCCAGGCCGACTTCGTTGCCAAGCATGGCGCCAAATACGAATGATATGAGACCAGTAAAAACAAGAGAAAACCATTCAAACGTCCAACCATTGTTTGCTTCCTCCACCAAAACACCCCAACTTGGAATCAGACCATTATTTTCCAACCCAAGTAAAACAAACGATATCCCACCTCACCAATCTGGGAGAAGTGATAGTTCCAAAACCACAGATCCTATTGATCCATATATGAACTATAAACAACAGGTGAATCTTGCAATCTTTGTGTGTTTGTTTGTATGTCTGTTTATTTGTTAGTTTGTTTGTTCAACACTGTTCAAATCTCAGGATACCCCTTTTCATATTCGCCCAGATCTTTCCCACTGCACGGGTTCTTCAACTTCTCTCATTTCATTCGATCGCTTTCATCTGAAAGAATCCCGTCTCTTTCACTATTAAACGTCATCTCAGCAATCACTTCTTGTGGGAATTCTTTCATTTCGAGTACTTCAGTTATTAGCCGCTTTCTAACCTCTTCAATTCTGGCGTATTATGATAGCCACAGATGAACAGATCAAGGAATAAAGCGCCAGTTAATCAGGTAACATTTAGACATGGAATTTTGCATCCACCCCATCAGTTCCAACCTTCCTGTACCAATTTGGGAAGAAATAAAGACCTTAAATCATTTCATACTAAACTATATATTACTTCATTCGCAAACCTTGAGTTTCATCTATTTAGGTTGAAAACGAAGACGAGAATTATGACTCTGAGTTTGTAACCGCGAAGCAACAGTTTGTGAGTACTTTTAATCTGCTAAAAACATTCAAAAATTCAGTCCTAGTTCGTTTCAGTTCGAAAACAAACTCGTACTAGCCTTGCTCCAAACCTTGACGTTATTGTTAGATTTTTCAGACAGTTTGTACGATATACTATTCGAAAGTCATACTCAGTAATATTTCTTCCATATCAACTCCATTTCACAGGTCCTAATTTCGTTTTCAAAATAGATTATGAATGAACGAAAAAAGAAGAACCGAAATCCAGGCAGCGGTCCAGGCATGGGAAATTATGGCGCGGTTAAGAAATCCCTGGGATACAGGTTTGACATGCATATGTCCTTAATTGTAGAGTTAGCAAAACATGCTGAGTTCAAATTTTCCCGCGCTTTAGGAGAGGACCATCCAGCAAGTTTATTCCGCCCATAAGGAATTACAATGATGATAGCGACGATAGTGGGGAGAGGTATATTAAAGATGTCTTAAAAGTATAACATACGAATAAAATAATTACTATCTTAACATGTTTAAAACTTTACAGTAGGTATTCCAACTCTGTTGGAATCCATCCTCGAAAGACGATTAATTTATGCAGGGCAAGGTGGCACAAGGTACCAAGGTGGTACAAATATGTGGCCAAAGCTTAAGAAAAAGTGTACTAAACTTAGTAAAATTCACGCAAATTTAGTTTCAATGCGTATATTTGCTTTAAACACAGTTGTCAGTCAAGAAGGAACAGCAACAAATCGGGAAGGACGAGACCCAAAGAAAATCCATCGACTGGCGAAGACGATGACATTACTGACGAACGATTGAAAGGAATCGACCCTAAGATGGTCGAACTGATAAACAATGAGGTATATGAACGCCTAGTTTGGAAAAAAATTTCCCGGCATCGCTTTACAATTTGTTTTAATGCTGTGGTCATAGATAATGGATCACGGACCGCCTGTACACTGGGACGATATTGCCGGCTTGGAGTTTGCTAAAACTGTCATAAAAGAAATTGTCGTTTGGCCCATGTTACGACCGTATGTAATAGGAATGTTTCGTCGTACATTACTGGGGCCGGTTGTATCAAGCCCGTTTAGCTTAAACGGTGGATAAGTCAAAATTAAATAACACTCTTACATCTCTCTTGAATGAGTCAACTTGAATATTATGCACTGAATATGTAGTTGTAAACAGTATCTTTGTATCAAGGTTAAAAACATTTAGTTTGCTTGTTGAATAAAACGATAGACTTGCTTTCTATTTTGAACTTAACCACCGTTTAAGCTAAACGGGCTTGATACAACCGGCCCCTGCACTTTAGCTTGAAGTAACTATGACTACGTAACCCGTCAAATTTGCTTACGCCATCGCACGAAAGTCATTGAAATTTGGTACTTGCTTGGCACGATTTATAGTTAATATCTGCAATCGTTTTCTCACTTTATCTGTCTGTAGAGATATATTTAAAGGACTGCGTGGTCCCCCCAAGGGATTGCTGTTGTTTGGTCCCCCCGGTACTGGGAAAACTCTCATAGGTAAGGCTGAAGCGAATCCTCAGGAAAATGGCCTTTTTAGATGTTTAGTACTATGAATGAAACTGACTTACTTCACCCAAGGTAAATGCATAGCTTGCCAGTCAAAGGCGACATTCTTCAGCATCAGCGCTTCATCCTTGACTTCGAAATGGGCAAGTATTTTAAATTGTCGAGTTCTCGATGTGATGGGTGCAAAAATTGCACGATTTTTTCGTGGTATCGTACTGATTCAGAGCTACCTCGGGTGTGTGTAGGTGGGTGAAGGAGAGAAGATGGTACGAGCACTCTTTGCTGTCGCCAGATGCCATCAACCGGCCGTTATATTTATCGATGAAATTGATTCGCTGTTGTCCCAGAGATCAGACGGCGAGCACGAGTCATCTCGGAGGATTAAAACCGAATTTCTCATACAACTGGTAAATTGACTCTTTTACCCTTTTGTGTATCCACTTTATTCGTCATTTTCTCCATTTCATTTCCAGGACGGGGCCACATCGGGATCCGAAGATCGATTGCTGGTTGTCGGAGCAACAAACAGGTCGGTTGATTTGTCAAAACTGTTCTCAAAATCCTTGCAAATGACTGGTGGGGTATGTTAGCGACGATAAGTTCAGAAACATTGGAGAGGATTCAAGACAGACCTTGATCTCTGCACATGCATTGTAGAAACTGAATGATTTTCTTGCAGACCCCAGGAAATCGACGAAGCAGCACGACGTCGTATGGTTAAACGACTGTACATTCCTTTACCAGAAGGAGAGGCTCGTAAACAGATCATTCGCAATTTACTTAAAGACCAACATTACTCCTTAACTGAAGAAGACTTTGAAGAAATGATGCGAAGGTCTGAAGGTATACGGTGAAATATCTCTGCAAAAAAGAGATTACTGAAACCCCGACAGAGATTCAATTCCTGTACAAACTACTCTCTGTTCCAGGTTATTCTGGCTCGGACATGAGTAATCTCTGTCGCGAGGCCGCCTTAGGGCCAATCAGATCAATTTCTGGTAATATTCAAGCAATCACCTGTGACCAGGTAATGTAACGTACAAGGTGATTTGGAAACACAGAACAAGTAGTCTCATAGATATACCGTAATTTTTCGAATAAACGCCGCGGCGTTTATTAAATATTTAGCAATTAAGATGCGGCGTTTATTCGAGGGCGGCGTTTATTGCAAACTCGTAACAACTCTGAATTTATTGTGTAATTTAAACGCCAATTTAACCAATACAATCAATCCCCAAAAAAACTAAGTATAAAAGTTATATGTGTTTTCTATTTATATAATTATATATGAAAATTGAACTGTTGTTATAAATAAATGCTTCGAATAAACGCCGCAATGACGAAAAGGTTGCGGCGTTTATTTGAGGGCGGCGTTAATGATATTTTTGCTTATCCCTGCGGCGTTAATTCGAGGGCGGCGTTTATTCGAGGGAGGCGTTTATTCGAGTAATTACGGTATGTAAGACACCGGTGAATATCTTTTGCCACAAGTTCTATTCCTCGTGTAATATCATTTCAAAAATTAGTTTAGATAAAGGAGAAATTACAAGTTATGATATATTGAGGACTAGTTTATTATAGGTTCTAAACAAAATATGTTTGCAGGTCAGACCAATCGTATTCACAGATTTCGAAAAAGCGTTTCGACAAGTCCGTGCAAGCGTTTCCAACCAAGATCTGGATCTTTATGTCTCGTGGAACAAGCAGTTTGGAAGCGGACATTAAGATACAAGACAATAGTCAACTGTTTAATTGAGATTTTATACATTTTTTCATTTAAGCATTCAACAAGTTCTTTTCATAATTTCGCGTACGAGAATGTTTTCACCACAAGAAAATAATGTAAATAAACTACTTTGCGTTTTTTTGTTGGTTTTACTTTTTTCTTTAATCTATTAGTTTTAGAGACCTTCTCAGATTTTATGGTTTTCTAAAAATATGGAAGCATTCCACATGTAGTAAATCAACTTGGCTACAATGGTAACCTGGCCATGCAAATGAACAATATTTAAAGAAACCACTGAAAAGTTGTCCAAAAAAATGTTTGCTGAACAGCAAGGATGGGATCAGACATATTTATATTTCATTGTGAGAAAAAAAAGTTAAATTGTGTCTATTGGTCTGACTTTTTCTCACTTTGAAATGAGATGCCTTAAAGCTTGAATGTCTAACCAACAGAGCGATAAACAAACTTCCAAAATCACATCAATGATCGAAATTCATAAAAACAACTATCATTACCCATTAAGTAAACTAAAACGAGGCAATTTGTATACTATACAAGTTTCTTAGCCTCAAAGAAGCCCTTGAGATGTCTCATTTGCCAGAACCCAGTCAATAATAAGATTAGAGTTTGACCTAGTGACCACCAGAGAACACGTTGGTTTGTACTCTCACTGGTCGCTCGGAACCTCTCTTCACGATACTAAAGGAAAGGAATGAAAAGATATCAGAAACCACTTTTATTGATAGTTAATTTCATTATCATCTTGATACACCACACTCCACTTACTCTTTGATAAGCTTGCTCTTTACCAATCTGTTCAACTTGATCCAACAGCTGTCTGATCCTCAGCTGAAGTTCAGTTAACTTATCCTTAGCAGCAATTTCAGAATAATCATTTGTATGCTCACCAACCTGAATGTCTAAATGAACACGCTGCAATGCAAATGGAACACCATCAGAACTATGTAGGACTCAATTCCAAATCTCATTTTCCACTTACCAACTTTCCACCAGCAAACAAGGACCACCTTGTCGAGTTAGAATGAAGGCAAATGCTATGCTCTCCGGGTGAGTGTGAAGTAAATGTGAACCGTCCTTCCGCAGAGAAATATCTAGACATTATAACTTTATCGTTCGGATCTTTTACTTCAACATGCATTCCAATGCCAGGACTTGAGGGCAGAAAGTCATTAATATTTTCATCAAAAAGTTGGGTCTTGTATTTTCCTAGATAAGAAAGATTTCAGTTAATCCAGGAAATACTTCTGTCAATCAGTCAACTGGTAGTACTAGTACAAGTACCAAACCATCAAAGATCTGGCATAGGAAAATAAAAAACAACTTAAGTTCCAGCTACGTGGTGAAGATCTATTTGTTGATAGACTATTTTTAAGAAGTAGATTCAAATCTTAGTAAAGAATGTATTTGTTATACATTCGTACAATGACACGTATTACTCTTTTATACAACAATTCAAGTTTCCACATAGTGCAACCCTGATGCGAATTCGTTGCAATAAAAAAAAAGTTGAACACACCTGTTACCATCGTTTCATCTGGGATCTCTTCGATGAAACATTTCTTTTCCGTCTCTCCCATGTGAAAGTACAGAGACAAACCAGATCGTGCAAAAATAACACAGAAAAAGGACACGAAACCTATCCAACTCACCGCCATGTTGACAGAGAAACGAACAAAGCTAACTGGAGTACGCATGCGTATCTGATTCCCAGCAATAATGCCACGTTGTTGTACTTTCGACTCGGCTAGCCATCGGAGTGCGTTCGTCATTAGTCGGAAGTTTGAAAAAAAGAGAAAAAAGCAAATGTGGTTCCAAATATTTCAAATTTTATTATGGCAATTAGAATATAATATGCCAAAGAACAAAACTAGCCCAGAAATTGTTTTGTTTTGCCATGTAATTTTGCAAATTTAGCAGTAGGATTTGTATTCGCCATTTCAAGGTCGGCAGCTGTCGTCCTTGCCGAGTAACCAGGCCAAAAAAACAATATGGTGGACGAACGTGAAGTACTTCGAGTACTTTTTTGCGAAAGTAAAATTTACATGCCTTACCTTTGTCGTTGATCAAATGTAAATACGGGGTAGCGTGTGAAAAGCATTTATGATATTCTTAAAACTGATAAAGCGGGGATACAAATCATACAATATGTTTCACGGCGTACTTTATATGAAGCAAACCTGTTGTAGGTTGTCAATGTCCAAGTTTAACTCACTATATCGTGTGATATCAGGATCTGGCGCACTGCAAGACAGATTTGGGGCAAATGGCCCATCGAGATATACTCGTTTTTCAAGAACTTTCAGTTCACAAACTGACCGACCCGATCAGTTCGGTATATCCGAGGATGATTACCCAATAAACAATGTTTCGCAACACTTCGTCGAAAATAAAAACAGCGGAGATCTCAAAATAAACTTTGACGAAAGTACGCCTGAAACATTTGAAGGGAGCGAGGATACGTCCGATCCTTGCGCGGGACTTGACCTCAACGACACGACAAGTCAAAATGTCGACATGTCAAAAAATACAGATCATGAGTTTGGGGAAGAAAACGTGGAAGACGAACGTTTTCCTCTGCCGTCAGTACCCCTTGATAAAGGTTAAACTTTTGCATAAATCGTACACGATATACGGCGTAATAACTGTAGGAACCATGAACTTCTACAGCTACGTAATTCATTGAGACATGTACGAAATGTACAACAACTTATGCGCAATGCGCTACACTCTTTTTTTCCACCCCTTGCACGAAGGCCCTTAGGTCAAACCGTCAAGAAGTCTTTTCGTATATTTTAGCCAGTTGCTGAACCACATTTAATGGAGATACATATACACACAGTTTTTTATTTAACAATCAATTTGTTTGCATTGAAAATTATATAGCAAAGATTCACACCTACCTTAAAGCATTTTTCAGTCATCGGCAAGTCGAAGCGGAGGCAAAAGAACACGGTTTAGACAGTAAGGAAAACGATTTTCTAAAAACCACCTTCCATTGAACGTGGAAAAATCATTGAAAGAAAAAATTGCTGTGTCTTCAAGACTGCTTCTGCATTAAACTCGTTTTTCTCAACAGAAACTTTATTCGCGGAAACGTTCAGAAGTTTTAAAAGAAATATTTTCAAAGAAGCGAAGGTCGATACAGATCTTTATAACATACTTTATGAACTACAAAACGAGATAGGTAATAATTTGATATTTTGCAAAGTAACTTAGCAGGAGACTGAGCTACATCACTTAATGTAATGGCAATGTAATGTTTCTTTTAAAAGGCATGTTTAAAATTCAAACGCACACAAAATTTACACACAATATCTACAATGCTAATTTTTAGGCCACGTGGATGACCTGCTTCCCTTCTTTCTCAGTTATGCTAAACGACTGTACCCAGTGTTAGATTGCCTCGAAGATTTAAAGGAAATTAGTGACTTCACTGGACCGGCGGATTTGTGAGTATAGTTTTAAACGCAAGAAATCGAATCAAATCCATTTGTGAATAAAGGCAGAAATGGAACAGAAATCAGTATAAACAAACTCTTCTTTATTGCGTATAGATTTCCTGAAGCTCGTGCGATGAAACGAAAATTTATCTTTCACGCGGGCCCTACGAACAGCGGTAAGACGCACAAGGCCTTAGAGAGATTCCAGAGTTCGAAATCCGGAATTTATTGCGGACCTTTGCGGCTGCTGGCGTCTGAAGTGTACCAGAAAACGAACGATAACGTAAGGTGTTTGACGGTCACTTTTGATGGTGTTTTTCAAAACTAATTTCGTTCCTATAATACTTTTTGTGATATTCCAAATCGTGAAATGTGAAAGACATGCATGGTTCTGTTGTTTTAGGGTATCCTTTGCGATTTGATAACCGGAGAGGAAAGACGTTGGGCCGTTTCAGAAAACGAGCCTTCAAATCATTTGGCTTGTACTGTGGAAGTGTGCTCCGCGACGCGGGAATGTAAGAATTGGAATATCTTTATTCGCTAAGCGATAGGTTTGCACAATATGTAACGACTTCATGGCCAGATTTGTTTCGCGGCAAAAGTCGTTTATATCCACAGTGACCTGATTCCTCTATCATCCTTTTCAGACGACTGCGCTGTTATTGACGAGATACAAATGATTGGCGAATCCGAGAGAGGTTTTGCTTGGACTAAGGCGTTACTTGGTAGAAAATAACCATGCACTTTCTTCTGAAATGTATCCGAATGAGAGTTTGATTTCTTGTATATTTTTCCACATCACATCAGGTTTGCTATCCCCTGAAATCCACTTGTGCGGTGAACCGACTGCAATAGATCTTATCAAAAGGCTGGTCGAATCTTGCGGAGACGAATTCGAGGTAGCTAACACATGGATACAAGAAATGCAATCTTTCGAAAAGATCGAAACATCGTAAATTAAATATAGTGTTTGTTTAAGAAATATATAAGACTTGGGTACAATGTTGCCCCTTAATTCGCTTTTCTAGCAAGTTTTTCTAGAGACTTTACAATCAATATACTTGGTCTATTTGTTGACAGGTTGTATACCACGAACGCCTGACACCGCTGGAGATTGAAAGTGCAAGCTTAGGTCAGTGTTAACTCTCTTTAACTCTCAGTACTGTGGTTAATGTTTCCAGAATCTTATCTGACCAACAATGCAGCACATTGCTTCAAAGTAGTTTAGAAATAGCATCACGTAAGCCTGAATATGGATGCAAATGTTTCAGATAGTGATTTTTCGAAGATTGAACGAGGCGACTGCATTATCGCTTTCTCTCAAAGAGAGTTGTACAGAATAAGGAAGATCGTGGAATCGTCTTCAAAATGGAAATGTGCGATTGTCTATGGTGGGTTGCCGCCAGGTAAGGCAGCCGAATGGCTGAGAATGTAGGGTGCCTGTCGTATTTGAACAGTATATGTATGATATGCTATGTACTATATACTGTAGTATGGTATTGTATACATTGCTAGCTATGATTCCTACATGTAATTGCTTTATAAGAAATGTATAATTCCGGTAATATTTCACTTCCTAAGCAACGAAAGTCGACCAGGCAAGAAGGTTCAATGATCCCAACGACAACTGCAAAGTTCTTATTGCGTCCGATGCTGTTGGAATGGGATTAAATCTGTGAGTATAATCTATCCTATGACGCACCATGCTTGGTTGCATGTTCGCCTGTCAAAGATTTTCACCGAACCTACGTTTCTTCACGTTATCTTAACTTCTTCCCCTCTCAGAAACATCCGAAGAATAGTGTTCAGCTCGATGGAAAAGTTCGATGGTAAACGAATGTCTTCGTTGTCTTCCTCACAAGTTAAACAAATCGCTGGTCGCGCTGGACGATACGGCACGGAATATCATTCGGGTTTAGTCACGACGTGAGTTTGATAGGTGTAATATCCATTGTCAAATTAATGTCCATTGTATCGTCCACATATATCCATCGCTTCATAGTATCCCAGACTAAATTTTTGCACTCCAATACTATTTTACTCACAGTCTCCATGAAGAAGACCTGACCACGTTACGTGATTTGATGAGTCAAGGAAGTACGAGTATAAAGGTAGAGCTGGTGTTTTTCAATTTGAGAGTTGGCGAATACATGCAATTACAAATCAATTGTAATCGAATGAATGAAGTCGTGGTATATTGATTCGCTTTTTTCCTCTTGCAGGAAGCAGGCATCGCGCCTACATCAGAGCAGGTGGAAATGTTTTCGTATCAACTACCCAAAGCTTCGCTGAAAAAGATACTTGTAAGTCTAGGAACAAGCAGGACTTTGAGAGAAACTACAAAAGTCCCACATAATTCCTCCACTACCTTTTTCAAGTGCTGTGGACACATATAACTCACTTCCAAGTGAATTTCAACATTCATAGTACAAATCATACTTACACTTGTAAATTTCAGGAGACATTCTGCGGTCTGTCGCAAGTGAGCGGTAACTACTTCATCTGCAGTTTGGACAAAAAGATGGTAGGTTAAAGACTTGTATGTCTTTAATACAATTACAGAAAAAGATCGACTTTTATAGTACTTCGTCCACCCATTCTCCGGAATGTGCCCGTGATGATACGCTCTACTCCGCTATACCACATGTTTGTCCTCCCTATACTCGTCCCACTTTGCTTTGAAAAGCAGATTCACTTCTTCAGGTAACGGCGGAGTTGATTGAGAACATTCCACTGGCAATCCGCGATCGATACACATTATGTATGTCGCCGGCTGACTGCCGACTGCCTTTCACCAGAGTCATGTTAGTTAGGGTGAGTAGCTGTATTACAATCGTCCCTTCTCATGTTTAGAAGCACTATACGATTGTCTTGGAGTTTTCAAGTCCCACTTTGATATTATCGTCTCATTTCAGTTTGCCCGAGCCATCAGTTCAGGCAAGCTCATATCAGCGGAGGGGTTGCGGAGAGTCATTGGTTGGCCTCCTTCCAGACCAACGTCACTTAGATCCATGCAAGAACTAGAAGTGCTACACGAATCGTTTGATCTCTACCTGTGGCTGAGGTAAAATCACATCTAGCCCAATTTAACGTTCCTCTCTTCTCCGCTGAGGCTTCTTGAACAGTTATTACGATTAAAATACCGCTGAACAGTTGATGGAGGAACCTCGAAGAATCTCAAGGGTTAAAATTGTGTATTTAAGATTTTCGGAACATAGAATTTTTACCAAAACGTTACGCATATCGGTAAAGTTGCATCAGATTCTGCTAGGTCATAGGCAGATACGTGAACAGGGTCTTATATTAGTCAATTTCTTTACAGTTATCGCTATCCTGAGATTTTCATTGATCGTGAGAAAATACGTGCAATGCAAAGTCAACTCCAGACAGTCATCAATAACTCGCTCTCATCCAGCATAGCGTTGACAGGTATCTTACCTCAAGTACAGTCAACCGCTGCGGTGGTGGTGGGGGACCGCAGGGATGATAGGGGACAGGACATGCGAGAGCAGAGCAGAAGTAAACGCTCGAATAGTCAGCAAAGAACAACGGAATACGACCAAAGTAAGGACAAAGTGATGAGAGATGTATTAATCTAAAGTAACGTAGTTGATGTCGAGTTTCCCGGTGGCCGCTGAAATACCACAACTCTTGGATCGATAACTACTATCATTCACTTCTTTGTTATTCACTGTTCAGCAGTCCGCCTTTCATCCTCATTGACTATTGTAGTATTAAATATACCATCAAATTTTGAACTATATCTTTCAATACTCACTCTGTAAAAACAGATTGTTAAAGCAACTATTTTAAAATTAGTTGTTTCAACCAAGTTTTTAGTTGTTTTTGCCAATAAAACATTTGTTCAATAAATGAATCTGGGGTAACCAATTTTAAATTGTTCACCGTTTGTGCACGAACAGCATTTTCAAAATCTTTGTCGAGCTAAACTTCACATCGTGAATCTGATGAATACTTGAGTTCCTTCCTTGCAAACTCTTGTCGTTTAGCCACGAAATAATACCTTATATTATCTCGTCAGGTCATGACAGGCATTGGTGGGAAAAAGGCAGAAAACAAATCAATACAAAGCAATCGTCCCTGACAACAAAACTACTGAAGGATAAAGTTTTAACTCGACGTCAGTTGGACAGGCTGCAAGAGGAATGGAGGCAGAACTTTACGAAACATAGAAAATCGCACAATAAATGATTTTTCTTAAAAAATGTCTTCATAGTATGTTTGTGTAAGTTCACAAGACGCAACTCCACGTTTGCAATTTTGCAATGAAGCGCAATTGGCAATGTCAATCAGGCAGGTTTCCATGACGGCCGAGGTAAAACATTGAAAATCAAGCTTTTATTCGAGTGGAAACATCGTAAAGGAATCGTTATGAAGTGATTTAAATCTCGCACGCATTGAGTTTGAGTGAGCTCTGCCTAGTTTTGTAATTGCTGTTAGTCTTGCTCACGCCCATTCAATGTTTGATTTTGGCCAAGTTTCGTATGTTTTGAATTTCTTTGAGCATATCTCTATCTCTTATTCATTTAGACATATAGTGAACTAAATTCAGTAAAAATAGTAATAAATATTCTGACAGGAAAGATATTTTAAGAGATATAGCGATGCCAAAGGCAATATGTAAACACAGCGTTTGTTTACACTACCGTCTGTAACCCCCCACCTTTAATTAACTTCGCCTATGGTTAAAACATTGTGAACTCACTAGAAACAGAAATAAAGCTCACTACCCCAAACGACAATTTAATAAAATACAAGATATAAAACCTATTCCAGTATAGGCAACGAGTTAATTGTGTCACCCAAAGAAACTAGAACAATTGTTAGGTCTTACTGATATTTCTATACTAATTAACTTAAACTTTACTTTTCTTTACAAATTACAAGGTTTTGCTAAAAAATGATAAAAGAGAAATAAGCAATAGGAAATGTCTGCCAGAAACGGAAGCGAAATATTGTAAACAACATGCAGGGACTAGTAGGTTTTCTCTTCTGCGTTTCTAGTCCATTTACATACAGATGCCTCACTTGATAGAGAGTTTCTGTACATCTTCTGCAATGTCCTCATCGGATTTGTCAGTCATTTTAAAGCCACCAGGATCTTTAGGTTTCTCTTTGCCCTTGAAAACCAAAACACTTAAAATAGGATCGTGATCCAGTACATCTGTAGCTTCTGATTCTTCGGCGCCTTTCTTCATAGATTCCTGTACATTTTCCCAGTCATCTTCAGTGAGATCGCTCTCTGCTGATTCCTTGTCTTCAAAGCGGATAACTCTCGACCACGACACTTTTAAGATGTCATTTGGATAGTAAACAAAGTTGTCTTTGTAAGGTATACCGCACTTCGATTCTTTTAGGCGAGGATTTAACTCGTAGGATGGGATCGTTACATTTTTGGGAAGATGCTTCGCATGAAACTCCCATGTATTAAAATTGAAATCACCACCAATTATGTACGAACTTATGTTCATGGTTTTAATTACAATTGAGAGAAACTCCAGGAGGGTTTTAAATGCTTCGTGTCTGGCTTTAATCGTGGTGCGGCGGTATTGACCGTGATATGAAACGGCCAATGTACTTTCGCCCTGCTTCGTTGTTAGCTTCACCATCGATATTCTAGACAGTAGATCGCTGCCAGTCGACCCTGCCACTGTTTTCAGTTTTTCCCTCATTTGTGTGTCCGTGGTTTCAAATCCCTTCCTTGAGCCATCAATGTTTTCGACTGTCCATATCACAGCTGCCTGATCTCCGTTTATAACAAAAGTACAATCGTCAGGAACTAATTCTTTAAATTTTGCAGGCGGCTCCTGGCAGAAGATTATCGCAGAGGGAAACACCCGTAATATAACCGTCAAAAAATCTCTCCGTTTCTGGGCAATTCCTTTCCCTTTGGCTTTTTTCGAGCTTTGCATGTTTATCGTCATTATAAAAAATGATGGATGCTCGGCTGATTTCAGACGTGCTTCGAAGACCGCTTTCTTAAAGGCTTCGACAATCTTTTCCTTATCCTCACCAGCTTCAATTTTCTCCTTTATCTCATCGATTATAAATGACAAATCTCCTTCGCAGATCGTAGGATCATCCATCACCCTATCTATCTGTCTGAATTAATTTTCGTACAAAAGTCAAGAATTGATTATTTTCTCTGTCCGTCGATCTTGTAAATTATAATGTAGCAAACTTACTGAACCACATGTCTACTTCCAAAGAAATCCACTAATCTTCGTCGCGGTAGTCAAAACAGTATTATACTTGAAAGTTGAAGTCGATGCACTAGATGCAAGTGATTGCAAGAAACTAAACGAGTCTTTAGTTTTGTTTGCATTCGCTTTTCGCTGTGTACATTACTGCATAGCGTCGACTGCGTCGTCACATGTCAAATCGTGAAACTGGGCACTGGCAGAGTAACTAAAATTTACATGCCCACTGAGCTATATATAGAATTCCTGGAAGTTATATATAAAATTCCAAGAAGCTACATATAGAACTCCTGGAATGGTGCCACTGACATTGGACGGGCCTAAGCCTGGTTCTCTTAAGTCGCCGACCTTTGTTATTCTAAGTAAATTTTCTTCGTCACCGGCCACCAATATTTAAAACATCGTCGACTGTCGGTGATTTTAGAGAGAACCAGGCTTTACTTCGAGTACAGTCGACCGCTGGTCTGGTGGATCGCAGTGATGACAGGGGATGTTACTAATTAAAGGGGATGTTACTAATTAAATACTAAATTATACGGCAGAGAAACCATAAGAAACGAGCAGGAGAAATGAAAGTGATGTCCCACGATTTAACCAGCTATCCAATGTCCTCGAGGAAACCTTATTCACGCCCAAACATTTCCTGATGATTTCGGCTAGCAATGTTAACTAAACACCGTAAACTCACTAAAAACTCATTACTCGTTACCAGTGGACAATTTAATAAAATTATGAAATAATAAAAAAATATCCCGAGAAACAACTTAATGAGAACCCCAAGGCACCAAGCGGTCGAATTAAGTAACATTGTATAAAGATGAATCTGGGGTAACCAATTTTAAATTGTTTACCGTTTTTGCACGAACAGCATTTTCAAAATCTTTGTCGAGCTAAAATTCACATCGCGAATCTAATGAATGCAAACTCTTGTCGTTTAGCCACGAAATAATACCTTATATTATCTCGTCAGGTCATGACAGGCATTGGTGGGAGAAAGGCAGAAAACAAATCAATACAAAGCAATCGTCCCTGACGACAAAACTACTGAAGGATAAAGTTTTAACACGACGTCAGTTGGACAGGCTGCAAGAGGAATGGAGGCAGAACTTTACGAAACATAGAAAATCGCACAATAAATGATTTTTCTTAAAAAATGTCTTCATAGTATGTTTGTGTAATTTCACAAGAAGCAACTACAAGTTTGCAATTTTGCAATTGGCAATGTGAATCAAGAAGGTTTCCATGACGGCCGAGGTAAAAAGGTTTTATTCGAGTGGAAACACCGTAAAGGAATCGTATTGGAGTGATTGAGATCTCCCACGCAATGAGTTTGAGTGAGCTTTTAGAAAACAGTCGTATATCCTGAAGTCCGCCCAGTTTTGTCATTGTTGTTAATCTTGCTCACGCCCATTCAATGATGTTTGATTTTGGCCAAGTTTCGTATGTTTTGAATTTCTTTGAGCATAATCTCTATCTCTTATTCATTTAGACATAGTGAACTAAAATCAGTAAAATGGTAATAAATATACTGACAGGAAAGGATACTTTAAAAGATATAGCGATGCAATGTGTAAATACAGCGTTTTTCACACTACCAACTGTACCCCCCCCCCCCTTTAACTTCGCCTATGGTTAAAACATTGTGAACTCACTAGGTACCCCAAACGACAATTTAATAAAATACAAGATATAAAACCTATTCCAATATAGACAACGAGTTAATTGTGTCACTTAGGCCCCGTTCACACCGATACCGGGTTGCATCGGAGCGCAACGATTTCCGTACCGGATTAGGCTGCTGTTTACACTATACTCCACTGTAATCCGGTACATGCCACGGAGCGAAAATCGCTCCGGTTTTGGGAGCAGTGCAAACAGACCAATCCGATACAAAACTTATTTTGGGGCGAAATTTGTAAGCTAAGTCGTGCGTTACGAGAATGACTCAGACAGTATTTGGCGGGAAACCGGCTTTGTTTCTATGCATGGCAACATCAAAAAGTGATGAGCTGGCAACAAAGCGAAACAGTGCAATCGGCATAGTGTAAACACCCTTAATTTTCTGCTTTGGAGTGAAAATTAATTCGGTATGGAAAGTAATCCGGTATAGTGAAAACGGCCAAACGGGGCTTTAAAGAAAGTAGAACATTTGTTAGGTCTAACTGATATCTCTATGCTAACTAACTTAAACTTTACTACTTTACAACTACTTTTCTTTACAAGGTCTTGCTAAAAAATGATAAAAGAGAAATAAGCAATAAGAAATGTCTGCCAGAAACGGAAGCGAAATATTGTAAAAAACATGCAGGGACTAGTAAGTTTTCTCTTCTCCGTTTCTAGTCCATTTACAGATGCCTCACTTGATAGAGAGTTTCTGTACATTTTCGGCAATGTCCTCAACGGATTTGTCAGTCATTTTAATACCCTCACGATCTTTGGGTTTCTCTTTGCCCTCGAAAACCAAAACACTTAAAATAGGATCGTGATCCAGTACATCTGTAGCTTCTGATACTTCGGCACCTTTCTTCATAGATTCCTGTACATTTTCCCAGTCATCTTCAGTGAAATCGCTCTCTGCTGATTCCTTGTCTTCAAAGCGGATAACTCTCGACCACGACACTTTTAAGATGTAATTTGGATAATAAACGAAGTTGTCTTTGTAAGGTATACCGAGACTCGATTCTTCTAGGCGAGGATTTAACTCGTAGGATGGGATCGTTACATTTTTGGGAAGATGCTTCACATCAAACTCCAATGTATCAAAATTGAAATCACCACCAATTATGTACGAACTTATGTTCATGGTTTTAATTACAATTGAGAGAAACTCCAGGAGGGTTTTAAATGCTTCGTGTCTGGCTTTAATCGTGGTGCGGCTGTATTGACCGTGATATGAAACGGCCAATGTACTTTCGCCCTGCTTCGTTGTTAGCTTTACCATCGATATTCTAGACAGTAGCTCACTGGACCCTGCATTTGTTTTCAGCAATCGCTCATGTATTTTCTTTATTTGTGTGTTCGTGGTTTCAAATCCTATCGTTAAGCCATCAATGTTTTCGACTGTCCATATCACAGCTGCCTGATCTCCGTTAATAACATAAGTACAATCGTCAGGAACTATTTCTGGAAATTTTGCAGGCGGCTCCTGGCAGAAGATTATCGCAGAGGGAAACACCCGTAATATAACCGTCAAAAAATCTCTTCGTTTCTGGGCAATTCCTCTTCCTTTGGCTTTTTTCGAGCTATGCATGTTTATCGTCATTATAAAAAATGACGGATGCTCGGCTGATTTCAGACGTGCTTCGGAGACCGATTTCTTAAAGTCTTCGATAATCTTTTCCTTATCTTCACCAGCTTCAATTTCTTTCTCTATTTCATCGATTATAAATGACAAATTTCCTTCGCAGATCGTAGGATCATCCATCGACCTGTCCATCTGACTGAATTAATTTTCGTACAAGAGTCAAGAAATGATTATTTTCTCTGTCCGTCGAACTTGTAATGATGCAGTGAACTTACTGAACTACATCCAAACAAGTCCACTAATCTTCGTCGCGGTAGTGAAAACAGTATTATACTTAAAAGTTAAGTCGACACCAGTTGGCTACACTAGATGCAAGTGATTGTAAGAAACTAAACGAGTCTTTAGTTTTGTTTGCATTCGCTGTGTACATTATTGCATAGCGTCGACTGCGTCGTCACCTGTCAAATCGTGAAATTGGACACCGGCAGAGTAACTAAAATTTACATGCCCACTGAGCTATATATATAGAATTCCTGGAAGTTATATATAAAATTCCAAGAAGCTATATATAGAACTCCTGGAGTGGTGCCACTGACATTGGGCCCTAAGCCTGGTTCTCGGGTTAAATCGCCGACCGTCGGCGACGCTAATTGTTGGTGATCACTGGAAAATGAAGTCCTTTGTTATTCTGAGTAAATTTTCTTTGTCACCGGCCACCAATATTTAAAACATCGTCGACTGTCGGTGATTAGAGAGAACCAGGCTTTACTTCGAGTACTGTCGACCGCTGGTCTGGTGGATCGCAGTGATGACAGGGGACGCTACTAATTAAAGGGGATGTTACTAATTAAATACTAAATTATAAGGAGGAGAAACCTTAAGAAACAGGCAAGAGAAATGAAAGTGATGTCCCAGAATTTAACCAACTATCCAATGTCCTGGAGGAAACCTTATTCACGCCCATTCCCTGATGATTTCGGGCTAGCAAACTCATTACTCGTTACCAGTGGACAATTTAATAAAATGATGAAATAATAAAAAAATATTCCGAGGAACAACTTAATGTGAACCCCAAGCGGTCGATTAAGTAACATTGTATAAAGATTCTTAATGTGAAATGTGTTATATAGAACTCACTACGTAATATATAAAAAAATCATTCGAAATATTGTTTCCGAATTGTTTCCTGTACTTTTTTAAGTGGTTTTTATGGGCTGTTTTAGTATATGAAATCCCAAAGAGAGTCACGTAATTATCTAGGATGATATAATTAAGGAATACCTAAGTATGTTTTTACGTTCTGTGAAGTTACGAGTAATCATCCAAAATTGCCTGGACTGAACCGCTTTGGGATGCTTCAGCGACAGCTTTCAGTTTCAACGATATGCCAGAGAAGTCCACTTCCCTCGACAACAGGAAAGTGCTTTCTTTGATCTTTTTCTGTTCCTCTGGGGTAAACATGTCAACAATCTCCTTCAGTGGCGTCAGCAATGGCTCCAAATAATACAAAAGACGCGCTTCGTTATTCAGCACTCGGCTTTTCCCCCAAATATCTGTCATGACGTGGCACGTTTTCATCAGTTTGTCGCTCAGCTCGACGGATCTTTTTTGGGCATTTTGAAGATTTTGCAATTGTTGTTCTTGACTTCGCAATTCCTTCTCGGTCATCTGCTTCTGACTTTCCTCATCTCTCAATTGTTGACAAATGTTTTCCTTTTCGCTTTTCTTCGCCTGCACTCGATTTTCGCAATCTTTCACGTTACTTTCTGCCGTAGAGACACCACTTTTTGCAGATTTGACATCATTTTCGAGTGCTGTGAAGCTTGCTGCCAACAACCCTGTCCCGACAAACGGTCCAACTACGGGAACAAAGAATGATAGAATTCCCCCAACTCTTGCAGTATTTTGTTGTTCTTTTTTTCTTCTCAACTTTCCTTCCGCGTCGCCAAGAGTTTGCTGGGCACTACTTAACGCACTTTTCGCTTGGACAACATTCTGTTCGCTGTCATTAATTTGTTGGTTCAGACCCTGAAGTTGCTGATTTATGCATTCCACTTTCATTTGCCTCTCTGAAACAGTGGTCTTCACGCCGTTAATTGTGGCTACTCGCACCTCAATTTCTTTACAAAGACGTGCTTTTTCGCTTTCCCAAAATTTCTTCACCGTGCTAAAGTGTTTGTGGGCCTGATTTATAGGAAGACCAAACTCTCGGCAATGCTTCTTATAGTTTCTGCAGGCGTTAATCCACTGATCTCAGCCTCACACAGCAATTCAATTGCTTTGTCCAGCGATTGCATTCCACCAACAAATTCTCTCTGTGCCTCATCTCTTTGTACAATAGAATAGTCAGATGAGCTCTCAGACATCGTTATAACGAAAGACAAAACAAATTCAAGTCAAGCAGCATTCAAGTCAAATCAATTACGATCTCAGAGAAAGTATCTTTTCATCTTCATTTATATACAGTCTGTCTGGTAACTCTGGTTAAAAGATGGGTATTTCCCCAATTTCCTGCCTGATTCCTGGTAACGTGATTGCTAAAAACACTTGTTGCATTTTGATATTTTTAGAAGCATGTCATGTCATTTTGACCTTAGTTGAAAAATCCAAGATAAAAAAACTTCATGAGTTGGCTCAGTGACTAAGAGCTTATATTTGCCTAGTCATTGTACATTCAGTCTGCTTGAAACTCTGGCTACGATAACGAAAATCTGAATTCTTGTATAAAGCTCAAGGTGGAAGGATTACTAAATGAACGAGCTTAGTATATTTTCTTCTGTAAGCTACCATGCGCTCTTGCGTATATACCTTGTCTCGAGTCTTGACTGTCGGTCGCTAGACGGTTAATATGGGAAGAGATATGTACATATTCATGTATTCATGTCATATAACCGCAAAAAAATACATTTAGAATGAATCAGTCGGGAACAATCGGGCATAAGACAAACATATCAATATGCTGTGCATTTTCCCAATCAAGCTGATAGCATGCAATGGCTCAGCCGCCCGCTTTCTTTGTAAACAAACGCCCCCTGCTGATACATGATCCTTAGAAGAAAATTGAAATGAAAACATTTCCGGATTTCCCCATGACTATGCAGTTTCGAACGCAGTCACATGCAGCCCCTTGATGCCAAAATATTGATGCGATGTGATAAATCTATATAATAAAAATAAAACCAAAACCAGCGCATGTATATCAGTTCTGGGCTCGTTTTTGATGGTGCTTATGTCATTTAAGTTTCTGTTTTGGATAATTTAAAAATGTATTGTATGCAAAATAACCATTTCAAATCACCTTATCACCTGGTCTGAAATGGTTAAGTTTTATTGCCTATTCCATGGTCACAACATCTGAATTGGGTTAATTTGCACGCAAGCTGAAATGGTCTATTGTAAGTAATGATACACACGTTGTTTTGAACAATATTCAACTTCCAGAAAAAATGTTCAATCGATGACGTTATGCAGAAGGTTTTTTATTGAACATGTTGTGTGATAGAAAAATATGCAGTATTATCAGTATTTATGGCATGAAGGAGGGATAAAATGAAACACTCCAGGTCTTTGTCAGGCCAATGAGAGGCATCGTGAGCTAATTACTTGCAAGAGATTTCCGGGCACCTCCGAGCCCCGCGCAAGTATGTTACCCTGTTACCCCTTGTCTCATATGGCACGCTTTTGCAATACATCTCACTCTCAACATTTCTCTTATACCAAGATCTCTTCAACCACATTATATCAATGAATCTATCATATGCAGCAAAACCCCGATTCCTTGACTCGAATTCGAATTCATAGTACAAGTATTGTATATGGGGAAGTGAAATTAATTTGTTATGATCTCCCTCAAAAAGCATGCAACTTTGCATGAACTACGAATTCGGCGTTTTCCTAAGCGCTCAGCATAAATAATACCATAAGTCATAGAGTTATATATGCAGTTGAATCACACGAAAAAGTTTATTCAGTTTACTTATGAACTGATTTACATCATTCCTTTTCTTGCAAGACTACATATGGGTAATTATATTTAATGTTGTATAGATTCTGAACTTTGTATTTTATATAATATACGAAAAAATCTTTCTAAATGAGGTCTAATTGTTTAATGTTTACACCAGTTGGAAATGTTTCCACACTATTCTTTATACTATTTTCTAAATAATTTTCAAAGCTTCTCAAACAGAGGGTCATATATCTGTAGCATGTCTATGTTCTGATATTTAATATTTGAATATTTTTCAGTCATGGTATTTAATAGTCAATAGCCATTGAAGTTAAGTTTATTGATCCAAAATTGCCTGGACTGAACCTCCATTGGATGCTTCAGCGACAGCTCTCAGTTTCAACGATATGCCAGAGAAGTCCACTTCCCTCGACAACAAGAAAGTGCTTTCTTTAATCTTTCTCTGTTCCTCTGGGGTAAACTTGCCAACAATCTCCTTCAGTGGCGTCAGCAATGGATCCAATGAATACAAAAAACGAGTTTCGTTTTTCAGCACTCTTTTCCCCCAAATCTCTGTCATGACGTGGCACGTTTTCATCAGTTTTTCGCTCAGCTCCACAGAACTTCGCAGCTCATCGTTAAGATATTGCAATTGTTGTTCTTGAATTCTTAATTTTTGCTCGGCTATCTCCTTCTGTTCTTTTTCTCTTCCTAGTTGTTCACGAAGGTTGTCTCTTTCGTGTCTCTTCGCCTCTAATCTGTTTTCGCAGTCTCTCACCTTGTCCTCAGCCGTAGAGACACCACTTCTGGCTGATTTGACATTATCTTCGAGTGCTGTGACTGTGAGGCTTACCGGCATTATCATGGTTGGCATAGCAACCCATCCAATTACAGGAACAGCTGACATTGCATCTCTCGCTTCAAAGACGATATCTTGTTCGCTCTTTTTGTCGCTTAACTTTTTCTCTGCATCTCTAAGACTGTTCTGGGCGCTGTTTAGTGAACTACGCGCTTGGTTAACACTTCGTTCGGTATCACTAATTTGCTTGTCCAGATCCTGAAGCTCGTGATTCATGCGTTCCACTTTTATTCTCCTTTCGGAAACAATATTCTTAACGCCGTTAATCGTGGATATTCGTCTCTCAATCTCTTCACATTGACGTGCCTTTTCAGCCTCCCAAAAATTCTTCGCTGAGGTTAGGTGTTTGTGGGCCTGATTTATGGGACGACGCATATTTTTGGCAACTTCTTTTATACGTCTTGCTGGCGTTGTTCCACTAATGTCAGCTTTACGTACCACTTCAATTGCCTTGTCCAACGATTGTATTCCTAAAACGAATTCTCTCTGCGCCTCGTCTTTACTTCGAACAACAACAGAGTGATCATTGCGTACAATAGATTGATAAGATGAAAAGAAGTCAAGCAACCTAGACAAGCATAAGCCCATGACGAAGAACAGCAGTATATTGCAAGTGATATCATATGTGATCTATGAGAAAATGGCTTTTTGTCCTCAATTATATACAGTCTGTCGGGGGGGGGTTCCAAGATTGGTATTTCCCCGAAGATGGTATCACACAAACAATTGCTATCCCTTTCTGTGCCCACCCATGCGTGAAAGCATAGAATGTTTACATGCAAACCAGAAAGATCCAACACAGGTCGAGCAATACTGCACAATAATACAGTCAATACAAATCATTTGGGATCTCAGACAATTTCTCTTTTTGTTTCAGTTTCCGCTACAGAGTGTCCATGGGTATTTCCCAGTAAATATTTTAAACATGTCTATTTCCAAGTAACGCATATTCCTAAAATCACTTGTTGTTACCGAGAAACGAGGTTGACTTGAGCCTGGCACTTCTCGTGCGTTGAACGCATTCAAAACAATAAATATTGGATCATTTTAGCTTGCTAACTATTGTTTTTATTAATGTGTTTGGCGCAAGAGATGTGGCAAGCTTGACATGAATCTTAGAAATGTGATATTACCTGTTCAAGTTAAAGTTCAAGTGTAAAGAAATAAACCTGCAGGGACTCGTTGAAACATTTTAGAAACTACATTTTAGAGGTGTATAGAAATGGTATTTATTTGTTTATTACATCATTGCCCAACTTGCTAAAAAGATACCACACTAGCTATATATGATACGTTTTCTGATACGTTATTCCTTTAAGCTTCCAGAAAAATGTTCAATCGATGACGTTATGCAGAAGGTTTTTTATTGAACATGTTGAGTGCATGATAGGAAAATATGCAGTATTGTCAGTATTTATTGCATGGAGGAAGGATATAATGAACACTCCAGGTCTTTGTAAGGCCAGGGAGAGGCATCGTGAGCTAATTACTTACAAGAAATTTCCGGGCACCTCCGAGCCCCGCGCGAGTATGTTACCCTGTTACCCCTTGTCTCATATGTCACGCTTTTGCAATACATCTCACTCTCAACATTTCTATTATAACAAGATCTCTTCAACCGCATTATATCAATGAATCTATCATATGCAGCAAAACCCCGATTCTTTGAACTTTCTCAACTCGAATTCGAATTCATAGTACAAGTATTGTATATGGGGAAGTGAAATTAGTCTGTTATGATCTCCCTCAAAAAGCATGCGACTTTGCATAAACTACGAATTCGGCGTTTTCCTAAGCGTTCAGCATAAATAATACCATAAGTCATATAGTTATATATGCAGTTGAATCACACGAAAAAGTTTATTCAGTTTACTTATGAACTGATATACTGGCATCATTCCTTTTCTTGCAAGACTACATATGGGTAATTATATTTAATGTTGTATAGAACTTTGTATTTTATATAATATACGAAAAAATCTTTCCAAATTAGGTTTAATTGTTCACACCAGTTGGAAATGTTTCTACACTATTCCTTATACTTTTTTCTAAATAATTTTCAAAGCTTTTATCAAACACCTCTCAAACAGAGGGTCATAATGATATATTTATAGCATGTCTATGTTCTGGTATTTTTTCAGTCTGGTATTTAATAGTCCATAGCCATTGAAGTTAAGTATATTGATCCAAAATTGCCTGGACTGAACCTCCATTGGATACTGCAGCGACAGCTCTCAGTTTCAACGATATGCCAGAGAAGTCCACTTTCCTCGACAACAGGAAAGTGCTTTCTCTGATTTTTCTCTGTTCCTCTGGAGTAAACATGTCAACAATCTCTTTCAATGGCGTCAGCAATGGCTCCAATGAATACACAAGACGCGCTTCGTTTTTCAGCACTCGGCTTTTCCCCCAAATATTTGTCATGACGTGGCACGTTTTCATCAGTTTGTCGCTCAGCTCCACAGATCTTCGCAGCTCATCTTTAAGATATTGTAATTTTTGTTCTTGAATTATTAATATTTCCTCGGCTATCATCTTCTGCTCTTCTTCTCTTCCTAGTCGTTCACGAAGGTTGTCTCTTTCGTGCCTCTTCGCCTCTAACCTGTTTTCGCAGTCTCCCACGTTGTCCTTAGCCGTAGAGACACCACCTCTGGCTGATTTAACATTATCTTCGAGTGCTGTGAGGCTTACCACCATCATGGTTGGCCCAACAATCCATCCAACTATAGGAATAATTGAAATTCCAGCTCCCACTCCAAAGACAATATCTTGTTCTTTCTTTTTGTCGCTTAACTTTTTCTGTGCATCTCTAAGACTGCTCTGGGCGCTGTCTAGTGAACTTCGCGCTTGGTTAACACTTCGTTCGCTATCATTAATTTGCACGTTCAGATCCTGAAACTCATGATTCATGAGTTCCACTTTTATTCTCCTTTCGGAAACAATATTCTTAGCTCCGTTAACCGTGGATATTCCTCTCTCAATCTCTTCACATTGACGTGCCTTTTCGCCCTCCCAAAATTTCTTCGCTAAGGTTAGGTGTTTGTGGGCCTGGTTTAAAGGACGGCGCATATTTTGGGCCACTTCTTTTATACGTCTTGCTGGCGTTGTTCCACAGATCTCAGCTTTACACAACAATTCAATTGACTTGTCCAGCGATTGTATTCCTAAAATGAATTCTCTCTGCGCCTTTTCTTTTCTTCGAACAACAAGTGAGTGATCATACCATACAATAGATTGATCAGATGAAAACAAGCTAAGTAACGCAGACAAGTATAAGCCCATGACGAGGCATAAGCAGTATATTGCAAGCGAAATCGCATGTACAACAACAGAATGAACATTGCGTACAATAGATTGATCAGATGAAAACAAGTCAAGCAACCTAGACAAGTATAAGCCCATGACGAAAAATAAGCAGTATATTGCAAGTGATATCGGATGTGATCTCTAAGAAAACGGCTTTTTGTCCTCAAATATATATAGTCTTTCGGAGGGGGTTTCCAAGATTGGTATTTCCCCGAAAATTGTATCACACAATTAAACAATTGCTATCCCTTTCTGTGGCATCTGTGCCCACCCTTGCGTGAACCAGAAAGATCCAACACAGGTCGAGCAATACTGCACAATAATACAGTCAAATGAGTCAATACAAATCATTTAGGATCTCAGACAATTTCTCTTTTTGCTTCAGTTTCCGCTACAGAGTGTCCATGGGTATTTCCCAGTAAATATTTTAATCATGTCTATTTCCAAGTAACGCATATTCCTAAAATCACTTGTTGTTACCGAGAAACGAGGTTGACTTGAGCCTGGCACTTCTCGTGCGTTGAACGCATTCAAAACAATAAATATTGGATCATTTTAGCTTGCTAACTATTGCTTTTATTAATGTGCTTGGCGCAAGAGATGTGGCAAGCTTGACATGAACCTTTGAAATGTGATATTACCTGTTCAAGTTCAAGTTCACGTGTAAATAAATAAACCTGCAGGGACTCGTTGAAACATTTTAGAAACTACATTTAAGAGGTGTATAGAAATGGTATTTATTTGTTTATTACATCATTGCCCAACTTGCTAAAAAGATACCACACTAGCTATATATGATACGTTTTCTGATACGTTATTCCTTTAATATGTGCTACTACGTCCCATGCTCTTTTATACGTACCACTCACTACCACTGGACTCATTTTGATACTCCTCGTTATCATGTAAAGCTAACGAAGTTTGGTCTAGTTAAGATAGTCAGTATCACTTTCAAAAACGGCGTCATTTGGAACTAGTTTTTTCGCCGGCTCTCTATAGTATAGAGAGAGAAGCGCATACAGCCATCGTCTCAATCTTATTCTAAACTTGGTTGGATTGTGTGTTTGTTTAACAACTATGGTTTGACAGTCTACAAACCACGGCGGCATTACGTATACTGTGCGTGTAACACCAGCAAACTGAGAGAACTTAACAATTCCTAGTCCACATTTGCAAACTTTTTATTAAAAACTTTATTACATCACATCTCAAACCGAAGGTCACATATTTATAGGATGTTTATGTTTTGATGTCAATTTTTGAATATATTCAGTCATGGCATTTAACAATAAGTCTATATTCAGTGAACTTAAGTATATTGTTCTAAAATTGCCTGGACTGAACCGCTTTGGGATGCTTCAGCGACAGCTTTCAGTTTCAACGATATGCCAGAGAAGTCCACTTCCCTCGACAACAGGAAAGTGCTTTCTTTAATCTTTCTCTGTTCCTCTGGGGTAAACATGTCAACAATCTCCTTCAGTGGCGTCAGCAATGGCTCCAAAGAATACAAAAGACGAGCTTCGTTATTCAGCACTCGGCTTTTCCCCCAAATATTTGTCATGACGTGGCACGTTTTCATCAGTTTTTCGCTCAGTTCGACAGACCTTCGCTGCTCATTTTTAAGATTTTGCAATTTTTGATCTTGAAGTATTAATGCAAGCTCGGCTATCATCTTCTCACTTTCTTCCCTTTCAAGTTGTTCACGAAGACAGTCTCTTTCGTATTTCTCCCACTCTAACCAGACTTCGCAGTCTTCCACGTTTTCCTCAGCCGAAATAACTTTACTTCTGGCTAATTTAACGTTATCTTCGAGTACTGTGAGGCCTACCGCCACCATGGTTAGCCCAGGAATCCATCCGACTATAGGAATAAGTGTTAATAGAAGTCCTACTCCTATGACAACGCCTTGTGTTTCCCTTTTGTCGTGCAACTTTCTTTGTGCAACTCTAAGACTCTCCTGGGCTCTCTTTAGTGCACTCCTCGCTCGCTTAACAATTCGTTCGCTTTCATTAATTTCCTCGTTCAGATCCTGTAGTTGATCATTCATGAGTTCTACTATTATTTTCTTATCAGAAACAATATTCTTAACGCCGTTAATCGTGGATATTCGTTTCTCAATTTCTTCACATTTACGTGCCTTTTCGTCTTCCCAAAATTGCTTCGCTGAGGTTAGGTGTTTGTGAGCCTGATTTATGGGACGACGCATATTTTGGGCCACTTCTTTTACACGTCTTGCTGGCGTTGTTTCACTGATGTCAGCTTTACGTACCACTTCAATTGCCTTGTCCAGCGATTGCATTCCTAAAACTAATTCTTTCTGCCCCTTGTCTTTTCGTACAACAGACTGATGAAATGAAAACAAGTCAACGAACCTAGTCACGATTAAGCCCATGACGAAGAACAACTATGAACAGTATAATGGAAGTGAAGTGGGGTGCAATCTCTGGGAATATAGCTTTTGTCCTCAATTATTCAGGTTCCAAGATGCCATTTCCACGAAAATTCTAACACACAAACAAATGCTTTCTGTGCTCCATCTTTGCGCGGCTGAAAGCATTACCATAGAATGTTTAGATGCAAACCAGAAAGATCTAAGGCCAAGACAGGAGCAATAATGTACAATAATACACCGTCAATACAAATCTTTTCCGATCTCAGACAATTTGCTTTTCCTTCAGTTACAGCTACACTCTGTCCATGGGTATTTCCCTGTAAATATTTTAAACATGTCCATTTCCAAGTAACGCGTATTCCTAAAATCACTTGTTGTTACCGAAGGAACGAGGTTGACTTGAGCCTCGCATTTTTCGTGCGCCGAACGCATGCAAAACAATAAATATTGGATTATTTTAGCTTGCTAACTATTGCTTTTAATCGATTTAATGTGTTTGGCGTAAGAGAGGTGCATGACATGCTTGACATGAACTTAGAAATGTGATATTACAAGTTCAAGTTCACGTGTAAATGAATGAACCTGCAGAGGCTTGTTGAAACATTTTAGAAACTACATTTTAGACGTGCATAGAAATGGTATATATTTATTTATCGCATTATTGCTCAACTTGCTAAAAAAATACCACTCAATATATGTAGCATACATCAATACGTTTTCTGGGAACCGTGTTTCAATGATCATGAGTTGCGAGATGGTTCTGCCTAATTCGTGGTATTGATTCAGTATTGCGTGTCCTTTAAAACCTTCATTTTGATATTTCTCGTTATCTTGTGATGCTAACGACGTTTGGCTAGTGAAAATTGTATCACTTTCAAAAACGGCGTCATCGAAACTAGTCTTTTTAGTATCCGCACAAAACTAAAGCGTGCATTGTAAATATTGAAACAAAAATTTCTTGGGAAGTGACCTTTGACCAGCAACCTTATAAGGAGACATGTAAATACCATATTCGCGATTTCGAAAGGTGGTTTCCCTGGAATTGGGCTAAATATATTCGGGGAAAACCTGCAATACTTGTAGATATAAGGGAACTAATTGAATGAAACAGCTCATTTTATTTAAGCTCATCTCACTATACCATCTGCAGGGGTTAACGCGGATTTCATTAAAAGCTACTATAAACAGGTAAGGATAGTTGAGTTCGTATGTAAATTTGAGGATTTCACACCTACAGGATCTTTTATGATTTATAGCCATGTACATATATAGACCATGATTTGCTGATAATTTTTCCCGTCGTGACATCTTGCATATGTTATTTTGTATATCAGTAAAACTAAGATGGAGTTATGGAGCTGGTAGATGGAGCTCGTGGCTGGTACTAAGGTTAAGATGAACGTCGTTTAGAAGGGGAGGGAAGAGCAAGTTTGATAGCTTTGTCTGAATCTTGAAAACGCATTTTTTCGAAAACCCTAGCATAAGCAATGATATCCGTGAAATCTACTAAAACCATGGGTACATGCACCTTATAGATCCTTTTTTTGCCCGCCATTCAGACGCATGTGATGTTGAAAAGGCCTTTCGCATTTCAGGTTTTGAATTTCAAAGATGGCTGGTAATACGAAACGGGAACTCGACAAAGCTATAGCGGGTATGAACAAAGGAAGCGACAAGAAAGAAGAGATGCGAATGATGATGGCACCTTACGCAAAATGGGACAGCTTCCTTTCCCCGGCTCCTTTGTCCATCGCTTTGCTCGGCCAGTTGATTCTCATATCTTCCGACGCCGATTTCAGTCTTCAAAATGAAAAAGGAAACCTGAAATTCAAGTATCTCAAATACCCCGACTCGTTCAGGGCCTGTCTAGTCCAAGTTAGCAATCGAGGATGGGATGCCTTCAACAGGGCGCACACCTCCATGGATCAAATCCGTCTTTTCTCGAACAACGTCGACAAGCACGTCAAAACAGCGGTGAAATTTCTGGTCGCTGGCACGGCGGAAGATATCGAATTGATGGTCCCCGATGCACTTAAAAACATCGAACGAATCGCAGACGATTGTTTAGAGCTGTCCACGTCGGTCGAGAAAGAGTTCGTTGACGTGATGAAGTTGATAGCCGAACTGCTCGAAGCGTGTACGCAGAAAAAAGGGCAGCAGGAGAAGAGTTTGAGAGATGCTAAGATCGCTCGCTCGGTGGCCGAACAGCACATGAAGGCGATAGATGCTGAGAAAGAACAAGCTGAGAAACGACAAAAACAATTGGAAAATCAAATGAAGGAAGCGGATGAAGAGTTCAAAAGTGCTATCAACTCTATGCCCGGCGCATGGGATATGATTGGTCTGGCCTGCGCTGATACCCTGATGAGTGTTACTCGCGCATTCACCTCAATGCCCAACATGATGATGGGGAAATCGTCCTCGCAAGCCCCTGATGCCAGCGGAGCGGTCGGAACTTCTCGTCCAAAGAATCCCGAGAGCGTGATGGAGATTTATAAGATCGTGCCTGATATTTACTGCGAAGTAGAAATTCTCGGAAATCTTGCATCGAACGGCATGAAAGGTGGTGACGAGGCGAAGAAGGCGGTAGGGCACGCAAAAAGAAAACTTGAAAGGATTAAGAAAAATCACCTGGACAAAGCGAAGGTGTCGGAGACAAAAAGGAAAGCGATGAAGCTATGCAAAGGAGCGATTGATCTTTGCCAAGCCTTGTCGTCTATTAAACCACGAATGGCCGGCTCCGAAGAAGAATTTGAAAAGATCAATGAAAAAGCGGAAATTCTTCAGGAAGAAGCTGACACCTTACTAGCCGCATCGCACGCCTTTCTTGGTAGCAACACTCTTCCGAATACGTCTCCAAATCTCGCCAAACAGCCAGCTTCTGACGGCGACGGTAGTTTGGTCCAGCAAACCATGAATAGTTATCGCTTCAAGACGGAAACAGCAAAGGAAATGTTGAAGGATTCTCGTCGTGCATACGACAAATCCTGCGAGGAAGTCGCCCAGAAGGCAAGGGAGGTCAGTAATCTTCTCGTGGAAATGAAAGAACTCGATCTCAAGGAGATAGACATTGAAAAAATCAGAAAGACGTTGATGAGGGGAATCAAAGCTCTTGGTGAACTAAGAGAACAGTGGGGCAAGCTGGTCGAGTTCTTCCAAATGCTGGCCAGTATAGTCAAGTGTTGCCTTAACACGTCCCTCAAGAGCTTCGTACAAACCTCGAGTAATCGTTTAGCTCAAGGTAACAGCGGAATGTCGGCTGCCATGCGTGACGTCATCTTCGAGCAAGCCTTTCAAGCCAATCAGATCGCGTATGTGGTTCACAGCATCTCCAGTGTGTACGTGGAAGTATCACATAAGCATTTGATGGAGCGCATCACCTGCCTGGGTAAGTTGATCGCGCTGGACCCAGTCACGGATGAACACGAGATCGATCTCAAGCGAGAGGAACTGAACCGAGGTTGTGAGGAAGCTCAGGAGGCCATTCGTAAGATTGCTCTTCAGAAGAAGAGGGAAATGGATAAAGCATTTGACGACAGGATTGGAAGAATCGAGAGCGAAGTGGAAACATTGCTACCACCAATTTCGGAAGCGAAGGCAACGGAGATAAGAGAAAAGGTTCAATCCACCATTGCAAGTTCAAAAGCTGAAATTGAGGCCGAGGTAGACGACTTGTGTTGAACAGTTCGTTACTTTTTCAAATATTTTATAACCATAATAAACAGTGGATTTTAATTAAGTAGAAAAATTACAAATTCCTATTAGTTTAGTATACAGAACTCAAACTCACACTCAAACGATTTGAGCATCAGGAAACATTGTTTCGTAGCTTATAAAGTTTGTTGGATTGCATGTATTTGTGTTTGGAGTATTCAAGTTTTTGTATTGAAAGTTATTGTTAAGGAATTCAAGTTTGTGAACTTTACTGTGTTGTTAATTGTCTTGTGAGCATCCACATGCATCATTCAAGGCTTCGTTGCGGCCCAAATGCTTGCCGCCCAAAGGACGAATACTTTCGACACGGAACATATCTCAATACGAGTGAACCTTTCTGCAGGTAATCGAAACAAAAGAATATAAATCAATTTGTAAAAATACCTGCAAAGGTAAATTGTTCTCATTCAAATTGCGGTGATTGGCCAAGGTTTCAGTTGTCTCCAATGTCAAGGATGAAATTGAGGCATAAGTAGTCCAGCAAACACAGACGTATTGACAACGGACGATAATGCACAACGAGATAAGATTTATCAATTTGTTGAAATCGCGTACTTTTTAAATCAGACGTAGGCTATATATGATGCAACATTTATAAATATATATATGACTTACCGGAAGCTGTTCGCAAAAGAACTTTTACTTTGCCCAAAATAATGAACATTAAATTAAAATTGTTTTAAACTTTCGATATCATGCATGCACGTATACTGATCTCACACTTTGGTGTTTATATACAGCTATATTTACAAATTTGCACTTAGCATTTTTCACAGACCAATCATGCATGCATCCATGCGTCGAGGGAAAAAATCCTAGCGGGAAACGAGTTCAATTCAATTCAAAATTTATTTCACACGTTTTACAAAAAGATATAGTTACAATTAATTACATTTCAAGATCATCACAATAGAAAGAAAAAGAGAATTAATATGATATTATATCGTGTACGGTGGTCAAAGTAGCTGAGAAGCTTTCGAGTTGGCCACCGTTTAAAAATTTGTTGTTTTAGGAATCGTTTACATAATAGACCTTTGAGGTGCTTACGTCATGTCGGTCTCGAACAATGAATCGCAATGCAATCTGGGAAACAAGTGGGACAAAATTGTATAGATAGAAAACTGTGTGACGTAAGCACTTCAGAAGGCTATTGTGAAACATGTGTTTGGTGCGGCTGGATCAGGATCTGGATTCTACGTTTGGTCTAAAATAAGTTTTCTTGTATATTTAGATCTAAATATTCAGACTGAAGTTGACTGCTTGATATGTAGGTCTATAGTTTCCCAAATATTGGATGAGGAAAAGAGCGGTTTTTGAAAAGTGTGTTTGCCGTAATTTGTACGCGCTTTTGGTCTATTAAAGTTTTGATTTGCTGCGAATCTTGTGTTATACGAATGACAGGTGGATGCAGTGAATATAGAGTTTGAAAAAACTGACGGTATTAGGTTGTTACGGATTTTATATGTAAAAATTGCATTTTTCAATTTAAAAACATTATCAACATTGAGTATTCCTAATAGATTGAGATAGGTACTGGCATCTCTTTTATGTGCAAAGAAGATGTAAACATGCAAGCTATATGTCTTCGGGGACACTGGACAGAAATTTAATACAACTGAACAAATCTCGGTAAAGTGAAAACGAATTCAAACAAATTCAAATTAATTTTAGTATTTCAAATCGAATATATCAACTCAGAGTTCATTTTGAAGAAGTTATTATGTTTCTTCAGTGCAACGGTATATTATTCACACTGTTGTGATGTTGATCTTCAAGGGAAAAATGCAGGTTATTCTAATAATGGAGACGAAGATCCTTTGGAAAGTGACCCGAAGGCAAAAAAATTTTAAGAGGCCCTGGAATCCTGTATAGTGTAAACGGGATCTGTATATGAACAAATTTACATTTGCAGAGGAACAATTCATACATCACTATATATATAGCATGCAGCATTGACGCAATTTGGCTTTTTACCAAGTGCTCTGGAAATGACACCGTGAAAAAGTGTATTAGTTTAAATTACTTTTACATTATTTCTTTTCTTACAACACATGCATGCAAGTGCACATTAAGTAAAGATCACTACGTAATAGATAAAGAATTCTAAACCGTTTTATAAAGCCTTACTATATTAAATCCCAAAAAGAGTCACGCAATTTAGCATGAAATAATTAAAGAATACCTAATACGTTTTTACGTCCTGTGAAGTTAGGAGTAATCATCCAAAATTGCCTGGAATGAACCGCCATCGGATGCTTCAGCGACAGCTTTCAGTTTCAACGATATGCCAGAGAAGTCCACTTCCCTCGACAACAGGAAAGTGCTTTCTTTGATCTTTCTCTGTTCCTCTGGGGTGAACATGTCAACAATCTCCTTCAGTGGCGTCAGCAATGGCTCCAATGAATACACAAGACGCGCTTCGTTTTTCAGCACTCGGCTTTTCCCCCAAATCTCTGTCATGACGTGGCACGTTTTCATCAGTTTGTCGCTCAGCTGGACGGATCTTTTTTGGGCATTTTGAAGATTTTGCAATTGTTGTTCTTGACTTCTTAATTCCTGCTCGGTCATCTGCTTCTGACTTTCCTCATCTCTCAATTGTTGACAAACGTTTTCCTTTTTGATTTTCTTCGCCCGCACTCGATTTTCGCAATATTCCACGTTATTTTCTGCCCTAGAGACACCGGCTTTTGCCGATTTGACATCATTCTCGAGTGCTGTGTGGGCTGCTATCCACATCCCTGCCCCGAGATCCGGTGCAAATACGAGGGATACAAATCCCCAAGTTTTTACAGTTTTTTGTTGTTTTTTTTTCCTTTTCAACTTTTCTTCCGCCTGGTAAAGAGTTTGCCCGGCACAACGTAACGCATCTATCGCTTGGACAACATTTTGTTCGCTGTCATAGATTTCTTCGTTTAGACCCCAAAGTTGTTGATTTATGCGTTCCACTTTCATTTGCTTCTCTGAAACAGTGGTCTTCACGCTGTTAATTGTGGCTACTCGCACCTCAATTTCTTTACAAAGACGTGCTTTTTCGCCTTCCCAAAAACACTTTACTGAGGTGAAGTGTTTGTGGGCCCGATTTAAAGGACGACGCATATTTTGGGCAATTTCTTTCACATTTCTTGCTGGCGTCGCTCCACTGATCTCAGCCATACGCAGCCATTGAATTACCTCGTCCAGCGATTTTATTCCTAAAACGATTTCTTTCTGTGCGTCGTCTTTTCGTACAATGGAGTTAAACCTGAGCAATGAATGCATGACGAAGGACAAATTATATCAATGCGATGCTGGGAAATTGCTTTTTCTCCTCAGTCATATACAAGCTGCAAAGTCTTTATATAGATATCCACGAGAAAGGCGAGAATGTATTGTTGTTGCTTGATTTCCGGTAAAGCGTATATAGTGTGCATTTAACAAATAATGCATAAATGACCAATTTGAATAACAAAAGACATCCATGAAATTTTCTTGTTCACACCTGCATGCAGTGCTTCAAACCGCGTGGCATAAATTTTTTTGAAAGATCACCTGCAACCAACATTCTTTTTAGCGTATGTATAAATAACGCCTTTGCATAATGTCCTATAAATATATTCGGGAAAATTCTATATTGCAGGTGGTATATAAAGTTAGGTATAATTGGACGAAATACATGAAGCTCATTCTTTTGAAGTCCGACTACCGCAAGATATATGTTGATGAGGTTTTCTTTAAAAGCAACTATATATAGACTATTAACGTGTATTTCTATAAAACCACAGGATATATATCCTGTATACATTTTGACCTTCCTATATATTTTGACCTTCCTTATTATAATAATCATTTATTATATAATATGCAGTGTTTTATTGACGAATCCGCCATTTTGAAAAGCGATAATAACACATGTGCGATTATTCATGATAATAAAACATGTGCGATTATTCATGATAATAACACATGTGCGATTATTCATGATAATAACACACGTGCGATTATTCATGATAATAACACACGTGCGATTACTCATGATAATAACACACGTGCGATTATCGTGTTTGATCCGCCGATGTGGAATCAAGAAGAGGGATAAAAAACTTTTCAAAAAACAGTTTTTATTGAGTCATTCTTAACACTCGAAATAATGAGTCATTCTCAACACTCGAAATAATGAGTCATTCTCAACACTCGAAATAAATTCCATATTTCCGCGCTTCCATGTATTGTTCTCTATGTAATGCAGCTGACTATATATGATTAAAATTCAAATTCGCGAAGTCATTCAAATTTTAGCAATAGGCTACGTGCATTTCAATAGTTTTGGGGTCAGTTCTTGGAACACCCTGCATGTAGTCTAGGTTATAATAGTATTCTATTCTTAATTAAAAACGCTTTTCTCACACTGTTTTATCCTTTCATATACTATAGCACGATATTAATCTGCAGTGTTTCAAATCGCGTGGCATAAATTTTTTTGAAAGATCACCTGCAACCAACATTCTTATTAACGTATATATAATTAACGCCTTTGTATAATGTCCTATAAACATATTCGGGAAAATTCTATATTGCAGGTGGTATATAAAGTTAGCTATAATTGGACGAAATACATGTAGCTCATTCTTTTGAAGTCCGACTACCGCAAGATATACTTTGATGAGGTTTTCTTTAAACGAAACAATATATAGACATTTATTTCAAAGGCTTGATGCACATGACCAATTTGAATATAAAAAAAAATCGATGAAAATTTCTTGTTCACCACAATTGTATATATACGACGAAATTTAAACTAGGTTTCATTTACTAGCTATAGGAAACGTTTTTCACGAATTTAGAGATGGTTCCAAAATATATTCTCGAATAATTCCGTGTCTGATTCTTGGTAGCTAATTAACGTGTATTTCTATAAAACCACAGGATATATATCCTGTATACATTTTCACCTTCCTATATATTTTGACCTTCCTTATTATAATAATCATTTATTATATAATATGCAGTGTTTTATTGACGAATCCGCCATTTTGAAAAGCGATAATAACACATGTGCAATTATTCATGATAATTACACACGTGCGATTATTCATGATAATAACACATGTGCGATTATTCATGATGATAACACATGTGCGATTATTCATGATGATAACACATGTGCGATTATTCATGATAATTACACACGTGCGATTATTCATGATAATAACACATGTGCGATTATTCATGATG